AGACGGGAAGTCGGTACGAAGAGTCGAGATGGCGGTTATGAGATGATGTGGATAGTTCTGGAAGAGAATGCGCGCATCGGTGGAGGGAGGGCCGGGTTTGGGGCCACCCTTCGGTTTGGGGGCTGATCCTTTGATGCCTCCGTTGCTGGCGTTATCGAGGTCTAGCTCACGCACTTTGTTGAAGACTTCGCGCTCGAGGGTTTTCCAGAGGGCGCGATCGGTAGAGGCGTTGCGTATGAGTGCATCAATACGTTCTCGTTCGGCTAGGCGCATTTCCTTGAATTTTGCCGCATCCACATTGGTACCTTTCCTCTTGCCAACCCGCACCTTGGCCAACTCGGCGTGTGGGGTGTTTTCCTTTGCCGACTGAGGCCTCGTCTTGGACCTTTGGAGGACTGTACGCGATGCGCGCGTGCGCGGTTCGCCTTTCAAGACTTGATCGAAGACCTCGTCCAGAGACGGCTTGGAATTATCTTCATCATCTTCATAGTACTCGTCTGCTATCTGATCAAGTTCTACGACATGATCCTTCTCCTTCTGCTGACGCCCTTCAGTATTGAATTTTCTGTACAACTTCTGGAACGCGGCTCGCTCGGTGTTCGTTATAGTGGTCTTCCGGGGAGGTTCTTGGTCGATAGCAGGGGGCAGGCTTTCATCTTCGAAGGGAACGTCCTCTGTGTCGTACGGGCGCGATGGTGAGGTGATGTTGCGGCGAGCAATTGATCGCGTGGCGGCCTGCCATTGCTGGATCGTCGGTGTTTGGTAAAGAAACGGAAGGAGCGTCTTAGTTGCTGGAAGGCGAGAGCGTGACAATGCTCTGGCTGAATTGGAGCATATAGACATGGACGAAATGGCCGCACAACCGTTGCAAGCCGCAGACAACACGAAAATGACCACGAACACACGATGATGCAGCCCACCGTCCAAGTCCCAAATCTTTCGAGATCGCCGCGGCCTAATGGTGGTCTGAGCTCAGCTTACCGCATTAGGCAACTTACAAGATCCATCGAAAACCGTGGCACGCAGTGTGAAAGCAACAAAACCTCAAAGTACTGACAACAACAAGATGAATGCTCATTGGTGAAGCTCAACATCCTACTGCATCGGGCAGGAAATGAGGTCCGTGGATTGCAGCACGTGCGAAGGCCACCCAAATCCTAAGCCAAAGAGGGATACTTCATTGGTTCAACCCCCAACACTCCGCTTCCGGTAAGAAAAAAAAGAATCATCGATCACAGTAGCAGGCGGCCCATTGCTGGGAACTGGCACTAGATGAGCGTGCCAGTGTGGCTGAGCTCGATATGCCGTATAGGGCAAGAGTTTGGAAACCCGTCAAAGGCAGCAGGATTAGGAATCTCAGTGTCCACCACTGCCGAGCAACGAAGACCAACATACCGTATCTGGCAAGTCGCGGAAATCCCGTCGAAAGCGGTGATTACTGGGAACCAATGCCTAAGGGACAACGCTCACTGGCGGAGCTTTGTGCTGAGTGACAAGGCACAATAAGACCCACAAACCTGCTCTTTTTGTGAATCTGCAATGAATAGAGGAGAATGCGCCCCACCCATTCAGTACATACTCGGTGCTGTCCATGAGCCGCTGTGAAAGTCCTCGTGCCAGCGATCGTTAGTGTCGTTATGCTTTTACGCAATCTGTGGGCAGCCAGATATGTAGTGTTATCTCAAAACCCTTCCTTCTTCCGTGCCTGACATACAAAAAGTGCTAGTTTCAGCGATCACTTATTGCGTATTACTTTGTCATTTGCAGTAATTTTATAGCATTGCACATAGCGTGCAGAAGTCTAAATGAACATGAACAAACTTCAGAAGAAATTCACTCTGCTATGCGAAAGGCGATTGGCCAGATCAACAAGTCTATCAAAAGAAAAAAACGACGACCCACGTTTCCAAAGCGATCTCATGACGTCGTAGGGGGTGCCCGTGTTGGCAATCCTTTACCGATGCGACCAATCTGTTCTGAGTAGAAAGCACTCTCAGCTCCAGCCCCTATGGCTTTGATTGGAATCTTGCTGACCAGCCAACTCGGCTTCACAGCGTCCAGCCTCAGGACTACATCACCACCCGCGGCCTCCTCTTTCAACAGTTTGTTTGCCCAGTTCGCATCCACAGCAGCCGGTCGCGCCACACCGATCAAGTCACAGGCGTTCTCCTCGAGCGCTGCGTGCATACCAGACAAACTGCGGAAACCACCTGTGACCATCAGGACCACATCCGGGAACCTCTGCCTGACTATCCTCGCGAAATCAAGGAAAAAGGCTTCACGCTTTGCCGTGCGTTCTGAGACTGGCTTCTCACCCGGCGCAGGCTCGTCACCCTTCATCATCCTTGGGTTCTCATACGATCCACCGCTAATCTCGAGGAAATCAATGCCGGTGGCCCTGAGGTGTTCGATTTGTTGCATGAGCTCTTCGATATCGCTCTTTTGTGCAACGTCCGCAGAGTTGAGCTTGATGCCGACGGTGAAAGTAGACGGAACGACAGCGCGGATTGCTTTGATAATGTCGAGAACGATACGAACGCGGTTGAATGCCGAACCGCCATAATCGTCTGTACGTTTGTTGGTGTTTGGGGCCATGAAGATGCTCAGCAGATATCCATGTGCGGCGTGTAGTTCTACGCCATCGAATCCGTTCTCACTCAGGAACTTGGCTGCTTCGGCATGCTTCGTTACGACATCTTCAATCTCTGCAACTGTCATCTCTCGCGGAGTACCGAAGAGGATCTTTTGTGCAGTACGTGCCCAGATGTTGTCCTCGAACTTCAATGGAATAGGGCTGGGTGCAATATTCTTCTCGAAAAGACCTTTGCTACCAGCTCCGAGAGGGCTTTGGCGGCCGGGGTGATTTAGTTGAACGATAGCTGGGGCACCTTCGACACGGCATGCCTCTGCGTATCTGCGCCATTGAGCAATGACTTTTGGATCAGTAGTGGGGTTGATTGAGACGTCGAGGGCGTTTCCAAGCCAGCGCTCATCGATCATTACATTGCCTTTGAGAGTAAGTATTGAAACCGGTCATTTGGTAGAGGTAAATATGTACCTGTTATAATACCACCCCATCCTCCTTTTCCCCACGCTTTGTAGGCAGACAGAAGTGGGTCTGTTGGATCGTGAGACTTTGACATGTTCTCTGCCATCGCTGCCTGTGAAAGTGTCAGAAACATGATCGCACTGCGCTTGGTTTGTTGTTACTGACCTTGAGTAGCCGGTTCTTGAAGACCAGACCGGATGGCAATGTTACCGGATCACGTAGTTGGCGGCTGTTCTGCATCTTGGATGTGTATATGGGAGACTGTCAGAAGGCGTGTTGCATAAACTTGAGTTTTCGTCTGATGTTGGTGTTGAGTGATGTGATCTCTGGATTCGACTTTGATCTGGGTATCTTGGTAACTCCAATATTGGTTCTTGTACTTTTTTGTAGTTATGCCTATGATGTTGGTGTCGGTATTGAAGGTGATATTATTCTTTACTTTCGAGCACCTGTAGACTAATATACAAATACATCCCTCTACTCAAAGCTGCGGTATAACATACAGCCCTTCGGGATGAAGTTCAAAGGGCTTACTGATCGCGGACGACTTTCGGCGGGAGGACCTGGGCTAATTTCAAAGTCTAGGAAACGGATTGCTAGGGCGCCTTGGTCCACTAAAAAGTAGGCGACGTTTCGGTCCGATACTCAAGGAAAGCTCGAGACGCGACGAGCTCGGGGCATTTCGAGAGAATTGGCCGTACGCTGACGCGACCTTCTTTTTCGGCATGTTCTTTTCTGGCTCGACGGCTGATGAGTGTGATTTCTTGCGACTTGATCTGGCTGCCATGTGACTGATGGAAGGCGAAATCCGCACGGCTTTGACAGGCGGACGAGGTCCGTGCTAGGGAAAACCAGTACTTGATCGGAGCAATGTTCCTTCGGTAGATTACTCAACACAGGAAAACAGAGACGGCGACTACAAACTCAAACAACACGACACAAAAAAGACTAGAGCTGTCTTGTCAAATTAGCCATCAACAAAGACTGATGCGATTCCGACCTAGGAAGGGTAGCAAAAAAATTAGGAACTAGAGCGAAGGTGCCTGAACAGCGCTGAGTAAGGAGAAGCTAGTCGGTCTGGAGCTGTCGCCCTCGCCCTTCTTAAAGCAGGCATGCGCCTCGCCTAGCTGTCCAAGGTATGGTATCACCACAACCACCGCCAACGGAGAACACGTAAATGATCAGTTACGGGTCATGGTTCATGGAGAGCGAATTCGCAGCTGAGGTCGCAAGTAGTACGAGCATCATAATGCCAATGCCTGGATAATATCAGAAGAGAGAGCGGGAGTTTTGGAGGCTGCGCTTCAACAGGCTTCGGCGCCTTCTATGTACCAGCACCTCAGCTGGACAGCCACGTCTAACAACCAGCTCGGCTTCCGACGCCACCAGTTCCCTTACTCCGCGTCGGCACACCTACCCACATGCAGACCTGTACCACAGCTTACAACACCGAGTTGTTGCTGACGCCATGAGAAGACATGCATCAACGCTACCCAGATACCTGCACAAGGGACTCTACGTTCTACTATATAGTTCAGATATGCTTGTACGCCATTGCTCGATCAGTATAACGGTATGAATGCATCTAGCAGCAATTCGATGTTGCAGTTGGTACAATGCTGGCCAGAACCCTCAGCTCGTTCAGCCTCACACCCCCTTACTCATTTGTGGATCACCAATCGGTGTAAGATAAGCGGGACCATCCTACCAACAATATACTCAGCTTACACAGGATCTCAATATAATGGCTTTCTTCTCACCTACAGAGACAGGCTGCAGTAAGCTAAGCTCACGCAACTACTTACATCTCCATTCGAAGCTGAATATGATGGTAGGTATTAATGCCGCAAGGCTGTTGTCTTTAGATTCCTCTCCAACACCTGCTACGCGCTTCGCAAACATGTTCACAAATCGCATTAGAAACGACAATCGGATGAAGGAATATGATGCGATGCAACTGGGATTTACTCGATCTACAGCGCCGACGTCTTCGTTCAACCGTCTACCCAGCGAAATCGTCCTGGACATTTGCAACCGCTTATCCCCATCTGAGCTCTGGTTCAATGCGCGCCCTATTTCCCGTCAATTCTATAGCTGCGCTAATGAGGTGCTACTACGGAAATGCTTCTATCAAGAACAGGTCCGCTTTTCTTGGTGCTGTTTTTGGTGCAGCCTTGGACGCTCCCCCTTGGATGCCGCAACGAGGACCATCGCTTCACTGTTTGGGGACGCGAGGAAGCTGCGCATACAGTGTATCAGCGACCAAGCTTTGCTCGCTAAGCTGGCCTTTGGGGAACTGTGCAGCGCGGTTGTGAGGGCAGAGCAAAAGATCTATGTGTCTATTGGTAATGGAAGCGATGAGGTTGCGATGACTGCTGTGGAATGGCAGAGACGCATGGAATGTCTGCCCAAGAATCTACAAGAGCGCCGGTATGACTTCCTGGTATTCTATTTTGCTCGACTGGGGAGGAAAGCAAAGACTTGGCATATCGCAGCAGGCCTTTCATCTGTTGTGCATGCGCTGGGCTTCATTGTGGTGGGTGTGGTCATTACGGTCGTCATGGCCGTTGCCCTGTTTGTTTTCTGCATCGTCTGGGAAACGGTGAAAGTGGTCAAGAGCTTTTGGGCATTCCTGGATGGACTGATAGATATGTGCTTGCCGGATCGATTCATGCGAGACTAATCAACACAACGACGATCCGATTACGCGACCATGTAAAAGAGCTCAAGCACTTCTTGGTCTATTTACTCGACTATAGCTTCTAAACACCAAGTGATTGAGTGTTGGAGTGGTTGAGAGGGGATCTGGCTGGCTAGATGACCAGGAACATGGTACTGCTGCCCCGTTCCGAGCAACCAACCCACGGCTCGTCGCAACAGGCGTCAGCGTTCTCCAGAGACCCAGTTGGACAAGGCAGCGCAGAAACATCATTATCGGCCCCTCTCGCAGAGCGGATCAGGACAGCGTTGCTATGAGAACATTGGTTGTTGATGATTGAGCCGTTTATTTGGCCTCGAGAGCATCTTCCACGAATATTCTCACAAGCGGCCACGTTCTACAATTTCGAACCAACACCTTACCTAAGACGACCCTGCGAATCAGTATTGTCAGCCTTTACCTCAACCATGGCCGTGAATAAGCGCGAATCTCGGCTTCGTCGCTGGGCGAGGAAACTCGGCGGCTGTATGCGAAACCACCACCCGCATCGCAAGTACAAATCTGTTAGTTATGTAGATATGGAGAAAACGCTTCCATCACCTGTACACCGCATCGACTTCCAGCACACGCAACGCAATGGGCTCATCGGTCGAAGAGAACAACCTCCGAAGAACGAAATCAATAGGGGCTCCAGAACATGGGATGCACACCCTAAACGGGCTTTGCCTTCGCCAGGAAGACTCAGAGTAGATACGCTGCGAGACCATCCGGTTGACGAGACGATTCGAATAGTAAACCCGAGCGTAAGCTCGCTTGTGGCAGGACGACATGATACTCAGACACCAAGGTTTGCCGGAAAGGTGTCCAAGCAAGCTCTCAGCGAGCCACAGACCCATGTGGCAAATGAGCGGTTCCAGCTCCAGGGTCCCCCCACGGTCCTGACATGGCGAGAGTCATTTGAGATACAGCGGGTTTTGAGACGAGAATTGCCTCAACCTCCCTCTGACAGATATGACTCTGCAGTAGACGTGACCATTCGACCCTTAAACGCTCGCAAACATCAAGCCCAGAAGCCATACTGTCCTTCTGGGCTGGGAAAATCGGCCGCAGTGCCTGTCCAGCCCAAACCGACAAACGATGTCCGGACTTACTACCGACCGTCAGGCCATTCTATAGCCACCATATCTACAAAAGAGAAGGAGGCGATTCGAGATTGGAAGCACGACTGGGACAAGCCTCTTCAGCACCGCGCTGGAGGCTCGAAAGCCATCTGGAAGACAGCCTCAGAGCGGCTTCTGCTGCGAAACAAAGACAGCATACGACGTTTGGATGCCGAAAGAGCGATAATGGAGCAGATGGCTGCGAGGATGGAACTGGAGAAGAGGCAACAACCCCAGATGAGAAGCATTCAGAGCATTGAAGAAATGGCCGAAGAAGATAAGAGAGCGGACGAGGAATGGAATGGTAAGTCTAACACGGCCACGTCAGACTGGTTCAACTAGTGTAAGGAATGATGATGCTAACCTCGTGTGTGTTCCAGGTATTGCAACCCAACTTGCCTCTGATGCGCAGAGCCCTGGTGTCCAGGAAGTCAAGTCCATCTCATTCTGCCACCAACGACATCCAATTGCAAGTGGTCGGCGATAGACAGCTCCGGATCACGGGAGGCAGCCACACAACTCGCGAGAAGCTACAAACCCCACCCAAACTTGTTGACAAAGAACAACAACCGACTCCAAGGTCAACAAGAGTACTGCAGGCACACAGGGCATTGGTATGGTCAAAGGGCCGCACTCGACTGGATCGGGCATGGCAATGTAAAGTTTTACATGGCGGTCAAGAAGGCAGCTAACTCTGCCAAGCAGATTGAGGGATCGGAGAAGTGGTGTGGGAACTCTTGGTATCATGCGTTGTTGAAGGGAGTTTGCGAGCGATTGTTACAATCTGTGCGATCCTTATGCGCACGTACATTGTCGGTCCATACACAACTCCAATGCTTTTTTGGTCTCGTGAATAGTAATCAATTACGAGATAACGGTGTGTTGAAGCTCGTTTTCTTTGGAGAGAATATGTCCACGCTAGCTCTGGTATGACCGAATATTCCAAAAAGAAAACATGCATGCGGCTTTTCCTTACTTGCCGGCCTCAAGAGGCCCTGCCTTAGTCCGCGGAGGGCGACCGAAGAGAAGGACCACGCGATCTGTTACCATGGTACGGTGAGGAGTAGTCGGGCACGTACCTGGGCGTGGCACCTAAACAGGGTATCGTAATTGTTGTGTTTTAAGGAGAGTTTGGTCGCCCGCTGGAAGAAGCAAAACCTGCATGGCATTATCTGCACCGCATCGAGATTTATGGCGTGTTGGCCATCTTCAAAGCCAACATCGCCTCTCTTATGCGAACCTTCACATCCAGTTTCAGCATGCTCTGCCATTCACTCTTGAAGACTTTCAGCTCTAATGGAGCCGACCACGAATTTTCAGATCATTTCTGCAACATGTGCCGACGCACCACGGAGTCAACCCCGTCACGGAACTCCAATGCTTGCGGATCAGGAACGGCAACATCATATGGAAGTCCAATGTCTCATCTGCCTCACACGGTTGTGAACTCGAATCTTGGTTCTCGACATGATACTTTTCGACTACAATTCAACCGCTTCTTGGTCGAGGATCCATCCATTGCAGTTTTTTCGGTCGGACAAGAAGCACCCATCTCTGGTGTTTGGCGGGATGAGGACCGCAGAGGCTGCTACGGGCTCAGTCTGGCATATGGGTGGGCGCAAATCTTTGCCGCGCCGCGTTCTCGATGCAACGTGACAATGAGTGTTGGACGTCACTGGACACTTGGAGTGTCGAGCGAGGCGATCCGGTATTGGAGCGTTCAAGACGGTGTCATACTGGTGGACTGGGGTCAGCTCTACGAAAATTACTTTAAGCAAGTGGAAAAGACGAAGGACCGGCAAAGACCCGGAAGATTCCCAGGACGGAGTCGTGGACATGATGAAGAGACTCTGCCCAACCGGCCTAGGGAACGGGTAACACGAGTCCGTTCCGATCCTGCGACAGCGCGATCAACAGCTCACGAGATTGGTGCACGTTTCAGCAACGGTTTAAGGGTTGTGCGAGATGCAATTAGAAGTCGTGTTGGTGAAGGAGGATCGAAGACATCAGGGTCGGAGAGAATCGCGCTTGCGCGTGTTCCCATACTGTGGACAAACCCAAGTTATCAAAGGCTACGATAACGTATAATTGAGCGCCGGTAGATGTAATAGAGTTCAGGAATGAGAATGTCGTTGATGTTGTCGCGAGATTGATGACGTCTGTGTAAACTCAGACGCGTGACGCGTGAACGTCGTCCCGTTTTAGCGACAAAAAAAGTACAAACCCCGCTGCTGCCCCGCCGAGCATTTCACAACACTTCACTACCAAATTCGTTTTCCCAAAGTCGCCAATATGTCAGTCTGTGTAATCTGCGAAAAGCCCTTGGAGGTAGAAATCGAGCGTGACGAGGACGAAGAATATGAGGGCGGAGCGTCGTCGTCTGGCAAAGGCCCTGCGGCGGCACCAGAAACATACCCCGACGACGTCCAATTAACCTGTGGATGCCACTTCCACTGGTATGCAGCTTTCCTTCCAGTCAATCGCGCGCTGTCACTGACATGCATTGTATAGGGATTGTCTTCTCTCCGCCTACGAAATAACTTCGTGTCCACACTGCGGCAAAGAAATCTCCACCACAGGCGACGGCACACAAAAGGTTCTCTGCAGACTCAACAACGAAGGCGGAATCCAAGAGAACCTCGATATCTTGCCCCTTCTTACCGAGGAGTCATACCTAAAAGCCTATCCCGAAGACAGGAAAGCACGCGCATTCCTCGAGTTCTGTCGCGAAGGTGACTACAAAGCTGTGGTCGATCTTCTGCTCGACGATTCGGAGGACGACGATGAGGATGAAGAGGGCGACGTCGAAATGAGCACCACAGACAATGCAGAGAAGGAGGTGGGTATCGATAGGATGTTGAGGTATCAAGATCCGATTGGGGATATGCAGTCGGGTCTACATGCGGCGGTACATGCGCAGAGTAGGGAAGTGGCTTGGTTGTTACTGCTTCTCGCGAGTAACTACCCGTTGTTGGACTTCCCCACGCAGGTCTTCCAGGAGGCAGAAGCTATGGGCATCATGAGGGGGCTTACAGAGGACAAGGTCGACATTCGGAGTTTGAGGGATGCGAATGGCAGGACTGCGGAAGACATCGCAAAGGAGATTGGTGGGGTGTGGGTAGGATGGACCGACAACAACCGGTTGGCGATTTGAGGTTCATGACAGGGCGTACAACCTACAAGCGGTAGTATAATCTTGGTTCTTATATGGAGGATTACATCTTTCTGAAGAATGAGCGCACAGAAAAGCCCATGGAGACGTCGAGAAGCAGTTGGCCGGCCTGCCTCACCAAATCCAACTCATACGACATTCAGGTGCTCAAAAAGAGAAAGCGGCAGATTTGAGAGACGCGTCTATTTAGCCATACAGGCTCGTCCAATCTCATCTGCTAGGGCATGTTCACCTTTTTATGTTTGCGACCAAGCCCAACAGCATTTCATACAAAAGGGAGAGAATTACACGGTCTGCACGTCATTCCATGCGTACTTGTCATGACACATTCAGATTCACAAGAAGAATCATCCTTGATGCTCATTCGAAGCTACCGCCACCACCACCACAACAAAAAGAATGCGCTGGAGACGTTTGCTAGTCCACGCAAAGGTGCAAAAAGAATGGTTCGAAGAATCCCGAGCAAGCTCAGGCACGTTGTCCCCTTCGTGGATCGAACACGATACCTCCAGATTTAGTGACTGAGACTTCAGTCTGGCGCTCTCCCAATTGAGCTAAGGAGACGGTTGTGGGATTTGATGGAAAGACTTCATCTTGGGCCGGTTATGATCTTCGCAGTTCCCCCAGTCACCGCAGCTGCCTGAGCACTCATCGAAAATGGGAAGTTCAAGGTGTCGCAGCGTCCTGAAAATCTTCTCCAAGAGTAGAGTGTGTTGGTGGGGTGAAAGCGGGGTTGGTTTTGAGGGCTAGACTCTGCCAGACTTGAGGGCATGGCACTTAACATACCAGAACAGGCACTTAGAAAGTGGGGGCATCGAATCCCTGTTTTGCTACAAGTAACGATTGTCTTCCAGTCTATTGTAGTGGTTCAGTGAATGTGCGCCTGCAATCAATAGTCGCAGGTTGAAGATGCACATTACGGGCTTTTGTCAATAGGTGTAAAATAACTTCCAACTGATTCGGAAGATATATATTTGTTGCAGAATAGATCGGGGTGTAACGTCGACCCCATCTCGCATTGAAATGCAAGGTTGCCATGGTACTGGAGAGCTTGCGAGTACACTATTGTTCCATCTGTCATCTTTCCTCTGAATGACTTGGTCAACATCTCTGCAATATAGATTATTATTTTTCTAATGCATCTGTCTCAGTCGTCCTCTTGCAGGTGAGTCTCACGACCTGCGTGTACTCTTAGGCTCGTGGATTTTGACGTGTTCGGTACTAGAGTGCACTTTTGTTAGTCCGCAGAATAGATAATCACGCCTCATAAATGAACATGAGCGGTACAAGTATGTGAGTATCCCAGAGTCGGATTGTCAATATATCACCCATCTACGCCTGTGTATCATGTACTATCAAGTCGCCCTGAATCGCCATCGCCGTCACCAACTCCTCACTCCTCGCTCGTGGTATCTCATGCTCATGTAAATAGCAAACTTCGTCGTATCGGCCGTTATCCTTCTTCGCTTTTTGATCCGCACGTTCGCTCGAAGGTTGGATGACTTATTTTACAACACCCTCGTCTTCGTTGAAGCAGACAGCAAAGTCCTTGCTGTGCTTGTTGGTTGCGTGGTCGGTAAGCATCTTACGGCTCGTGGTGCCCTGGAATGTCTGGAAGCAGGTCTTGCACTTGATGGTCTGGGCGGCAGCGTTCTAGCGTTACGTTAGCAACTTGACTTGTAACCGTCGGTTGAATGTGAGGTCGCAAAGTTGCAAGATCGCGCAAACAGGTGGGGTTACGTACGGCTTTCAGTTGGCTCTTTGCTTCCTTTGGGCCGGCATCGCCTGTAGTATTGGAGCACAAAATTAGTGTCTGTCTCACATGTCGTTGGCACACACTGGAATGCTAACCCTTCCTGTCGCGTTTCTGCTGTGCTCTGGCAAGAATGTTAGCAAATGTTCGCGCGCATGAAGGCACACGTGGAATCGCTTACTTGGCTCCGTTACCCATCTTGTAGTTTGCTGGTAATCAGTTGCTGAGTGTGAGCCGAGATGTGTATGTCGAAAGCGATCAAAGTTTTTGGTTTGCTTGAGTGAAGGCTGACGGTCCTGAGAGATTATTTGCGGCGGCGGGGAGGGTCCAGGCCGTTGGTTGGAAAGGCGGTGTTGGCATCTCCGGCGTTAAGCGACAAAGGGTTAGCTTTCCGCGCAATCATGTGAATGAATCTTCCACGCCACTAAAGTCTTATCAACAACAACCCAGCGATGGAACCATTGTCGCTCGCGTCAATCAATTCAGAGCATGTCCGCGCTGATGTAATTTGGTGGCAGCGAATTGCGAAGCTACGCTTTGTGACGCGTGAGAACTCGTCACACGCTTCGTGTTTCGGCAACAGACGCGTGCTGTGGAGTGTTGTGCCCTGCAAAACCGGCAGCCGAAAATGGTGACTATCCAGATAGTCACCATGAACGTTGGGTGTTGCGACCAGGTAGCACGTCCTGTCTCGCCCGTGCAGTACATATGTCTGAAAGACCCAGCAACACAGGTAGTATATTTCGTAAGATCTATGTACTATTCTTCTTCACTGTGTCGGCTTTCCGTCCCAAGGTCCCACGTCTTCCGTTCTTTTCCTTGAGCATCGCACAACCTTTCGTTCGCGATCCAGCCAGGTGCTCGGTATTACCCTCCGTCCTTTAGTCCTACCCTTGCCTTCTCTATTATAACTCCTTTTCCGAATACCTCCTATCACCTACGCTGTCATTCCATCCTCAACGTCATGGCTCATAGCCACAACAACCACGAGTCGGCACATGACCACAAGCATAGTCGCTTCCAGGTCAGCCGAAAGACACGTCTTAGAGCTGTCATAGCCATATCCTTCTGCTTCTTCGCGGCTGAAATATCCGTGGGCTTCTACACCAAATCATTGGCTCTCGTTGCTGATGCATTCCACTATGTGCGTCCTGCATCACCTCGTATACCCGTGGTGCACTTTCTTTGCGGCCAAGCACTAACATCTATTGTAGCTGAATGACCTCATCGGCTTCATCGTGGCCTTAGTGGCCGTTCAGGTGACGGACCGCAAGACCTCGCCTCCGGATCTCTCCTTCGGTTGGGCGCGGGCTTCACTTCTCGGAGCCTTCTTCAACGGATCTTTCTTGTTTGCCTTGGGAATCAGCATTGCTCTCCAATCGATCGAACGCTTTATCTCCATCGAGCGAGTCCAAAATCCCAAGCTAGTCTTGATTATAGGATGCGTTGGATTGTTTCTCAATATCATCAGCGCGTTATTCCTACATGAGCATGATCACGACCATGGCTCTGCGGGTAACAGCGATGAAGAGAGCATGTCAACTACACCCACACATGAGAACCACCTGCATTTGATCGCAAAGCCAAAAAGGCATGGCATGGATCTGGGTATCCTTGGTGTTCTCATTCATGTTATTGGCGACGCTATCAACAACATCGGTGTCATCATCTCAGCAGTGATTATTTGGTTTGTCAAATCACCCAACCGTTTCTATGTCGATCCAGCAGTTAGCATGTGGATCGCCATCATGATTCTGCTCACCGCCATTCCCCTCACAAAACGCAGCGGCAAGATCTTGCTCCAATCTGTTCCTTTGGGCGTCAAGATTGAGGATGTCAAGCACGACCTGGAGGCCATACCTGGTGTGCTGAGTGTGCACGAACTCCACGTCTGGCGCCTGGACCAGAAGAAGGCTGTGGCGTCTGCACATATCGTGGTCACTGACCCAGATATCGCGAGTTTCATGAAGAAGGCCAAGGTCTTTTCTGAATGTCTACATGCATATGGCATTCACTCAGCAACGCTCCAACCTGAGCTTGCTGTTCCTCCTGAAGAGCTCAACGGTGTCAAGAGTACGGGTAGGGAGGCAGCTTCAGGTGCCACCAGCGGTACAAACACAGCACGGACAAGTACTGAAAAGTGTGGCGTGCCCTGTGGTGTACTTTGCGAAGAGTTAAAATGCTGTAACTAAGCTCCCAATTTAAAGTAATAGCGGAAGCAGTTCCGCGGTCCCTGCATAAGCTTATTGAGAGTGGCGTCAGATTACCCCACCATGACCACTATGGGCGTGCCATAGTTGAGCACCAGCTTCATAGCATATAACAATAAGCATAACAATTCGTAGACAAACGGCTGAAGACTCTCTTGCTGAATGCCCTTTTCTCTAATAGCCACTATCCGCCTTTCTTCGATTCAAACTTCATCGATTGATCCCGTTGCTGCAGAATGTCGGGCAAAGAAATCCACAAGTACGGAACCGACGATGGCTGGCATGGTGTCATAAAAGAGGGTGGTGAATTCCCACCAGAGAAAGACAGATACCATCTCTATATTGGTAAGCCGAACCAACACTGCATACCGCGTCAGTGAGACAACTATGCTGAAGTATTCTCAGGCCTCTTCTGTCCTTTTGCCCACCGTCCAAACTTGGTCCGACATCTCAAGCACCTCCAAATCTACCTCCCTGTTTCTATTGTGCGCCCTTATCCGAAAGGTGAACCAGGCTGGCGTTTCGATGCTACTTACCCTAATGCAACCCCCGACCACCTCTTCAACAGCCAGTTCATGCACCAGCTCTACTTTCGCGACGATCCAGCGTACAAAGGGAAGTACAGCGTTCCCCTCCTTTGGGATAAGAAGAGTAATCGGATCGTAAACAACGAAAGTGCTGAAATGTTGAAATGGCTGCCTAGTGCGTTCAACTCTGTGCAAGAGAACAGTGACAAGGCAAAGGAATTGGATTTCTACCCTCAAGAACTCCGCCAAAAGATTGACGACATAAGCCCCTGGCTCCAGTCCTTGATCTGCGCGGGAGTCTACAAAGCTGGTTTCGCGCCGAACCAAGAGGACTACGAGAAAGGCGTTATTCCTCTGTTCGCGGCACTGAACCGGCTAGAAGAACTAGTACACAGTAATGGCGGCCCGTATATCCTCGGTACCAAGCTCACCGAACTCGATGTCCTGGCTTATCCGACGATAGTCCGCTTCGACACTGTTTACTCGCAGCACTTCAAAACCAATTTGGGGTCGATACGACATGATTACCCTGTGCTCAACAACTGGCTGAAAAACTTATATCACAACGTGGAGGGATTCAAGGAAAGTACAGACTTTAAGCATATAAAGGAGAATGTAAGTTTGGTTGTGAAGCTGAGTAGTGGGTGGTGGCTGACATGGATTGCACATTTGTAGTATACCAAGAGTCACAAGGATATCAATCCGCTGAGTATCACGCCGCTGGGGCCTTATCCGGATGTGGAAGAAGGTTACGAGGAGGACTGGGGTAAATTACAGCCCGGGAAGGTAGCGCATCCGAGAGTGTTAGAGGCGCAGAGCAAGTTGTGAAGAGAAGGCGACAGGAATAACGTTGAATGATGCTTGTAAGGCAAAGACTACAACAGTACACAAGAGGAAACACCTGTGGTAATGTTTCATGTTCCATTCGCATCTAAATTTTTGGGTCATTCCAATGCCCATTATCCATAATGTACATACTACACATCGCCGACGGAGCATATCGTCTACCCGTACATGGCTCACCTAGTTTCTCTTCTCAGAGTCCGCCATTCTACTGCGTCTTCTTTGCGCTCTTCTCGCTGGGCGCGCTGTACAGCCAGACGGCAACAAAGGCCAACCAACCCAACACGGTGACCCAGATGCCTCCGATCCAGACCCACGCACCGCTGATCTCGAAACTCCTTGGGTACTCGTCGTGCGCAAAGTGCCTGACGGTCACCTGCCTCTTCTCGTCGATGTTGGTGACGAAGGGGCGGCGATAGTTGACGCGGAAGTTGAAAATTCCGTGCTGGTCGGGTGTCCTGAATGCGACGCCGAAAATGGTTGCATTCGCGGTTTGTGCGATCGGGGAGAGGTTCAGGCGCTGGAAGGGAGAAAGCATGCTGAACTCAAGCTGGATGTTGTCCTTGGAGGAGGGGACGAAGGGAGCGAGGTGGTCGTTGGTGTACTCGGAGATCTCGACTTGGAAGTGCTGTGCAGTTTAGTAAAAGCTATGCAATAACAATTGACATGAACTTACGACATCGGACTTGATGCGGTAGATGGTGGGGTTGTTCTCGGGGATTGCAACGCTGGTGTTCAACTTCTTGCTCGCACCCTCGTCCTGGTAGTGGAGGAGCTTGCCAACCTTCAAGACGCCCGTCTCCTTGAATGTCCAAGCAGAAAGCTTCTGCGCAAAATCGCGGTTACCAGTGGTAACGGCCTTGTCGCCCAGCTTGGCCTTCTCTGCAAACCACTTGTTCTGAAGCATCTCGGCTGAACCGACAACAGCCAGGCGCGCAGCGTTGTTCGCTTGCATGGCAGAGACGAGGTTCAGTTGTCCACCAACCGCAAAAGGATCCTCAACGCCATCGGCCTCGTCCTTGGGGTTGTAGCTGTAGGCGGTGGCTGGGGCGCGTAGGACAGGCGACGTGAGCGGTGACTCGTTTCCAAGAGCTTGACCGACAGCGCGTGGCACAGCAATGTAGCCCTCGCCAGCGAAGTAGTTCTTTACGTCTGACCTGAGCGCGTTCGGGAACGGAAGGAGCAGTACGTCGTGCTGTTCCTGTGCGGATGACGAGTCGTAGTTGAAATGGTCGACGACCAATGCGCCCTTGTCGGCTGGGATGTTGATGTCGAGTTCGGCGAGCATAGCCTGGACGGCTGTAGGTGTAGCGTGTTCGCTCGAGAGGGCGACGAGGATGTTTCCATCCTTCTTCATGAATTCCAGGAAGTTGTTCGCTGTGAGGGCAGGGCCGAGGCCTTTGGACTTGCCAGGCAGGAGGAGGACATGGTCGTATGCTCGTTCGCCGTGCTTCAGTAATGACAGCTTGCTCTCTTTGGGCGATTCTACAGACGTGGTAAATCCTCGGGCTGTACGTACTTGTCAGCACTGGTCCTCACTGCGATTAGGTTCAATTGAGCATCATCCGCGGCGCAAGGCCAAGTTGCATGTTCAATTGATCCGCATCGTTACCAATACCCCGTATTTGGATGCCATCTTGAGCAAACCAGAGACATGACAATGTCCCGAGAAGGAATTGAAATAGTCAATCGACTTACACGTCAAGTCCTCAAGGAACACACTGTACTTCTCCCTCTCCGCCTGCTCTTCTAGCACAACCAGCAAGCGGTTGCCTGTGAAACTCTTGGCCTGCACCACCACCGACCACAGGAAGGCGACAGTAATAGAAAGTAACCACCTCATCTTGTGGCTGTTCGAAGTGGACTTGTCGAGTTGCGCCGCGTGGAGGGAGCTGTAACGGGAGCGATACGTATGCTTTTGCCAAGACCATCGGTCCCGGAAAATCGCTGCACGCCGATTGGAGTGGAGGTGGTGAGCTACGAGCAGCGACCTCACGACATCTACTCACGCCGTCAACTTGCGATTGCGACACCAGACCGAGGCATTGAGCCTTTTCACTATTGGACCCAAGACCGCACCGAAACGAGTCATCTACGTACGCGCCCACGTGCACTGCCAGCCGAACCCACGCGCTCACATAGCAGCAGCAACACAGCCATCATGTCCGGCGCTGGCCCCTCCCCACGCTTCTTCCAGCAGCCGCTGCGATACATGAAGTGGGCCTCTATCAACAAGCCAGCATACTTCTACTCCATCATGGTCGGCTGCGCAGGACCCGCACTCGTCGTTACCGTTCCCCCGATTCGGAGATATATGGGCGAGGAGCCGATCCCTAAGATCCCTATGACATACCCAGGTACGTGGCGAGAATAGCAAGTGTCGATTGTGGAGGGCAATGGGAATTGGGGGATTAGGCAGACCCGGGCAGGAACACGATTTGCTGACCTGGAACAGTACCAAAGGGACCACGACCAAGGCCGGCAGGTTTCGACGACGAATAGAGGACGGTAGCGGAGGCGGCTAAGAGAAGATGCATGAAATTATACCTCGGTCACCAAAGGCCAGATTCAGACGTGAGGCATGTAATAGAACCAGAACAGTGTACAAAGCACAATTTCATTTTCTCTAAAGTCCGTTTGACGCCGATATGGGAACCCAGATCGTACTTTCGTCTGACCGCACAACGCCCAGGAGGTTCTCACACTTTCTATCAAAGCTCACCGCCTACCTCACATTACCGCGTGGCAGATACGCCATGGTTGTAGCCTACTGAGTTCTGACACGCTTAGCCCTGGCATCCTCCACATCCTCCATATCACTTTCAAACTCTGCTTCATCGCCACCGTTCTGCTCGCCCTCCACACTCAAGCCCCTTTCCTGATGCATCCTCGCTGTATCCAAGTTCTTCCGCGCAATGTCATTACCTCCAGCCTTGTACGCCCGCTTAGCTGGCAGCACCCTAGGTCCTTCAGTCTCCTTCTCCCACGGAATATCCTCCTTCTTAAACTCTGTGCAGGTCAAGTACTCAACCGGAAAACGATGAACGTCCAACTGGCACTTCGACTGGAGGATCTTGTGCTGGTCGACAACGGTCTTCATGCATTCCTTGATCTCGAGCAGATGGTTCTCCAGGACGTTCATCGCCTTCTTTGTCATTGGGAACTTGGTATGAAACTGGTTGATGACGGATTTGTCCATGTAGGACTCGCCTCCTGTACCTATTTGCTTATAGAGCTCGTACCCACAGTCTGCGCTGTGTCTACCCCTCTCCATGATGAGACGCTGGCCGATCCAATGGCGGAAGAAGGTCAGTGCCATCCAGACTAGAATGTCTTTGGCAAAGGCCTCGCGCTTGATAGGCAGGTCTTCAACAGGCAGGCGCATAGAACCTGGGTAGAGGGACATCACTGCTAGCTCGACAAACTTACACTGGCTGAGCATGGCTCGATGGTACTTTTCGATCAAGCCGCGTAGACCAGGGACTTTGCGTAGGTATTCAAGTGCGTTAGGGGCGGATTTGATAGTTCTCCAGTTACCAACCAGGTGGACCATGCACTCGCGGAAGATAAGTTCGCTACGAATACGGTAGGACATTTCGACCCATGCGTGTGGCTTCTTTTGGATGGCACGGAAAAGATCTTGACCATGTTTGAGGAGAGCAATCTCGATGGGCTTAGATATCAGTCTAGTGCAGCCTAGGTAATCCGCAATGCAAAGAAGTTGATAGCAATCTTGGAGCGCGGCGGACATGTCGGAGTCATCGATGGAGAATTCCTTGTTGTAGAAGGCGTAGAAAATGCCCTCATAGTGGTCGAAGATCTTGGTAGCTTGAGGGATGCGTCCGTTCTCGTTTACGATTAGGCTGTTCAGGCCGTCGGCTCGCTCAGCAGTTGGTCCAAGTTCCTATAGGTGTGATTGTCAGTAGCTAAGACACCGATGTAGGCAATACGATAAATCTCTGATGTGTGATAGGGTTTTGTGTTCACATACCACAAGGCCGAGACGACCGGCAGGGTGTTGCTTGGAAGGAAGTTCTTTCAACTCAATCATCCAACGGGTCTTGATACCAGCATTTCTGGCGCGGTTGTTCAGTTTTGCAGCGTTGGGTTCGGTTAACATGTCAGCGAAGAGGGTAGAGTTGCGCGCCAAAGTACCAGAGTGAAACTTGTAGCGGCGCTTGTGGCCGAGGATAACCTCGACATCCTCTGCTTGGTTCATGTCGATGTAGTAAAGTGGTGTTGGCTACCGGGAGGGTGGAGTTTCTGTGAACGGAGCAGAGTGATAGAAGGTTGAAGCGGTAGGTTGGGAGAAACGTTTTGAGCTAGTAGCTGGCCACGTACGCGTGAGGATAAAGATGGCCAGGTAAAAGAGAGCAAGTGCGATATTGTAAAGTGGAGCAGAGCCTACAATAACCACAGAAGTGAGAGAGACTCAAGTATCTGAACTCCGACGGGCACTTCCGGGAACGTTAAACGAGTCGCAAACGGATCATTGACTACCTCCAGGTAGAATTTACGCTGTTAAGAGATCGCTTGCCGTATATACGGTAGGTCGTACGCCATATATATTGGAAGATGCACTTAGTTTCCTGGCGTGGAGACTTACTGTATAGATACCCCAATCAACACTGGTAGTATATCCAAACTAATCTCTTCCAGTAGGGCTCCATGCTGAATTGGGATGGAGAAGCATCAGGCACTACACAACTTTCAATCGGGATGTGGATGTTGGGAGTTAGAACTGAACCCGATTAAAATCTTATAGAACTACAATATACATGAATAAGAAGAAGAACAGCAACGGACTGAACATGGGCACTTGGCCTTGTCGATCGTTCATCAGTAGAAGCCCAGATGTTAGTCCCGCAACCATGGTGCATTAGATCATGCCCTTCCCTGCAGCCTTAGAATTGTTGCCCGTATTTAGACACTCCAGCATGAACCCCAACAAATTCGGTAGTGCTTCCATCTGCAAGGCGCTGCATATGCACCTCTCGCACATCCATTACGTCTTTGAAGCAGTATACCGGATGACAGAGGTTCAAGAGCAAGACTGCCGCAACAATGACTGCGCCTTCCAATCCAATGAAATATTTTTGCGTATTGGCAAGATGACCTTCCCATCCTTCACTCAGCTCAGCCACGCGGAATACACACCTCGTGAATATACAGAGAGTAGAAACAGATAGTGCAAGAAGAAAAGCCTTGAACGGCCAGGAGCGACGGAGAATAGCCGGCTGTTGGTCTGGGGAAATCTGGCCTCGGGAGGTCCGACCGCAGTATGTACGCCACGCGAAGTCGGCGGCAAGGAGGATAAAGAGGAGCAGAGTTGCTACTTGGAAAGCTAGTCCAGCAATCATGATGTTGTTGCCTTTCTCCGGGTCCTCACCATTGTGTGTCGAGACACTGGCCATGCCTCCGCCAGCAGCCTGGAGCACGAGGGAGATGAAGTCGCAAGGAATGAAGATTTTGGGGTAGGAGAGTGGCTTGATACGAGAGTGCTGGGGACCAACGGTAGTGACAATGCGTGAGAGGCAGAGATAGATGCCTGCAGCGAGGAATGCGGGCGCGATGGTCAAGCAGATAATCTGGATGAGGAACGGGTTCTGTACCATGTCAGCTTGTTCACCTAGATACGAACAAACTCATGGTTCCAAGTTGTACTCTAGTGCTGTATAGTGCCGTGAAGGTACCCGATGTGCATTGCAGTCTACATGATATAGCGTGAGACATAGGGTATACCTTTATGATAGATTCTACATGTGCACGTACAACTTGTAACTAACGAGACAATTCAGGACCTTCTAAACGAGAACTCTCAGACATACCTCAGCGAACATGTCCTGGTGGGCTAGTATGCGCCCAACGTAACCGACGGCTTCGAGGGCGCAGCCAGAGGCCATGGCGATGGTGAAACCGAGCCATTTCTTGCTTGCGATACCCTGCGCGAGGAAAGCGATAGTAGATAGACCGAATAGTGCAGTGAAGGTAATGTTCGTGCTGAGTGAAGGTCGATAACCCCAGTACGCATACTCAATAGGGCATGCCTCGGTTACGTAGTAACAATGACTGCCATCGAAACCGATTATCATCTTTGCGAATGCCGATAGTATCGTCTGCTCGTAGGATAATATTGCAAGGTGCTTGTCGATGTGAGGTATGAGTAAGGGAAAGAGCTAGAACGCTTGTGATTCTGTCAATATTACACCAAGAGGTCAAGGAGCGCCAAGGTGAAGAAAAGGCGGTATCAAATCAGCGAGTGGTTATTCGAAACCGACATAAGCGAGCAGCAAGACGGCAGAAGTAGCGAGTCTGGGCGGCGCCCAGAAAAAAAAGATTGAAGATGTAGGGACCGTGAATGTGTCGTAGTGAGTAAGACAGACGCGCTATTGCGCTGAAACGGAAAAAAAGAGTGACAGGAAACAGGACATCCTACAAGCGGTTCGCAAGGCTGTGGGTGGGTCGATGTTTTAAACGCTCGCCCAACTACCCAGGTAGCATCAACACTCCAATTGTACGCTAAGACTTGAAGAGGAAGTGTACGAAGATGCGGTCCGTGCATACCATGTGAAGCCCGAGACCGCTTTTTGCTTTTGAGACACTTAAGCAGCGCTAGTATCGAGAGCTTGATCTTTCAAAAGAACCGAGCATCTCTTAGAGCTGCCGTTTGTTGGGCTGCCGTTTGTTGGGCTGCCTACCAAACCTACACTGGTGAGCCAATAGCCCAAGGTCTGTCCTCCTCGTGGGATCCAATCGTACATTACATCTTCTCAAGGCAACGAAAGCCGGGGTTATAACGGTGTCGGTAATAAAAGTCCGACCCATTATTAGCGGGTAAGGTGTTACGATCGCTGATTGTAATATTGGGTTGTGTTGATAAGCCGAAATTCAGTACCATGGTCGCATTCGCTCCGTGAATGAAATCACCTTCTATGCAGGAAGATCATGTTCCGCACAGTCGGTTCATGTGAAGGGTGACTTGGTAAGCCTCTTTAATCAGGTTATCATTGAGCACACCACATGTCGCCGTATGACTTCTTCGTAGTCCGCATTGCGACTCTATGCAACACCGATCCATTAGGCAAGCGGTAGCAAGTCTCGAGCTGAGAGATCTCAGCCATTGTTCATCTAAACGCAATGCTGACACCTTTGATGACAGAGAGGAGGAGGACGTAACGATAGCATGGATGCGTATGGTTAGGGCTAGGGCTTCACTACGTGCCGCTATAGCGCTGTGAATGCAGGAACTTCCGACGATGGTATGTCATGGAATTTCCTTTTTCGTCTGCAAAGATATCAGCATGTGTTTAGCCTTTCGTCATCATTTGGATTCTTCGGTAGGCCAGAGAGAGAGCGGCCTCCGCGCCTGATGCCTTCCACAGCACAATCGAGGCTGCGGAAGAGTCCGCTCCATGCTCTAGTAGTACCATCAAAGATAGGAGTTGGAGCTTCGAGCGCGACGACAGTATCGATGCGTCATTCGCATATGGTGAGTTTATGTTGGATGCTCAGCACATTGAAAAGGCTATACGAAGCTATTGCGAGGTACCGGAGCCCCCTTAACGCCACGCCAAACTGCCCCTCCGAGACGGCCGAATGACGTAGCCCGCAGCCAGCAATCGATAGGATTCACCCCCACACAGAATGCTGCGCGGAAGTCACCAAGCGCGGGGTTCTCGAATTTGGTGCATGTTTATTGTGGAGTGGAGTACTGCTTGGAAATGGTCCTTTTGCCATGTGCTTGCAGGGTCGGCCACTCTCACAAATGCAGGTACGACAGAATGCAGATCCAGGATTTGGGCTTTGTGACTTGTAGCGAATACGTTCCCGGTCGTTTGGAGCATTCTGTACTCCCTGCGGTCATTAGTTGTAGGGCTGTCTAACAAGACCACAGGCAAGGCTTGATGTGTAGTTTCTTTGAGTCGCCATTTGAATACTAATGATGCACTCGACTACTTAGTACAAGACCGTCTTCGGCGCTGTCCCGATCGCCGGATCATGTTAGACTTTGTACGATAGGTTTCGTCTTCGTATCGAAGGCATGTGTAGGACAAAAACTGCCACGACGTTCTTCGACCGAGAGATTCGGCGACCATAGCATCGTGATCCTAGAAGCGCAACTGAATCTCGGATGTACGCAAGAGACGGAAGAAGTTGCATAAATTCTATGCGTGTGGTCTTTGCTCATCACTGTGCAGCATGGACGGTGCCAGTGCGGATGGCCGAGGCTCCGATGCCGTAGAGATGTTCCGAGTGTCGGGCAGCACCCGGAAGCCTGAGGTACGGGGGGTGAGGACGTCTAGATATGTGTCGAGGAGTTTGGAAGGTACAGAATCACGAGGGAAAAGGAGAGAAGGGCAGCCCTGATTATCATTTGCTGATTAGGTCCAGGGACAATTACCAATCCCCTGCGGATCCTACCTGGTAGCGCCACCAGCACGGTCACTGCAAGACGATATGCATGCAAGCCAACGTCGACGTGCTCCGACAGCTGTGCATACACGCATACATGTGCTCTGTTGAATCCTGTCGTCGTCGTCCACATTGCATTTCCATTGCGGCCTGGTCTCTTGATCGCTGTATACACTAGCAGAGACCCTGCTTTGGCGAGCTCAAGGCCACATCACTGAGCCCAAGTGCCTGAGTATTGTCTTGGCGGCGGGCGAACCCCAATCCCACGTCTTCGGCATTACCGCATCATCAACTGTCACTCGTTCCGAACACGCTCGCGACGCGGTCTTGACCTTCTGGCTTGTTGGCTGCTGGACGTATTGGAGCTGCCACCAGTTGCATCCTGTCAGTACTGATTCCGACGAGTAAATAGAGGGGTTCTCCGCTAACTGGCCACCAGTACCGTCCCTCACACAAACCCCTCGAAAAAGGTGCGTCAAGCTCCCGATACCGCCACACCCCGTTCCGACTTTTTTTGCGAGAGACCCTCCCTTCCCAAAGCAGCTGCGTATCGGACGCGCACACTGTTGGCGATCGCGTGGCTAATGCGGGCATGACAGCACGATAGCGGACCGACTTGGACATTGTAGAATTGTTCTGCGAGTCACAACCACCCCGCTGCTTGGGTGACAAACGTCGGAGGAAGGATTGCCACTATGGCAGCGGCGACTGCGGGTAAGTAAAGGAAGTCGTTGTGGCCAGCCCGCAACGCTCTTCACCCATTTCCTACTAGCACCATGATGCACCAACATGCCTCGTCTGAGCCTACTCCCTGGTCTCTCCAAATATCTGACATCGCTTCTTCCCTTCGCAGGCTACGAGTGGAACCGCTCTTCGCCGCTGCGCTCTTCGCCCGACACATCATCCTCCATGTACCCCGATCGGCCCATTCGCCCTCTGCCGGCTCGTTCCCTGCGCGCCCGCTTGTCTCCTGAGCAGGCCGAGACGATAGTCTTCCCCCACAACCCGCCTTCCACAGGCCCGCTCTTCAACTATCCGCCCTACACAACCGACGAGCGCGTCAGACCTCACAGGACTGGAGCCAACGACCACCATGCATGTCACTGTGGCCACACCCACTCTGAGGTTGAAAGTGAGGAGGAAGAGGACGACCGGAACGGCCCGCTGCCCTCTTCCCCGAGCTATCAATACAGCAGGCACGCGACTGGCAAGCCGGTGGCGGGCGTGACTGGTGCCTATCGCAAACCAGGCTCGCCTGCGTCTTCGGTAGATGGCTATGAGTCGTTTGAGAATACGAACAACAAGAAGAAGCGCAAAATTCCCAACATGGGCAGTAATGGATCACATCACGCCAGTCTCTCGGCGGATCTGACTGGCATGGGCATCGCGCAAGCTCACGAAGCAGGTGCCACAGACGACGGTGACAGCATTGCGCGTTACTATGGCTCGGCACCTTCGACACCACAACACGCGACCAATTCTGGCACAGGCATCTCAGGCGCAGGCAGAGGGCGTTTCGGCCGATCTGGCTCGGGACGGTCAGAACGGCGAGTGTTGGCCAATTCGACCAATCTCGCCAACGCCAAAGCGAACAGCAAACGTACGGTGTCACCTCGGGAATTGATTCGTCTTAACTACTAAAAAGAGTCCGTGCGCTAACGATTTGTTTTCTAGGACCTCCGGAGCAAAGCGGCATCATCTCGACTGCCATTGCCAACGCAAACGCGACCCCGCCACCCCCTGGCAACGAGAACGTGAGCCTCCTGCAGCAGGAAGCTGCCAAGCATACCGCCAGCAAGACACAGTTTACTTTCACCTGCGGCTCCGACTCGGCCAACAAGATGGTCTGGCCGGGCCAGGAGAACGGCCAGTATCCCCAACCGCCTGGCGCATACCCCAACGCCGCCTCTCCCTCACCCCACCATCAAGCTGCTCGTGCACGCCCTCCCGTCCGCCCAGATGCCCCGATGGTGTCTACCCAGGGTACCCAGACCAGCCCCAACATGAATGGTGCGGGTGCATACCCCCCTCCACCCCTTCCCAATGGGACTGCACGACGTCCAACGGGCCCCCCACCACCACAACAGGCCCCGCCGCCTCGAAAACCACGGCGTAGTGCCTCCAAACTGTACGAGTACGCTGCTCGCAAGCGTCGCATCCAGCAAGAGTACGCCAACTTCCACAATCCACCCACCCAGCCATGGATATGCGAATTCTGCGAGTACGAAGACATATTTGGTCACCCTCCCATGGCTCTGATCCGCCAATATGAAATCAAAGATAGGAAAGAGCGCAAGCGTCTGGCGGAAAAACGACGTCTGTTGGAAAAGGCTAGGATGAAGGGACGCAAGGGCAAGAAGGCGAGCAAGAAGGCACAGAACAACGCCAATAATGCTCAGCACAACCAAAATCCTCCTCCTCCTGGTGGGTATGACCGTCGCGATGATGAGGGCTCTCTGGACCCACAGGACGAGTACTATGACGATGATTACGACGAACCAATAGCTACTTGTCCACACGGTTGCCAGCACCATCCGCATCCTCCCCATCCACACCCGCAAAAGGTTCCAGGTTTGCCTCCTGGAGACCCTCGGGTGGGCGGGCCGCCTGTTGCCAACGGCACCTAACAACCGGACGAGACGGGGTGGGCCGTCTGCGTTCTTGCATTATGTCTTCTTGTACTGTCTTTCCGCGTTGCCTTTATGGTTGGAGTCGTTGCAGCTGTTGCTCGGGTATCCAGACGTGGCGTCAAAAGAATCTTTGAGATGACAGGAGGTCGACACATTTGATCGAGCACGTCCTCTTCTAAGTTCGCGATACCACGCTGTTACCGACTGCACTCCACTTCTCTAACCTGGGGTATATCTTTCTACGTTATTTTGCAGCGTTCAAGCATTGTTTTAAGCATTTACACGGAGTCCCTGTATATTCGGTCGTTTCCGATTTCACACTACCCGATTACGACTCACTCGTTCTCAAAACCCTATATTCACGACACAACACGAAACAACAACAACCATACACCCCACTCTAAACCAAAAAAAGCTCTCAACTTCAACACTCGAGACGGACTGTGTCATTTCATGAATGTCCCACCGGCAGTGTACGAAGTGTAAATAACAACAGACCGGATGGCGGTCTTCAAGTTCAACAGCTGCTCGATCCGGTTGGTTCAAACAGATTCGTATGCTGTGTTGAACAGTTACCTGTTGATACATCATTATATTACATAGTTTACAAGTTGGTAAAATCTAGCCAGAAACCTCCACGTATGTAACACCAAGTAATCGATGAAGCATCCATCCGAGCTCGCCATATCCCTTAATTGTGATCAGTGCTACCAATGTGCGAATTCGTATAGATGTATAGCGTTGTAAGTTGATAGAATCTCATGCCTCGTGTCTTGTGTTGATGCAGTAAATGTTGACTTTATTTGTTACGTCATACGACAACTCCTCGTTCGTCTGAGCCAAGCTCGCCTATCTATTGACCTCCCCATTTACATCCTCTCTACGGGACTCAGTCCCAGTACCCTCATTCCATTATACAGCACCTGCCTAGCAGCAACGTATAGCGCCAACCTAGCAATCATGACGTTCTTCTCCGAACCTACTACCTGCAAGTGGTCGTAACTGCTGCTAAGGGCATGTGCCATCTTGAACAGGTATGTAAGCACGGTGGTGGGTTCTTGCGTCTTGATCGTGTTGAGGAAAGTATCGGGCCAAGATGCCAATTGGCGAACCAACTCGACAGCCTTGTCTTCTTGAAGCAAGCTCAGATCAGCGGATGTGAGGTCGAGGTCAGCAAGGCTAGGGTCGGCGTCTACGGCCTTGCGGTAAATAGAGCAGAGACGGGCGTGGGCGTATTGCAAGTATGGGCCTGTGTCGCCTTCAAATGAACACATGCGGTCCATGTCGAAGGTGTAGTTATTGATACGCTTGCCCTTCATGTCTTGGACCATGACGGCTGAGATACCGAGTGTGTCTGCAGTTTGCTCTGGGTCTTTGACTTGGGCATATTTTGTCTCGTTGGTCTTCATGACCTCATGCATCTTGTCACCGACGTCGCGGAGGATATCGTCGAGGAACTTGGCTGTGCCTTTTCGTGTCGACATACCTGTGTGATATTAGTGATTTGATCGAACAATAAGGAATTCAAGGTTGGATCGTACCAAGAACCATGCCGAAGTTGATGTGCTGGCACTTGTCGGAAATGTCTTTCCTGCCCATGAGCTCTTCTATCTTGAAGAGTTGGGCCAAGTGCAGGTCTTGTTGCGAGGCGACAACGTAGATCATGCGGCTGCAAAGGTATTAGCAATGCATGTTAATATATGGAGACGATCGAACATACTCAAAGTGGTACTTCTCAACACGCTCAATGGCAGCGCCAATATCACGGGTCAGATAGAGTGATGTACCGTCCTTCTTCTTGACGACAGCCTTGCCAAGCTTCTTGGAATGCTTTGTGAGGTCGACAATGACGGCACCTTCTGAATCCTCACAGACCTTCTTCTCCCACATGATCTTGGCGGCGAGGTCCATGCTCTCGTCCTTGACTTGGGACTCTCCGCTGTAGTCGTCGTAGTGGATGTTGAGTCGTGCGTATGTCTGCTTATACTTCTCGATAGACAGGTCCTGCATAAGTCAGTATACGACACTTGACGATGTGCGATCCGCCTCGACTCACCCTGAAGCGCTTCCAGATACCGAGCGCTTTAGGCTCACCATCAACCATACCCTTGAAGTATTTCCTAGCCTGCTCATCGATGCCCTCAGCCTCGATCTTCTTGACCTCGGCCTCCTGCTCAGATGCGTCCTTGCCCTCCTCTTTCAGCTTCGCAGCTTCGGCCTTGAGAGCCTTCATTTTCTCCGCCTCCTCGTGCTGGACGTTGCTGACCCTGACATAGATGTCATACAAGTGTCCAATGGGGTTCTTAACGAGCTCCTCCTCGTTACCGTAGAGGTCGAAACCGATAGCCAAGACACCGTATTGCTTGCCCCAGTCTCCGAGGTAGTTCATACGAACGACATCCCATCCTGCACCCTCATACAAGTTGGCGAGGAACCCACCAATGATTGTACTTCGCAAGTGTCCGGCATGGAAAGGCTTTGCGATATTGGGCGAACTGAACTCGACGATCATCTTCTTTGCGCCGGAGGAGGGATCAAGCGGGTTCTTGAGACCAAGGTTCTTGTTGAATCCATATGCCTCCTTGGACTTGAGAACCATGGGCAGCACGAGCGATGTGAGCGTCTCTGGCTTGAAGAAGAAGCCGATGGAGGTGTTGGTAACAATCGGCTTCTTCACCAGCGGCGACTCGGGGAACGCATCTGCCAGTTCCTGTGCGAAGGCCTTCATGTCCTTCTTCTTTTGTCGGAGCGCGGGAACAGCCAACTGCAAGTCTCCATGCTCAGGCTTTGCAGTCCATGCCAGTGTAGGGTATATGATCTGCTTGTCTACGCCAGACACGGATGACAACAACTCAGTGATGTGACTCCGGTAGATGTCGAATGGGTTCAGGGCGGGGTATGTGTTTGGCTCCTGCGGGACCTTGTCCAGGCCGAGCGTCGCGAGCGTGTTTGTGAGGTCCTCCATGCTGACTGATGAGCGCGCCGACGCGTCGAGGTTTCTGAAGGGCTTGAAGGGTGTCGAGTCAATCTGGGAGTAAGGTCGCAGTGAATTGGACGTCGTTATCGCTCTGACGTTGTGGTGTTCGTATGAGGTGAGCTGATATTGCGAACGGGGCCGCGAGCCTGTGTGCGGTCGGAATTGGGAGGGGAATGTGTGAAGGGAAGAGACGCGCGGGGTGCTGGACTTGAGGGTAGCGTGTGCTGCTATGACTGCGCTACGGATATATTTCTGAGTCAAGGAAGAAGAATGAGTCGCCAGCGGCCTCGTCAAACAAACGTTGGTACAAGGAAAAAGTCTGGCGCGACAAATATTTACCAGACTTTGCTGCATACCAGATGTGGGGTAGCTGCGATGCGTCAATGGTTCGGGAGAGATGCGAGCAATCGCGCTAGTACAAAATTTTGGAGGGGCAGGGCCTGCTACAAGACATGACTACCTGAACCCGTGAGAATGCCCAATCTGTCTCTTCTCCTACTCATCGCAAACAGAGGCGCCACAGCGTCGACACAAGGCTCGTATACGCACGCCTCACACGATTTGGATCTTGTGCCGCCAGATCCTGACATGCGCAGGGCGTACATGGCGGCACATGCTCGTGCTCATTCTCCTGCACATTCTCCTGCACCTCGCCGCCGTGAACCAGGCACAACATATGACATGGATGACTCGGATACACGTTGAGTCAGATGCACTTCTGTTGACGCAGTCGAGCGAATCAGTCTCATATCCGACGTGTCATTGACTAGGTCTCCAACGATGCCTAGCTGTTCCCTGTTATCGCCGCACAGCCTGGCATACTCGAGCAATAACCATAAAGTGTACATGTCTATGTCTTCTTTGCCTAGCATCTTGTTCGCCTAATCTCGGTCACCATGTGCAATCTTCACCACCGCCCCGGTATCCTCTCCCAGGTCTAGGAGATAGTCTAATGTCCCATACACGTCGACAAAGGATTTTTCCATCGGTACATATGGTAACTATGGTATGAGCTGATGATATGTCGTGTATGGTTGCGACTTACAGGTTTCGCTTCCGCCAGCTACCTTTGCATCCAGTTCAAGACTTGCACGTACGTTTCATCAATCATGAATACGAGCATTGTCGATGGAAACTCGCCCAGTTTTCTGCTTTGTTACGACCTCCACTGGCAACCCCTCGCCATACAGCGCCTATTGTCTTCTCTCTCTCCAACTCTTACTCTCGGTGTTAGCGTTGGAATAGTCTCCATCACCGAATGTGTCAGAAAAATATGCGGACAGAGGTATGACTATGTCTGAATTTAGCAGCAAATTCGTCTTACCGATTTTGGGAACCAAGGTATGAGTCGTCGAGATGGGTCGATGAATGTGCCATGATATTCTTGGAGAAGGCATGGCCAGTGATACGTACGTACGACGCGACTGACCCCTCATGACGCGAGGTTCCCTTCCATCGCGCAAGATGAACCTTCCGCGATGCAACTCAGTGCAATGTTCTGAGCCCTCTCTACATCGCTCAGAATTCACGCATGTTTTTCCTACTACAGTGACGTCATTTATCGCATCATCACTGCAGTATGGGAATGATTGCTGTGGGGTTTCTTTTATCAGAGAAGAACTACCAGTATTATTTTTCGGGTTGATCAGTGTGTATGGTCTAGCCAAAAACACCTCGAGGAATTTACTTCTAGGAAGTAATGTATCAACATCTCAGTTCTCAGATGTGCGTCCTTTGGACACTTAACGATCAAGCTATTACCCCTTGCGCAAGTGACACCATCCATACATTACTCGGCATGCGCGGCCCTAATTTTACCGTAGTATGACGACCGCCTACATCAATGGAGGCGCGATGAATCCATCAAGTCGGAGCGTTGTGCTGCGTGTCGCGATCTTACGTCCTACGTGATATCCAGAAGCCGCTGAACGCCACCAATAAATATCCTTACATCTTGTCATGTATGGTAGTATCTCAACTAGCAGATGAATTCTCAGGTACACTATCTAATCGTCATGGCGTGAATGTGAATCGGAACTTTGGAGGCCAAGGCCTCATTCGGGGTTCACATCGCCTAAAGTAGGCCAGAACGTATTCACATCTGCAGCCAAATCATAGGAATTACAGCTCTCAAGCTCCGGAATACTTGTCAACTTATCTGTGCATGATTTGATGTCTTTGATGCCAACGACGAGCCGATCGCCTAGCGTCAGGATGGCATGCTGAAGCCGGTGCCGAACTGCTGCAGTATTGAAGTCTTCGCTCAATGGCTGCATCCGAAAGATCTTTGGTTGGTGATACGTCAGATAGACTGACAATGATGGTACATTAATAGTTTCGAAAGTGAGGTTCTTAGAGGCTGAACTAATCATAGATGAACGAGGCAGCTGTAGGTGACGCGTGTCACTTGTGTGGCGCATATCGTAGAGAAGTAATGTCGCTTCCCATGTGTCAAGCTCACTTGATGGATGAATGAGAATCTGCGGCTTAGAAAATTCGATCGGGACTGACTACTGTCTATATGTGGCTTTGACATCTCTTAGTTGTTGCGCGTGGCAAAAGCCGGTGGCAGAATTCGACTGCACTACTGACTGCGTGAATGTACTCCATCTCAGACCCTTTCCTGTAGGGGAAGGGTCGTGGCGTACCTGCAAGAAAAGCGATTCGCACAACGTCTTACCAGCAATAAATTTCCGCGCTCCACGACTTTTTGGGGATGTGTCGCATGGACAGACCCCGCCATCCCTGAAGTGGCGTGGGGCGCTTCCAACAGTGTGGTTAAACATATGCTTGGATACGGAAGCAGATCTGACGCATATTAAATCGAGTACTCCGGTAGTCATCTGAGACGTGTATCCCGATGCGAGCAGTATGCATCCTTCTAACGGACGAATGTGTGATCTTTAATGGTCAAGCCAGGTGGTTCTAGCTTGCCTGGTCAAGCATTGGGATGGGCAATATCGGAGGATGTGTTTGGTAATATGTTTAGAGACTTTCTGTCCGGGTTGGTAGGAATATGTGCTGCCCGAGCGAGTACTTAATGACCAGGATTGTTGATCGAACAAGGATGGAACCGTACATCGGGGTCTGATTGCCACGCGGCAACCGCGATCGACTCTGAAAAGCGCATTGGACTAAAAGGAGCGCAGTACATCTGAAGAGGATGGGTGTAAGGGTGATATGGGCGGAATTTCGGCGAGGTTTCCAATCTAGCGGTCAAGACGATGGCCCAAGGTCGCTGATTAGTAGATCTCGTGAAAGGCACGGCTGCCTAGTTGTACGGCATCGGTTGCTGCGATTTGCTTCCGCAAAAGCATCTCATTCTTTCCAGCTTCCAAGATTCGACACATCGGCTCTTGAGCAGACGGCAAGCCTCGGCGAACTAGGAATATCCTTGCTGATCATCCCTTCCAAGCCCACTCGCATATTGCCAGATCGGATTCGGCAACTAAGAAGCGGGATAAGGTACGTGACGTGGGCCCCCTGTCAAGCGACTGGACGAGCGTGGGAAATCTCAAGACCTGAGCTGAACGCCCGACCTTGGATCAGGGTCTCATTCATGGCTTCCCCAGCCTTCCTTTACAAGCAATGCTGAGATGACACAAGCGAGCAAGATCTAGAAAAGTATCCCAGAGGACTATAGACAGAATGTGAGAAATGGGTAGAAATAGACCCTGTGCAGAATGCCGAACATGGTGAGGATGCGGCAAATTTCTCTTAGAACCTTGCAGGACCAGCGTGCGTAACAACGTTCGGAAGACAGACCGGGAAGACGGCAGAATCGAGGATAAAGCGTGTTACACCATTCTGGTAAAGCTAGCCAAACAGCTTGTGATGGAGCTGACAGATGTCCAACATGCGGTATAAGATCTGTATGTAGCCGCCTGTGACAGTGGGATTCGCCTCTAGTAATGCAGTTCTGGCATGAATGGCTTGCGGAGAAGTTCGGAAGACGCAAGTGAAGGGATGGAGAAAAAGATCAAGAGCCTTTGCACCGGTAAGGGGCAGGTGCACATGATTGTCCATGGTGGTGGATGAAAGTGGCTACCACCAGGGCGGAACGGCGTACAGGGAGGATGTTACTGCGGAGTCCTGATGTAAATAATATTTCTTTTGTGAGATTGATGGCGATAGCGCAAGGTGCAGCCGTGTGTGTCACAAAGGCTTATTCCAGGACGACGGCTCGGTAATTGGTGCTCTCGCGCAGGCCACGCAGCTATACCATGTAGTCGGGTCAGTAGTTGTGCCTTGATCGGCAATCTTGCAATGCTAGCCGTAAGACAAGCGGACGCTACTGGCTAAAGATGCTCCTCAAGAACGCCGACTCTCAAGCTCCACGGGCGACATGTCAATGGCGGCAACGCTAGGCCGATGCGCAACAAGCACGGTCATGGCTGGGTTTACTATGCCAGAAGAAATGGAAGCAGGCGGACGCGCTTTCGAAATGGGGGAGGCTCAGCTCAGGCCAATAGCGGAGGGCGGCAAGCCATGAAATGCAGCCCACTGCAACAGGTAAGAATCGTTTAGATGCTTGTAGCTTGACGGCTCTGTATAAGACGGCGTACTCACCGTCTCCGAGAAGGCCAGTTGATTACAGGAGGCAAATCGCCGCTCAAAACCCAAAGGCATTGGCTCCAGACTCCTTCGTCAAGTGAGACATTTTGCATCTCTTCCATCATTGACGGTTCAAAACGTCCCGAAACTGCATCTGGGTCTGCTTCCGCCGGTGTGCATTGTATACCCGTCGACGTCGGGCACGGCAGCCAAGAAGAGGTACGTCGGATAAGCTCGGTTCATTGCAGAGGGTGTGGTTCATGGCGGACGACGCTCCGTTGGCGGTACTGCCGTCAATGCGAGCAGAGATGGGATGGTGGATGAGGAAAGGCACATCTGACTGTGTGGGCAAAGCATGGCTGATATACAACAGCAGCATAGAGCGTCACAGAACTCTGACAAAGCCGGCGCCTTCTAGAGGCCCCGAAGAAGCTCCTTCCCAGTCCATGGCAATATCGCGATAGAGCGCATTCAGTATTGGCATTGCCATTGTCAAATCGCATCAAGTATCACAATCACGGCGGAGACTCGCAGCGGTTTTGTATAACTTCTGGGGCAAAGGGCAAAACCACACCCTCCACACGCTCGAGGAACAGGCGGGCAGGTGTGACAAGCCAGAAGGTGAGCAGTTCATCTCGCTTGGTTACGCGTTCATCCCGTCTTTATTCATTATCCCTGTCGCCACATGGCCTGCCGGGTTCCTGTGACGCATCACATTCGTCAATTTCCCTGCAACACCGTGTGCTGCATCTCTACCACATACTCCGCGCTATCGTCTTCTTCTGTTGCCGCCTGCCGTCTGCCTCTACACATCTCTTCTCATCTTCGATGCATGGACGAACGTTCGCTCTTTAGCCGAAGGGCTGCATGAACAGCGCCAATTACAGGTGCAAAAGGCGGACCCTCCACTGGAGAATCGCGCCGAGATGTGGGGTGGCGCCGGGGGCCTAGGCGGACTGGTGAGGGACTTCCAAACCTCACCTCTGCCTATATCCTTCGAGATATTGCTCGCTGCTGCATTCGTGCTCTTCACTAGGCGGCTATGAGATTAAAGGGTCCTAGTATTGGGTTCAACTGCACAGAACGAACCATCGTCATCCTAATGGAGGGGCGGCCCCATGTGCACCAAGCGAGTTTAGATGACGAGTCTGACTCGTGGCTTGACTTCATTTCCTATATCTTCGTTATCCAACATCGCATAATCCTGCTCCAAGGCTTCGTCTTACATCAGAGTCTTTTTTCTGTCTTTCCTGTCCTCCGTTCATCCATACTTTGCTTGCTTCTCTTGTTTCGCCGTCTTCTTCTACATCAACAGCACAAGTGGACCCTCAACACCCTAACAGCTGGGTTGCTATTTGCCTGACTCAAGTCATTCCATGAAACTCTACTAAGAAAAACAGGTTCAGCCTTCATCAGATGCGAAGAGGCCCCCGACGTGGAAGAGGTAGAGATCAAAATCCCAACCGGGGCACGTCTTCTAGGAGAGACACATCAAATCCACCATCAACCTCTCAAACCAGATTCACTTCACGACAGACCACCGCACGAAACAGTCGCAGTCACGCATCGCTCAGGCGTTCAGCTCGCATTGCGGGATTACTCAACGGAGAATCAGATCATCAATTAATCAACGCCACATCCTCGATGGCTGACGTTGCAAGGCCAAGAGCGCTAGGAAGCAGATCTGTTCGCTCGAGGCATCAATCTGGAAACCATCATACTTCAGAACGATCAAGATCAGGTCAGCATTCTCCATCACCGGAAGAGATTCGGTACGCCATGGATATCGTAGTACAGCCGCCACGAACTGCCCGAGTTGGTCAGACAATGCCTGGATCGATCGTGGTGCGATTACGAACCATCAACGCGGATACTGATGATGCTGTTGCAGACTCGACAAATCTTGTTGCAGTCGCCGCTCTGGTTCCGGGCCCAAACACTCCGGCCTCAGTGGATCCGAACGCTCTCAATGCGGCACTCGCCGGGCGGATCTTTGACTCTATTCACCCATTCAACGACGATGAAGCAGATGGATCCATTGCCTCCATGGAGATGGCCGATCCCCACGGTGTAGGCTATATGCGCTTCCCTGAGCTCATCATTCGCCAAGCTGGTACCTATCGAATACGCATTACTCTCATCCGCATCCGCAACTCTGCTACAGATCCACCAGTCACATCTGCAGGCAATGGCTTGGCTGTGCATGTCGTCGATAGTAACCCCATCATTGTCAATGGGGGCGGATCTTCGTCAAATATGGCTGCATACAATGGTAAGTATCTAGTGGCAACCTATTAAGTTTCTTCAGCTTCCTGATCATTTCTTGTCGCGAACCACAGGGGACGGGGATATAGATGATGGTGGTTGGCTTGATGTTTTGCGATCCATCCAGGACCGACGCAGATCGCAGGGTTGATTGGTGTTTTGTACGATTAGGGGATTTGATTCCGGCAAGGTTATCATTTCTGGCGAAGCAGACATTTGGTTACAAATGAGAACGTGACGTTACAGAACAAGATGGCCAAGGCTGTGGTGAGGCTTGGACTTACTTGTACATGGACTTTATGCCCTTGTAGGCCTGGCGCAACGAACGCATGGTTGCCGATTTTTCTATTGATGCATTGCATACTCACTTTTGTATTCTTGATTTCATTGGTCGTTGTACAGGCAAGGTGACGAATAGTCTGCCTACTTTCCTGTTGGGTGTTGTGAAGTTGAGGAATCAATCACTAATGCCATTGAACAACCATACATACGAAGAAACAGATTTCGACATTCGTGACTAAATAGAAACATCGCGACTGACTATTTACATGTTCAACCCGATCAACATGCCCCCTCAACCGTCATCTGAACTACTTACTGACCAAAGGTGGTCTCCGAACTGGGGTTGTTGATTCCAATAGTGTCGGCACCACCAGAGCCCGACCCAGAACCAGGCGTGCACGCCCTCCACGCAACATGAAGCTGCTGGGTGAAAGCAACAGTAGCATCATCGTTGCTCATCTCACCCGCCTGGTCGGACTTCTTGTTCGTGAGCGCAATCCTGTTGTTGATGTTGAGAATGCCGTTCTGGCCACAGGGCGACCAGATGGTTGCCGTCGTCTCTACACTATCTTGCTTGGTATAGACTTGGCCATTGAGAAGGGCACCGCCGCCGACGGCTGACATGCGCGTGGTTTGCGTTTTGCCGGCATCTTGCGAGAAGTAGTAGGTTGTGATGAAGCTTCCGGTCACACCTTCATCAAGACGTGCCCATCCATGATAGGTGGCGTCAACAACAGCGTACTGGAAGCCTCCTGGGTACTTCAAGTTGAGGTGAAGTTGACAGTTCTTGCTTCGGTCTGTTGGAGAGCTGTTAATATCACCTTTTGCCCAGGACATACGACTTCGAACTTGCCTGCTGGGGTGGTACCGGGACCGATGTACGTCTGGAATTGGTCGAATCCATAGGTCACGACCTGTTAGTGTGAGCTGAAGTTCCTACTGAGTAGATCCTCCATAGTTTTAGAGGGCGTAGTGTAAAGAGTTGCTGTAGACGAGATGATGAAGTAGGATTGCATCATCCCCTCAAGCTCAAATGGGATGTATTGGGGTGGTACGTACAGTCTTGTCGGTTGAGGTACTGGTGGAGACGGAGCCTTGAGGGCAGCCGTTACCAGAGTACGTCGTGTCAACAATAGTGATCTGTTCTGGAGAAGGAGCATCACCAGTAGTTGTCTGAGGGACTGGGTTGGCCAAAGCGAGGACCGGAAGGAGGAGGGCGATTTTGGCATGCATGTTTGCTATTGCTGGGACAAAGATCTCTCGGAGTGATCAGGCGTTGTGGTAAATGCTAATAGCGAAGGCTGTTGATCGATGATGGTACTCAGCATGATGGGGAATGAAGCATTCTTATACTTCTTGACTAACGATACTCGCATGCAATTTCGCGGTTGTAGACCCACACACACTGTCCAGAACCTTACCATGTCGCCTCACATACATTGCAAGATGATCGAAATGATGGTTTGAGGGTATAGTATCTAGGTAATCTTGATGCAGCTAGTTTGGCTTCCAAATTTAGTCCCAGCAGAAGTTCTCCGGTAATAAGACCACGGTATCTAAACACTGGCCTAGGGTTCTCAAGATGCTGATTAGATTGCTTCCGTCAAAAACACGACTTGAAGGTATGGCAAATACGAAATCATGACCAAGAGCATCCGAAGACGGAGTAGCTGAGCACTTTACACAGGTGGTGATCTGCGTTGCAGTAGGAAGTCTGCAGTGGTACTGACCCTGCGTTGGTAGCGTATCATAAGGGTTCAAGAAAACTGAGAAGCATTATAGTGAGAATACGAAAAGCTTGGATGGCATATTGATTGACATGTTGCTTCCGAGGAGGCTCTGGACCTGCATGACAAGGCTCCGTTGCTGTTTAACGCGCTTAAAATAGTCGTCGACAATGTCGAGATTGCCTTGCCGCGACCAGGGTGCAATCGAGGATCAGGCGATGCGTGACCGGCAACAAGACGGACAAGATCGGATAGTGTAGCCATATCCAGGTCCCGAGATTCTGGGGTATTGTGCTTACAGAACATGGTCTCGACTAGTATGCCATAATTTAACCTGCAATATGTATACTCGGTAAGCGGGTCGCGTAATTGGGTAATATACGATCTGGTAAATCCACGCTCTGCTTTCCCGATCAATATGCAGGGTTTACCCGGGATCACTGGCCACAAGGTGACCTGAACTTGCGATTTCAAGAGGAAATGCGTATGCAGGCAGAGTAGAGAAACCTCCACTTGCTCTGGTTTTCTTCAATCTCCTTTCAAATGAATGTACATTAATCGACCTTTCGTGCATTTCGCCTCGCCTCATACCTCGGCTTGTTATCAAGACTTCGCCTCCGGTTAATTCGGTATACGAAGTCACAACGCTTGTCCACACGGCTGTGTTATGAAGCTGCTTAGGTATGGGCACAAGTCCATATGTCTTTCCCCCACCGATTACATATTGACAACTTTGGAGACAAAACGAACAAGTGTCGAGAATCCAGATAATTGCCAGAGCTAGGTGGTCATTCAAACTTCTGCGTGGATATGCAAGAATAGTCACTGGAGTAAGACTTTCCAAAACATCGAGCATAGGATGGTGTATGGTTCCCAAGAAATGGATTAAGTCAAAGAACCTAGAACATCCTGCTCAAGTCTTCGCTAACATCTCCAAGCAACCCAGAAGTCTGGAGTGTTATTAAGCTTACCTTTGGCCCATGAACAACAAGAGATGGAACCTGCAAGAATTGTTTGGGCATGTATTGCGACGCGGTAACAAGTCTTTCTTCAAAATTTGGCTGCGTGATCGAGGAGAAACGATCGAACCAACCTAATTGTCGAAAGAGCTCAATTTGCGTATTGTACCTAACGTCGATCCTATTGCGAAAATGTGCACTTTTCTCTAGCTCGTCGACCTAGAAATCGAGACGTATGTACTCTAAAGATGTACAAATCGCTCCTTTTCAATGGTCTCTGGAATCAGAAAATGGCGAACATCTTCAAAGCATGCTCATCCTTGCTTCGCTATCGGGCGGTGGTTGCGGTCGCTGGCTCACTTCGAATGAGTATTTGGATGCATTTACTGACACTAATCGGATCTCGGATGTAACCCCTGACCGAGGTGGCTTGGAGTGGCTCAGGTGGCTCAGGTGGGTTCAGCTCTCGGAGTTATTTTCGACATTTCAAGGGCGAATGGCTCGATTTAGGATGGCGTCCTGTCTCAGACTCTGCAAAGGTCTGGATCCTAACCGACCAAGCACATACGGCTTCGCGACATGAGTCGCAAAGCCCACACAAGATCAATGGCGAGCAAATGCGTGGTACCCTATGATCTGACCAATGTGCTCAGCAGCACATCTGATAAGTGACGAAGACGCAAGCCAAGATGGTAGGCAGACGGACTGACGTCAAGCGACAGGTGACGGCGAGCAGAGATGAGGAGTGTAAACATTGGCAATACACCTGTGACATGCGAGTGATTTTGTTCCGAGGTAGTGACGGAGAACAGCCGTTGTTGACGCTCAGTAGCGGTGGCAGGTGAGGGTAATGATGAGGCTGAGCGATGCTAGTCAAACCTTGTGGCGCTAGCAAGATCGACCGAGCCGTTTAGTCTCCACTCCGCAGGTTCCGGAGCGATTCCGCACCAGTTTTTCCTTCGCCTCCTGGAACTGACACTACAGGATTAGCAACAGTTGTGCCGGATCGTCGATGATTCTGCCAGTGCACAACGACTCTCTGTCTTGAGGAGAGCTTATCGAAGGCTTGCGACTAGCAACTCTCGAAGGCGTTGTGGGGTAGACCGACGCCTTCCGTCGTCTTGGATAGGCGCGTGGGTAAGACCCGTCGTGCCACAACCCACAAAGACAGACCAAGCCTTGAGACGATGAAGTTCGCCGTACATCGTCGATTCTACATACTGGCCCATGAGACTGGGATGCATCGCACGTAGGCCGGTGTGTATGCGGGTGCGCGAGATCTGCCGGGCACCAGTCAAGGAGATTCGGGCCCCTGAGGGTCCCATGGTACGCAGTCTCTCCCTGCATGATCTCTGCGACGGCCATGGCGAGCATCTTTACGCGAGCACCCACATCGTCACAACTCCAGGAAAAGCCACACGCTAGCCTGGCTATCTAGCCCCTGGCAGAGAAAACTCACTTTGCTGCTCGCACGTATCTGTCGCGTATCCACAGACACCGGGCGGCGTGGTAGTTGCGACCACAAGACTCCACTTGAGGAGCCACAGAATGCTCGCGTCATTAATCGCCATGTAGCATCCATGTGCAAATCAAGCGTTGCGATGCAAGTACCAATGCTTAGCTGAAGATCTGGAGGCTTAGATCACCCCATCTCGGTGTGCAGTGCTGCGACAGTCTTCGTCGTAGGCAACTCAGTCTGCGGGTCTTTCTTCAACCTCGTTGTGGAATGTTCCTTAACGGGCGCGAACACAGGAATAGACAAACAATCGGGCCAAGTAGGGTTGGAGCTTCAACACTACTCAAACGTTCGCGCAGACAGTGTACCCCTGATGAGCTGATCGGTCCCTTTGCGAGCGCAAGTCTGCTTCCCTGAAGGTGACTATTGACATAGTAAACCGCGGACGCCAAAGCTAACGAGATAAGTGGGGCTCTAGAACATCTTCGACTGATCAAAAATAACCTAAGCTTTCGGTTACAGACCCGCCTTGACGATGCCACAAATCCTCGGCTTGCCGATACTTGGAGCAGCGGGATCGAAGGTCTGTTGGTCTACAATGGAGTATCGTCATGGAGGCCTACACAATCGCGATCTGAAATCCCCCAATTTTGCTATCGATCTCCCTGCTTCGAGATAAGAAAAAGATTCATGTCTTGCAGTTATCTTGTCCTGATTTAGACTGGCATCATAGTCAATGGCCTCTCATTGGCTCTGGCCCTGGTACCTGCATGTGCTCTGCACGTTCCCGGCGTTGGCGACCATGACATTTCATCCGGAGCTAGGCTAAAGTTTGGTGAACTATTGTTTCCAGGTACTGCCGCCAACTCTTTCAGGAAGACAGGTCGAACTTACCGGCCATGTTTTGTCTGTTTTCGTCTCCACTCATGACATAGATCTCAAATCAGTACTATCACCGAGGCAAAGACCGCATGAGGATGTGAGAGTTGATCTATATAAGAGCCACCGGTACACTGGTCAATAATTCATCATCAGCTCATCAGCATCGGTCTTTCACTACTACTTTCACTACTATACTACCTTCGCTACTTTACCATCCAATCGTTCAATATGCGTTACTCTCTCTTCCTTGGGGCTGCTGCCCTCGTTGCCGCTTCTCCTGCGCCTCAGGCTTTTGATGTCAACCAATTCAACGCCTTGCCCAACAACGTTGCTCAGGGCCCAAAGGCTGGTGTCACTGCTGAGAGCGCTTACAACCAGGCTCAGGCTCAAAATACCGCCGCTGCTGCTGCCACTGGCGCCGCTACTGCTCAGCAAGCAAAGAGGAGCGTCGGTGCCCAGCTTGAGGCTCGTGACCCTACCTTCTGGTGGAACTGGAACCAGGCTCAGAACAACAAGCCTGCCCCTGCCCCTACCCCTGCCCCTGCCCCTGCTCCTGCTACCACCGCTGCGCCTGCCGCCAACCCTTCTTCTACCAACCTTGCACCATCTTCGTGCTCCCCGGTTGACTGGACCAACACCTACGCTTTCACCGCAGACCCCGCATGCGCTACTCAGATCGAGGTCGGCACCTACTGTGGTTTCATCAACCCTGATGACCCATGTGCTGCTCAGCCCAACGCCTACGGCCCACCAACTACTCCCGACACTGCCGATGCTTTCAAGAAGAACGAGGTTTACCACAAGTTGGCCACCTCCGCTAAGACTCCTTCCGGCTACGAGTCTTCTTTCGTAGACCTCAGCGCCTCCGTTGAGGGCAGTGGTTACCTCGGATACTACGAGCTTACCAGCTACGACACTGCTGCTTGCTCCGCCAAGTGTGACTCTACCTCCACCTGCACTGGTTTCAACCTTTACATCGAGCGTGACCCCAAGTGGAACCCGCGCCAGTGCTCTTGCGACAAGCCTGACTCCGTTACCCGCTTCAAGTGCACTCTCTGGGGACAGGATGTCAAGAAGGAGTCTGCTACCAACGTCGGTCAGGGCCAGGATGGATTCGAGGTTGTCATTGTCGGCTCCAACGGTTACAACAAGGCTACCTACAGCCCTCCCACTCCTCCTTCTTGCAGCAAGCCCCAGTCTTGCGGCCACAAGCTCCACAACCAGCAGCCGTTCTGCATGGGTCAGACTACTTTCCCCGGTCCTTTCGATCCTTCCCTCTGCGCCGCCTACGCCCAGAAGCAGAACGAGGTCAATCGCAAGCGCGGCATCATTGGCATGTGGCTCTCCATGTTCGGCATGAACAAGGGTGGCTGCGTTCAGTTCCAGGCTGCTTACCTTGAGAAGGAGGGCAAGGGTTTCGGTACTCACTGCCGCCTCTTCACCAAGAAGTTCACCCCCGCCCAGGCCAACCTCGACATCTCCGTCGGCGGTTCTTCCCAGTGGGGTTGCCAGAAGTCTTTCACCTGGGACGTTGATGTCAACGCCAGCTTCAACTGGGGTGGCTGGTCTTACTTCAAGGCCAAGCGCGACGAGTAGACACTTGTTGCACTTCCAACAACAAGAACAACGACTTATGTCTGCATCGCATGGGCGCATTAAATTTCGAGACTGTGACGACGATGGTGGATCTCATGAGTAATACTCTTTTTCTCTTCTGTAAATAACCGTTTCTATTTGGCTTTACCTTGAGCGTCAGCTCGCCGCATAGTCACTCCTTAGTATGATTTTAGCATCTCTGTAGTCGTAATGTAACAATATGTGTTTTTTTGAACATACCTTTGCCTTGCTTTCTCCACAGTGACCTCACAATATCGATACAGTTTTCACGGCATGATTGCGCACCTGTCCTGATAATTTCTTCACTCATGTCAATAGTAGATGGAGTCCAGACAGGCTTCTAGTGTGTAACAATGATCAAGAGAGAGTGCGCGTCACTTACTGCGGCGAGTCGGCTACCCTCGCTGTCGCGACCCCAGCGCAAGGCGGTAGTGGACGGAAACTAGGATCCCAAGCGCTCCAAATTGGGAAATGGACCATACAGTTGGGAGCTGCCCCACAGCGCGTGATCGCCTTTCATGTGCGGGGAGACCTTCATCCCTTAACAAGCAGACACTCAGATAACCTCAAAGCAAACTTGGGACGACGTGAAAGCTCCTGAATAGGGTATGTCGCAGCTGATAGATGGAGTATGCGATTTTTTGGCTTCTGTACATCGTCAGAACAGGCGTCAGAGATAGTGCATCGCGATGTGGCTCGTGGACTTGGTAAACCTTGGGGTTCATGCACGGGGAGTGGAGGAGTGCGGGGAAACTGCACCGGTGGTGTTTAATTCGGCAGAACACAACACGAGGGAAACGCGGCCCAGAGGTACCGCCTTATTGTACCACCATGTCTCGCAAGCCGGTGGCCTTTCTGGCGTTCACTCACGCTGCTTTCTGGCATTATTTCCAGCTGCTAACCCTATCTTCTTTTGAAAGAAACTCAAGAATCGCTGGCAGATGCGGGTACCTGACTTCCCCCTTTGCTCATTGTCATTCGAGACGGCATGAACTGCGTCGCTGGCTATAGGGTGCTTGCCCTTCGCCCGCAGCGGGGCAGCTTACTTGCTACCTTGAAGCCGTGTGCTTCTCTCTCTACATTGAAACCAACACCAGTGCTGGGACGTGGAGATGGTTCAAAACATACTTTGGCTACCACGAGCCTTCGGAACCTTACCCGCCCGCGCCCGCTGTCCCTGCAGCAGCATGTCTCGCATGTTACGGCTGTTGTGCGGTATGCATCCGGGCAGGCATCGGAGCCGCACGACGAGGAGTTACCTAACACCCCGCCGTTCACCGCAGGCCCTTACTCCAACCTCACTATTGGAGTACCCAAGGAAAGCTATCCTGGCGAGAGGCGGGTAGCAATCACGCCACAGGTAACGTTTCCCTATACTTACTAGATGCGAGACATGAGCTTACTTTGCATGTTCGACCTCGTAGAATGTTAAGCTTCTACTCAAGAAAGGCTTCTCCCGCATTTTGATTGAGCGTGGTGCTGGCAGTGCCGGTACTTTTACTGACGAAGCCTATGAGCAAGCTGGGGCGCAGACTGTTGATCGCAGAAATGTCTTCTCCGAGAGCGACATTTTGCTCAAAGTCCGAGCCCTCAGTATCGATGGAAATGATAGCGAAGTTGACGCTATTCGAGAGGGAGCCACTGTTATATCCATGCTCTACCCAATGCAGAACAAGCCGACCGTAGAACGAATCGCAACCCGAAAGGCTACTGCATTTGCCATGGATATGATCCCACGGATTTCTAGAGCGCAAGTCTTCGATGCACTATCATCTATGGCCAACATCGCTGGTTATAAGGCAGTCTTGGAAGCTTCTAACCATTTCGGACGTTTCCTAACTGGACAGGTAACGGCTGCTGGAAAAATACCTCCCTGTAAAGTTCTAGTCATTGGCGCAGGTGTTGCGGGCCTGAGTGCCATTGCAACGGCTCGACGAATGGGTGCCATTGTCCGTGGTTTCGACACACGATCTGCAGCGCGTGAACAAGTCCAATCTTTGGGTGCGGAATTCATCGAAGTCGACATCTCAGAAGATGGTTCCGGAGCTGGCGGCTATGCCAAAGTCATGTCCAAGGAGTTCATCGAAGCAGAGATGAAACTCTTCTATGAACAGTGCCGAGAGGTTGATATTGTCATCACTACAGCCTTGATTCCAGGCAAGCCCGCACCGAAACTAATCACCAAGGCCATGCTCGGCGCGATGAAACCTGGTTCCGTTGTCGTGGATCTAGCGGCCGAAGCTGGAGGTAACTGCGAAGCTACAGAACCTGGAAAACTGGTAGATTGTAAAGGGGTATCAGTCATTGGTTTGTTACCATGATAGTTCCGAGCGAGTCAGTACTAACCTCGAGCGCAGGTTATACCGACCTTCCGTCTCGCCTACCAACCCAATCGTCGACTCTCTATTCAAACAACGTCACCAAGTTCCTGCTTTCACTGACCCCAAAGGACAAGAAGGAGAAGTACTACGATGTTGATCTTACCGATGAAGTCACTCGCGGTGCTATTGTCACTTATAATGGCAAGATCCTTCCTCCAGCTCCACGTCCAGCTCCTCCACCAGTCCAAGCCAAGCCTGCACCGTCGCCTGCAGACCAGGTTGCAAATGCTGTTGCGCTAACACCATGGCAGACCCAGTCTCGGCAAGTAGCCAGCGTCACAGCTGGCATGACTGCTGCTCTGACTTTGGGTAAATTTACAGGCCCGCTGTTCATGTCTAACGCTTTTACGTTCGCACTAGCCAGTCTGATTGGATACCGAGTAGTCTGGGGTGTTGCGCCTGCTTTGCACTCTCCGCTCATGAGCGTAACGAACGCCATCTCCGGAATCATAGGTGTTGGCGGCTTGTATGCCATGGGTGGTGGCTACCTTCCTGAAACTATCCCACAAACGCTTGGAGCCTTGTCGGTTTTGTTGGCTTTCGTCAACATATCGGGAGGATTCGTAATCTCGAAAAGGATGCTGGATATGTTCAGACGCCCTACTGACCCCAAGGAGTATCCCTGGCTGTACGCAGTCCCCGCAGCACTCTTTGGTGGTGGCTTCATCGCAGCAGCCTCTACCGGTATGGCAGGTCTGGTCCAAGCAGGCTATCTTGTCAGCAGCATACTCTGCATGACTTCGTTATCAGGACTTGCGTCTCAGACGACTGCTAGGCGAGGTAACATGTTGGGCATACTCGGTGTATTCTCTGGATTCCTCGCGTCTTTAGCCGCTGTCGGCTTCACTTCCGATGTTCTCACTCAATTCGCCGGCCTGGCTACAGTAGGCACTGTCGCTGGGCTGATGATTGGTCGGAGGATTACGCCTACCTCGTTACCCCAAACAGTCGCCGCGCTCCATTCTGTTGTCGGTCTCGCCGCCGTACTCACAAGCATCGGTAGCGTCTTGGGCCATTCTGGAGATATTTCAACCCTTCACATGGTTTCTGCCTACCTTGGTGTTCTCATCGGTGGTGTTACATTCACTGGATCCATTGTCGCTTTCCTGAAGTTAGCCGCCAAAATGAGCTCAAAACCTTTGGCGTTGCCCGGCCGACATCTCATCAATAGTACACTGCTTGGGGCGAATGTAGCGACAATGGGTGCTTTCTTGACCTACGCACCGGGTGCACCTCTAATCGGCGCCGCATGTCTCCTCGGCAATGCGGCGCTCTCTTTTGTCAAAGGCTACACAACCACTGCTGCCATCGGTGGAGCAGATATGCCAGTTGTCATCACCGTCCTGAACGCTTATTCTGGGTTCGCATTAGTGGCTGAGGGGTTCATGTTAGACAACCCCTTGCTTACGACAGTTGGTGCTCTGATTGGAGTATCAGGATCGATCCTTTCCTACATCATGTGCGTAGCCATGAACCGGTCACTGACCAATGTACTCTTTGGCGGCATAGCTCCCACGGTGCAGTCGGGCTCTAAGATCGAGGGCGAGATAACTAAGACAACATCCGAAGAAACAGCCGAAGCTCTGGTCAACGCAGAGAGCGTCATTATCGTAGTCGGTTACGGCATGGCCGTGTCTAAAGCACAGTACGCACTTGCGGACTTTGTGAAAAGCCTACGTTCGAAAGGTATAACCGTACGCTTCGCCATCCATCCTGTCGCGGGACGAATGCCTGGACAATGTAACGTCCTTCTCGCTGAAGCCTCTGTTCCGTATGACATTGTCCTTGAGATGGATGAGATCAACGACGACTTCCCAGACACGGACGTAACCCTCGTTATTGGTGCGAACGATACAGTGAACCCCATCGCACTAGAGCCTGGTAGTGCAATCGCAGGTATGCCGGTACTGCACGCGTGGAAGAGCAAACAGGTTGTCATTATGAAGAGAGGAATGGCCAGTGGATACGCCGACGTGCCGAACCCGATGTTCTTCATGGAGAATACAAAGATGTTATTTGGTGATGCTAATGAAAGCTGCAATGGTATGTTAACTCCAGATCACACCAAGACTTGAAAACACTGCTAATATGATATCAGCTATCAAACGCGCGCTTGAAGAGAAGATCAAGGGGCTATAGATAGACTTTTGCATGAAGGAACAGAGTACTTGAGCAATGGGTCGCTGTATGTAGATTGTCGGTTGGAGAGGGTACTCGGATAGTCCTAGATAACGAACATGGTTCTTGACGCGCGCGCATTTTCTTGAACCGCAGTCTCACTATGCTCTTCTGCAGATTCATAGTTCGCGTTGGACCCACGACAAGAAAATCCAGTCGAGTCGAAAGCGGGGCAAGCAGACCCCTGTCAAGCCACGGCGCGCAACGCGTCCAACCGCAGGTGCCGATGACGTACATCGTAACCCATGTAACACCCTCCAAGTCTGGGAAACTTGCAATCGTCGTTTCGACGTATAACGGCTGCTAAGCTCCCTAGCTCTTTCCTGACTACAGATACACATACAAACAGCATTCACAACTAGATACACACCAACAGTAGGTTGGGGTCCTCGTATGCTATGGAATTGTCTTGCTAACGACCACCAGGACCAAGCAGTAACGATCGCAACCATGTCTCTCCCTCTCCTTTTCACGCTTCCGCCCTCCAACCGCCATGAATTTCTTCTTCTAGACACATCTTCCAAGATCACGTTGAAATCGCTCAACGCACAAATCACTTCTACGATCTCCTCGAGCCCTAACTGCGCCGAATGTACGTCGAACAATACATTACACGCCAGACTGCACAGTGTACCTGACTAACAACAACCTTGCAGTCATGGCAAAGCACAAGGCTGCTGACGGTCCCAAAGAGACGATTCAAGAATTCAAGATTCACTGGGATACCAAGACAAGAGATGGCAAGATATGGCCCGAATATACCGTAGTGACGGATGAGAACTTCCCAGCGATACTGGAATTGCTCAAGGCGAATCCAGTCATGGGTGTGCTGGAGATCAAGCTGGGTAGTTCGGACTAGATTAGCGTAGGACGAGCAAGCATGAACATTCAGTAGCAATGAAAAGGAAAGAGCCAATAATCTGTTTGAGAATCTGATTTTTCGTATACATTACGATGCGACGACGGGAGCATTGCTCAAACGTGGTCGTACTTCGTTACACCCAAAAGCCTACATTCAATACATACGAAAATCTTCAACACCATTGGTGTCGAAGTATGCGCTGGAGGGTAGCCCAGCGTCGAGTAAACCAAGTGGAGGGTATCCGTGTCAAAAGCAACCCATGAAAACGCCGATGTGAAAGCAATGCCGTCGATGCTATACCCTTTGGGTTCCTGCAAGATATGCCGAGAGCGCCGTGTTTGTAGTGTGACCTCGAAGAAACAATACAGCACAAGATGAATTAAACATGTACGCGCCGTAACCACGTCACTTGGGCGACTTATCCGTCGGCTCTGTGATCATTTGCTGCCAATGAACGAGATCGCGACTCAAAAAGTCCATCATCTGAGTTGTGCTCAGATTCTTGAACTTGGCCAGGTCTGTATCCTCGTCTTTCTGCTGCTCTTGAGCAGGCTCGCCGTTCGTTGTGGGTTGAACAGCCGGAGCCAGACTTCCATGCTTCTCTCCAGTGGCCATCTCAACCTGTCGCTGCGCTATGTAACTTTGCATAGCTCCAGCCGGCCTTCGTATGTCGTTCCAAGACAGCTTCTGCAGACGCCAGTTCTTCGTCTTGGCAGGCTTGTGTCCGGTTGTCCCGTCACTGCTATCGTGCCCATTGGTCGCTCCGTTTGTGACATTCGCTTGAGGAGATTGTGCAACGTCGTTCTTGGGTGAAGTGCCGTTGGTCGCAGGTATGGTATCGCGAGAGTACTGATTTCGACCAAGGCGACCGCGAGCCTTTTGTGGTGGACGTCCACCTCTTCGCGGAGCAGGCACAGGCTTGGGTTCTGCCATAGGAGTGTCGATAACTGTCGCCTCGGTGGCAGACGGAGGCATAGCGGGCTCTTCTGCGGCAGGTGCGGGACTGGGTTCGTGTTCCTCTATATCTGAAAATCGTTAGCTAACGTTTCATTTCCTCATTGGCGATAGCTTACCGTCCCCCTTTCTTCGCTCTGCACGCCCTTTTCGTCGATTCGCGGCTTCGTTTCGGGTACTTTCGCGCTCCTTTTCACGTTGTTCTTTTTCGCGTTGACTCTTAGCGGCAGCCCCACGTGGTTTCTGTTTCGGAGCGGAGGCTCTTGTGCTATCGTCTTCGGATTCTATCACTGGCGAATTGCTGGGAGAGCGAGAACCAGTCCGCTGTCGTTTGATTTCCGGCTTTGTCCTGTTACAAACTTGTTAGCTAGATGTCTCCAATGGCCCATGTAGCAGCAAGCAGGGCTCACTCTTCACTGTCGTCACGGCTCCGTTTCTTTCGATTGCCGTTCTCTGAAGCTGTACCGCCCTCATGCTTGCTTTCTTCGAGTACCTTCCGTAGCACCTCATCTTCATCGTAAGCAGCTCGGCTATTCATCGTCGATCGGCGCTTGCCAAAGGAATCTACGCTCGCCCTGTTGTTGCGGTCCTTGTCTTTGCCTGGATGCCCATCTGATTCCTTGGAAACAGACGATTTGCGATTCTTGCCGTGCTGTTGATCGTAGACGGGGAGGTATCTAGAGTACTTTTGCCTATAGAAACGATTCCGTTAGTATTGTGTAAACAAAGCGATTGTGACGCCACGAGGATGCTCAATGGATCGGATGGGGTGGCGCGATATAGAAGAAACTCATGATGGGGTATAAGGATGCAAAGAGCGCGCGAATGAATGCAAGTACATACCCTTTGGGGCTTGTTGTGACCTTATGGAGGTCTTTTCTGCACTCTTCGCAAAAGTACTCGTCTGGACTGGCAGCTTCGTCCATGATGCCTACACAGCCTCCGTGTTGCCAGACCTTACAGACATCGCACTGAATGAAGAGTCCGCCAAGTTCATCGGCTTGAGCATCGGGGTCCACGAGAGCGGACATGGACTTGGGAGCATCCGATGGCGGACCTGGGTACTCTTGGTAGCCACACACGCATCGGGTGACCTCGTCCTCTTCCGCTATCTCATCGTCGAGCTCGTCGTCGAGTTTGGCCGATTCGTTCTCATCATTGTCATGCTCGCGTGTTCGTCGGCGGGTCAGAGGCGGGTCAGGCTGGACGTCATGAGGCGTTTCTTCGGGCTCTTCCGAGGAGAGCGAGTGTGGGGTTGATGACTTTGGCGGCGATGTCTGTTTTGCGTTGACTCTCGACGCACGATCGGTGCGCGCTGATGAGACGGAGGATGAGGAGTTGCTGTGTGTTGCGACGCTGGGTGGGGGCTGGGTGGTACGAGCCCGCGATGATCGTCGCGGCGACATTGTTCGTGTAAGCTGTCGCGGTCTACGAATGCAATAGCTGAGCAGTGTACGAGCGGGAGGGGGAGCTGGGGAGCTGGGCGATGTCGGATGCGCTTGGAAGGGCGCCCGAGCGAACTAGATGAGAGGCGGAAGCGAGGACTAGAAGGAGGTGGCAGCCAACTGCGACGTGACGGAAGCGATACAAGTCAATGGCAGGACCGTCGCTATCGCGCAATGACGGCGAACCCGTCGGCGACACAGGTGTCTGTAGGAGCGCAACGGTGACGGTGCAGGTGCGGAGACAGCGGGCCAAAAGCTCCACGAGCTTCAGAGAGCGACGACGGGATGGGTTGACGACTGGAAAAGAATGCCGAGGTGCGACAGGAACATGATATGGCTTCAAGTGGGCGTCTGGGGCGTTGGACCGGGACAATGCTGTGGGAGTGACCGAGCTGCCAGGACTCGATTTTACTCCTCACGCTCTAGCGGGCGGACGCGAACCTGCGTCAATGGAGTGAAACGTCAGCCGGACGACATCACGTGACGTGAGTTCATCCGGCCCTTGCAGCCCTGGCATTGCGGATCCGTGCGCGGAAAAGGCCGTCGACGACTTTGCACGCGTAGCAGCGAGAGAGACCAAACACCCACGTCTGCAGTAAGGGTACGTTGAGCGCTTCGAGGAGGGAATCGGTGAGGGGCACACAAGGGTGCTGGCAGAGGTTTCGATGGTGACAGAAGTTGGCGATCCGCTGCCGATGAGGCAGTCGCGCTAGCTCCCTTTCGCGAGAGGGGTCCCGCCGGCTGCATGCATCGTCAGTCGCCTCGATCCATCACCATGAAGCGTGCAGGACTGTCTTTACAATCTGGCCAAGCATCATGATGCACCGCTCGCTCTGTCCTGTGCACCACATACAAGGGGGAAGCTGGACAGGTACGAAACAACAAGCCCTACCTTGCATTCTACCTTAGCTCCTAACAAGCAGACTTAGAGATAGAAAATCCTGAAGTCTACGATGCTGTCAATCTTTACATCTTTATAGCTCATAAATGCTTCATTGTAGTACGAAGTAATACGCTGCTTTGAAAAGATGTTTATTTTCTCTGATCGTGTTTGGGTCCAGCCGAATGCAGAAAAGACTGCAAATAGGCGCTGAGCGGCGAATTTCTTGACGCATACCAGGAAGCCTAGGGTACCATTTGAGAAAAGCTAGCGGCTCAATTGTACGCAATATATTGAGATCAAATTATTTTCATCAATGAAATCATACATTAAAATTTGTTCGCTAATTGTACAGCAATTGTTTTAACTTCGCACTACGCTCACTGACCTTCAATGAGCTCCTTGTGCGTACCAGCTTTGGGAGCACCGTTGGTCTTGTTCTTCTCAGCGTACTTTGCGCTGATGCCAGTCATACCATTTGCGACCTTGTTGTCCTTGGACTTAGCCATGCCGTTGTGGGTTCCATTGAATCGGAGCCCGGAGATACCAGGGTAACCCTGAACACCAGTCGCCTTCTCCATGCGTGAAGCAATGTCTTCAGACACCTCCCTGAAGATAGCAATCTGGCGCTTGATAATCTCCTTGTCCGTCACAGTTTCCATATGACCAGAGATGTTCTTGATGAAGCGCTCCTTAGCGCCATCATCGAAGACCTTCTCCCACAACTTGCGCGGTGCGTTGAAGTCCTCTGGACGGATCTCAGACAGGAAGGTTATAGCTTCGCCTGTAAAGTTTCCGTGAAGCTTGTCAAGGTCGACAGTCCTCTCCTTGAAGGAAATTGGCTGGATCGATGACAAGTAGTTAGGTCGCGCGCCTTGGTTGTAGAAAGCCATGTTGCCATCTCGCTGGAAGTTACCCATGCGGTATGCAACACGTGGAGCGTTCACTGGTAATTGTTGGTAGTTGGCGCCGATACGGTGGCGGTGAGTATCGGGGTAGGAGAACAGACGAGATTGCAGAAGAGGGTCCGCACTGGGCTCGATACCCGGCACCAGATGAGCAGGATTAAAAGCGACTTGCTCAACCTCTGCGAAGTAGTTCTGAGGGTTCTCATTGAGGAAGAACTCTCCAACCTTACGTAGAGGGAACTGGTCCTGGGGCCAGACGTGTGTCATATCGAACACGTTAATCTTCTGCTTCTCCCAAACATCCTCAGCCTGCTGAAGTGTCATAGTCTGGAACATAACGTCCCAACCAGGGAAATCGCCCTTCTCGATCGCCTGGTAAAGGTCCTTGGTGGAGTAGTCAGGACCATAGTTGAAAGAATCCTCTTGGGTAATGAATCCAGTGCCTTGCTTGCTTTTAAAGTGGAGCTGGCAATAAACAGTTGACCCATCCTTGTTCTGGAGTTTGTGGGTGTGGCCGTGGTATCCATGCATCTTGCGGTAACCATCAGGAATACCTCGGTCACCGAAGAGAATCAAGAATTGATGCGCGGATTCTGGGTTTTGCGAAGCAAAGTCCCAGAAGTTAGTCGCATCATCAGCGTGAGTGAGGTGGGTTGATGGGTGCCGCTTTTGGGTGTGCTGGGTGAAGGTTAGCATTTGGCCCAAACACGAGGAACAGTACACATGTACTTACAATGAAGTGAGGAAACTTGGCAGGGTCCCGAATAAAGAAAACAGGAGTATTGTTTGCGACTACATCCCAGTTGCCCTCGTCGGTACGGAACTTTACACTGAACCCCCTTGGGTCACGTGCACAATCATGCGAGCCAGACTCACCGCCGACAGTCGAGAACCGAACAGTGACGGGGCAAGATTTGCCTTGCTTGAAAATGTCTGCCATACACAGATCCTCAAGTGATTCTGTGGTTGTATAGGTACCATGGGCGCCAGCGCCCTTGGCGTGAACCACTCGTTCTGGGATACGCTCGCGGTCGAAATGCGATAGAAGGTCGACAAGGTGGTGATCCTGGAGCAGCAGAGGGCCATTCTCGCCTACTCTTTGGGTCTCATACGGGTGGGGGTATGGCACACCGTTGGCGGTGGTGTAAACAACATCCTCTGATGAGGCGTTGCGGTCGTCTGCGTAGCTGCGGAACTGGTCACCATTCTTTCCCCCAGTCGGAGCATGCTGAGTATGGCCATTAGTGCCGTTCGTTCCATTCGTGTTTCCAGGCATGATGAATACTGATGTGTTTGGGTATCAAAAGATGGAAAAATTACTTGTGTGAATAAACCTCTGTCAGAGGCGTCCAGGAATCTTCTTATATCGGTCCTCCATAACGCCCCAGCCGCATTACAGCAATTCCCATGTTGGAACGCATCATCATCACACTAGCTAGGCGTAGTATGCTCAATGACGCTTAGAGATCTGTCAATCTAGGCCTACCTGCCAGCCCTGTACGGGTTAGGCTAGAACTCCCGTTGCTTGATAGCAGATCGGGAGATTGGCGACGTCAAAGTTGGTGGCGACGTTTGACGGCAGTGACAATGCCTCAGAAGTGATTGGTTCATCTCGCCGCTATGATGCACTTTCTCCCACCTGTTCGCGATCTGCATATGTAGATGTAAGCGGCATCCAGATGCAGGCCATTACCAATGAGAAGATATCAGTATCAAAGCGCGAGATGTGACGCGTTGTGGAGTCGAGAGGTCTGGAGAGCCAATGAATCGTTCTGTTGCTGTTCGGCCCTTCTGATCGCGACAATGACATCACCGATGCCAATACCCGTGCACGTGGGCCGCGTTATGTGATTACAATGCTGGGGAACATCGGCATTCGAAAATATGGGACTGTAACGTGCATCTCGACATATTTCCGACGAAAAGACACGACGTGTTCTAGTGTATCGCCACCGGGCCAGTTGAGCCTCAATTGCGGGTTTAGACATGGAAGAAGTGACCGGGCGGATTCTTCCACGCCATGACGCCACAATGCCACGAGACGCTCCCTGATCCGCAATCTAAAACAGCGAACACGTCCTGGTGCACGAATATTCTCAGATTGTAATGCGAATCCAACCAATAAGTGCATGATGATACAGATGTCCCTGGGGCTTCCAAGTCGGTCGTCGTAACAAGCACGCCACGTTGCAATACCTTTGTGAGTCGTTGATGCGACTGATCTTCCTTTTGGAGTATCGGACAATTTTACATGAGAAGAGTGCGAGCGCACCTGTCTTCTTAGAACTAGTGTCATGTGAGGTTAAAAAGAATATCCGTTTCAGCTACAGTCTGCTGACTGCTTTCAAGAATGCCATGCGGGAGCTACCCCACAATCTCTCAGTGGAGCGCGCCCGGCTGTTCTCGTTCCACGAGTATGCATCTTCGGTATTAAAGCACTATCGATAAGCCTCATAATCCTGGTTCGTCCGGGGCTAAGGCTAATATATGCATCTGCGGCTATTGGTTCAGTTGACGAGCTTCATATCAGAACGCTCTTTTTTGCACCCTCCGCGCCGGAAGCTAGGTGATTTTCTTCCTGTGCTTTACCCTTCTGTCCATGTGGTCATGAGTTGTCTAAATTCTGAACGCCGAGAGGGCGGAGTTGTAAGTGTGTATATACAGCAGCAGTGCGACTAGAGATGTAATCCCTTCTGCGATGTTTTGCTCTATCGCAGTAAACACGAAGTCTCGGTAAGGTTCAAATAAACTCGTATTGAACTGACCCTACACAATATCTTTGCATCTATCAATCTTTGCCAATATGTTTGTAACGCCGGTATTCGTTAATAGCAATGTGTGCGTGTGTCCATTGAGGCCCGACAGGACGTCTGCTTACAATTCTTAGGCTCGATCCTTCCATCTACGGCTCAAAGCGCGAAAGCGTAGCCCGCACCGAGCTGTCGTCCAGACTTAGTACAGCTTCTTCAGATGCATCCTTCGGCTGCCTGCATCGAACTTCTTCAACCAGTTCCAACGCCTCTGTGTCTACAGCAGCCTCTTCCGCTGCTTCAGTAAGCAACCAAACTTACCGTCCGAAACATCGCAAAACCTTCTCCAATAGCTCAATCGCCCGACGGTTTTTGCAAAAAAGCAAGCCACAAGAGGTTCATTCGCCACAAGTCGAAGCACTGCCAACTTCAGCTCCTACACTGGTTGTTGCATCTCCTCCTGAACCCATTGTAAGCGCGCCTTCGCCTCCTGCTGCAGGAGGGCAGTGTTCCGATCTAGTTGTGCGATCTAAGAGGGACGTCTATCATGTCGACAGGGCGATTATGTGCTACCACTCGCGGTGGTTTGCCAGAGTTTGCGCTGTTGTTATATCGCCAGTGCGTTTAGTCCTGTCCTTCACCTCAACTACGCTGACATGAGCAGAAATCATCGAAAGGCATCATTGATCTTAGTGCCGATGATCCAGCAGCCGTCGCCGCAATGATGCAATACTGTTACCAGCTCGACTATACTGATCAACTATCAGGCTCAGACCTTGCAGTACCTGAAGACGTCACTTTGCGCTCTCATGTGGATGTGTATATGCTTGCAGAGCGGTATGGCGTTGCTGGTCTGAAGGCGCTCGCACTTCGAAAATTCGAGGAATTTGCGGGTAATGTACTGGTTGTTGATGGTGAGGAAGAGCAACTGTTACATGCGATTCGCTCGATCTATGCACCTGAGCGAAGAGCTAACGCGGACGACCTCAAGATGGTTGCGATCAAGCTTTGCGCTGATCATGTGCAAGCTTTCATCCACGGTACGGGCAAGACTATGGCTCTTGTATACGAGTCGATGGATGAGCTACCAGAGTTCAGGGCAGACCTATTTGAAGAAATGGCATCTCGCTGGAAATAGGACACCACCGTGAGCACGTATAGCGTTGGCAGTAAAGGCGAGCAGTATACGCCTTCCACATTCGACAACGAATCAGTGCCGCCACAAAGTACTGCGTTGAGTTCGTAATCATCACTTCTCACTTAGAGGCTAGGGCGTTGTTCCCGAAACATTAATTTGAGAAGAGGCAACACTGGGCTGGACAGACACTCACGTTCACCACCGGTCTGCCGAGCTTTCTCCCAAATTTCTCCTCCTCTAGGACGTGAATAAGACGTTCCGGTCACCTTCTCTCTCCTTCACCCTGCTTTCCAATCGCATACAAATATCGAAAAAATTTGAAGGGCGGCCTCCCAGCTACTTATAATCTACACGTTACAGTCGACTTAATTTGACCGCGGCAAGCCTGGACATCAGTACGACATGAATCAGCTACACCGTAAGCGTGCCTTTGGGAAAGCCTTCAACGGAACTTCCGATCTCTCTAGTCATCCACATCGCAAGGCGCTACGCAGTGTTGCTGCTTTGTCCGTTGCTTCGACGCCTCAGCTTTTCTACACGCCCGCGTTCTCGTTCGGATCTGACAAAGAAAATGAAGATTTGTTCTTTCCCATGCTAAATGGAATCAGCGAACCCCCTAGCGATTCGAAAAGTCATCTACGGCCTCCTCCACGCACATCATCTCTTCGGGGACTATCCGAACTACAAGTTGATAGCAATGGATTTCAGCGAATCTACACTGTTCCTGAAGATCAGAACTCAAGTCGTCATGATGAGCAGGTCTTGGGAGCGTATTCAAGTGCACCTGGTCCGGTCATCTATGAAGACCAGGACACTATTGCTATACCTAGTCCGGTTAGCCAAAGAGCTCCACTCACTCCGAGTGCGCTTCACTTCCAGACTCTGTCTCTACAGGATCCTCCTCGCAGGCATCTGTCAGACTTGACGTTTCAATCGGCTATCGATATCAATGCAACACGCACAAGCGTCTTTGTTCTGCAGTCTATCGACCTCCGTTAGTAAGAAAAAGCCATCTCTCTTACGTAGTCTATGCTAACGACGATGCAGCTGTTTCTCTCATATTCTGAAAGATGACGTGGTGATATTCTTCGACAAGGGCAAACAAGTCATGAAGATTGACAAGTACCTTTTGTGTACCGAGTCTCGCTTCTTTGCTCCGATGCTGGACGGTCCATCTGTGGTAAGTAATTGACTCACACTTGATAATCTCAGGTTACTAACTATTCTAACAGGAAGGTCAAACACGCTGTATCCGCGTTCGCGATGACTTCCCTTATGCCATTGGGGCAATGATCCAGTACATGCAAGAAGGCAACTACACCTTCAACTCCAACATGCGACTTGAACATGCCAACATCACGCTTTTGGATCTTCACGTCCACGCCTACGTTGTCGGCAAGAAGTATAATGTGGCCAAGTTATGCGATCGTACGATAGAAGAGTATCTCAACATCGCTGGAATGGTTCTTAGCATAGGCATCCCCGCCGGCGAAGATCCTACTGACTTCTCCAATTTTACTGTCAACGGCGACCACAAAGGTCCCGACGCCAGCCCTGCGACATCGGTTCTCAACTCCTTCCTGGACTCACTAGTTCTCATCTGGCGCAACACTTTGGACAGTGACGATGCATTACGCCAGGGCGTTCTCGAACTGCTGAAGCCTAACATCAACCAACTCATGCGGCTGAAGTTTTTCCAGGTGTTGATGATGGACATGGTGGATTTTGGCGGTGATATTGTGCATAGCCTAACTGAGGATGGATTTGATGTTCAAGCTTTTCATACTGACGGTGGGTTGCAGCAAAAGATTCGCGTCAAGTTTGGTAGCGCCTGGAACATGGCGTAAGTGCGTTGATGAACACCGGTGGACTGATGAGGGTATGTGTAGTAAATGAGTTCAGCCCACTGCTAGGAATATTCCGATCGACGAAGAAACTTAATGGTCTCTAGTCGATCCCAAGTCAGCACGATAGGCAACAGTCATACGAGTCAATATGATTTCCTCCTAACGCCATCCAGTTTACTGAGTTTATGTTGATTGACTCTAGCTCCCTACACATTAAGGAAAGATACTAAACACCTCTTAGAGCAGAGTACTTCTTCCTACTATTGATATGATGGATGTGCTGGTGATAAGACGCAGACACAACGCTGTTGAGTTACACTGTATTGTATCGCAGTAGAAGTGTATTCCCAAACACTCACTTGGCTTCACTGTATGCAGCTATATATATACTTATTTGGAAGTTTCATTGATTGCAGCCGAAGCCATGAATCTCATGCGGTTTTGGGGAGCCACCATGTAGCTCTGGATAGTTGCCGTGAAGCTCGACGTTGGAACTTCTTCCTACTATAATAACGCGTATTAGATTTATGTAGATATAAATGAGAAACCTAGAAGACTACAATGCTGTAAATCTTTATAAGTTCTCTTATTAGGAGATAATGTAGACTGTAACATGTACCTTATTATTTCTATATCTATCTAGTTTTTTCCTTGTCGCTTGGAATAGTATAGACATGGAAAGATCCTAGAATAACACCTGCAAACTGCCCGCTATACAAAAAAATTCCCTCAACGTTCAACTGTTTGTGCCATGTTCCTCCTTCGGCTCTCTGGCAAGCGCCTTGGATTCTTATTCGCCAATATCGTCTGCCACTCTGGACTGACTAGCATCTCCGGTTCCGCCCAAACCCCGACATCATCCCACCTAGACCTCCCCCCGACCGGCTTGAACGTCCCATGCTTGTGCCACTGCTCATACCTCCACTCGTACGACTTGACCGACCCATGCTCGTACCAGAACTTATGCCGCTGCTCATACCGTGTCTGCCACCGCTCATACCACTGCTCATGCCATGCCTACCGCTGATGGCACTACCTCCCATGCCAGTACTACTCATACCACCGCGACTTCTTCCATGTCCCATTCCACCAGTGCTGTGTATATCCTGAGGGTGGTCGATGTAGGATACTCCATTGCCGTTAAAGCGGCGAGGTCGGGAAGGTCCACAGCCCATGTTGCACGAGCTAGATGGTGTTGAGGCGATAGCAGGATTTTCTCCAGTATTGATTAACTTTGTATCGATTTTGTCGATGAGCAGGCGATGCGTAGTGGAGGATTGGCGCAGTGTTGTGAGTTGATGTGATGCGACGGCTCGGAACGGAGTGTACCTTTGAAACTGAATATGTCTTTAGGTTGCAGAATTTTAGGGATGATTTCTTGACTGTGAGTACACTATGAAGGCTCTTAGTCTCTTATAGTTCACTGTGATTCTCCTCGTGCTTGTTCGAGTCTCATACGCAGGTCCATCGACGTCACAGTCAGTACCCATTTGCAGTATGACATACGCCAGGCACTCCATTTCAGATTGCGTGATCCTTGATTCTTTGCACTCAAGCAATTTCAGCCTGTTTTGCATGTGTTTAGGGCATAGTCTGTAGCTTTCCCGGCAAGTCGAAGAGCTTGGCATGGTAGAGGTGTGGCTCATGCGTGCCGTAATTGCCGGGTGTGGCTGATGACGTGTGGCGCTAATGAACCGACGCGTGTTCTGTGCTAGCGATGCTGCTATTTGATGTTGAAATGCAGGAACTGGAGAAAACGTTCGTGGGGGCGTGTTGTTCTGTGGCTTGCCCGGAACCTTGACATTCCCTTGGAGTCTCTCACAGTTTTCTGCCCGGAATGTTGGAAGTATGGAACTGTCAAGGACATGCCGCCCCAAAGAAGCTACATACACAACACGATGTACTAACAGTGGACGAGATGATTTGTAGGTCGAAACCTTCATGGCATTGGTCATCTAAGAGATATGTAGGACCCTCCCACATCCTCATGCTGTCGTCGCTGTGACGCTGGGCACGAAATGGTAGCGAGAGGGTCGGTCAATCTTCGCGATCCGAGTGGAGTTCGATCGTCCATGGAGAGCTGGACGAGACCTCAAAGAAGATGGCGTTCTACAAAAGACCGCTCACACCTTTACAAACTTGGTGTGAGAGCCCGTGGCTACAATCGGGCCCGGCTTGCCATCGACAAGCTTCCATATGGTCGCTGTTGTGAAGGCGAGGGTTCCGCCCACCTTGCCAGCCCTGCCTTCAATCTCGATGGTGTCGCCATCTTTTGCCCCGCTCTGGTATGAGATGTGGATGTCGGTAGATACGCCCGTCTTGGTCCTGTTGTCCCAAGCAGCAATAGCTATGCCGCCCACCCAGTCAATCAGCGTGGCAGAGACTGAGCCATGAATGCTTCCGTGCGTGTTTACATGGTTCTTGGTCAGCGGCAGCTGCGCGCGCACGACGCCTTTGGAGGCATAGGTCAGCTTGATGTCGTCGAGCAGGAACTGGTAGATGGGGCTGCTAGGCTTGCGGCCCTCCCAAAACTTCTCGACATGGGCGAGGATCTCGGGATCGTTGGGAGGATCGCTGGACATGGCTGCTACAGGCGGCGGGTGCGACGGGGAGAGGTGACGCGTGCAGGAGGGAAGATCCAAGCGATGTTGGGATTCGAAAATAGATATTCAACGCTCGGGGCGGGCTCGGCGCAACTATTCAGCGCTCTGCGATCAACAAGCGGCAGCTGTGAAACGGCCAGACGCCAGTGTCAGCCGTTTGAGACGCCACATATTCCAGTCTGCTGCACTGGACCATGCTTGAGTGCAGGCCACGACTCTCCCCAGCACAGCAGCAAACCCCAATGTTCGCGCACATCCAACCACCATGAGCGACCCCGTTCAGCCACCCCCGAGCCCGCCCACCTCCGCACTCCATCACCACCATGACTCGCTCGCCGATGGCTCCGCCGTGACGCCGGAGACGGACGCGACAAAGACAGAATCGAGCGCGACGCCCTTGGATGTCAAGGCCCTCACAGATCGCACCCTACACTTCTTGGCGACGGCGAGCAATGAGACGCTCGGCGCCTGTCTGGCCGGCCTAGGCGCAGGCACCTATTTCATCCTCGGCCGCGTTGGGCTGGTCCTCATAGGCGTTGTAGGCGGCGTTGTCCTGCACGCGACGTGGGAGGGGCACCATGGCGGCGACAGCAGGGAGACACAGGGAAAGAGCGCCGATGCGAGGAAGCGGCAACTGGCCGTCGACATAGCGCAGCGTGTGCTGGACTGGCGGAGCGACAAGACACACGAGCAGAGCCACACCAGAGACGCCAGCTCCGACTTCAACGTGCAGCTGTATTCGGGCAAGACGCTCGACTACTCGGACTTCAAGCCAGAGACCGCCGCTGCGCTGACGGAGTTGACGGATGCAGTCATTCGTGACTATGTCAAGTATGTCCTCCGCGCAGTGTCTAGATGCTGTTCTAATATAACGCAGGTGGTGGTATTCACCCCTACTGCCCTTCGAAGACTCATTCCCCAACTCGTGCCGCCAGACCTTCACCGCTTTCATGCTTTCCATCTCTGCACACCTCTCCCGAAAGCGACCAGCCGACAACTTCCTTGACTTTGTGACGCGCTCATCCTCCTTCTTCATCATATTGCTGCAAGAGATCGCTGCTGCAATCCAAGCCTCCCCCGGCGATGTGCCGACCGAAGCAGTTGACATTTACCTCAAGATGAAGCGAGATAGCACCCTCGCCAACATTCTGGATCCAGACTACCAGATGAAGCAGTTCAGTGTGGCAGCTGAAGATATCCTACAAAACTACTTGGAACCAAAGACGTGTGAGTACATTTGGTATGCCGAACCCATGCGCCTACGCTAACTTGCTGTACGCGTCTTAGACAACTGCATGCCGGCACGGGCGTTCCTACACCAGATACTAGCGAAGCTTATCCTTGAGATGATTGTCGTGAGCTGTTCCAAGCCAGAGTGGATCAATGGATGGATCGTCTATCTCTTGGAAGAGGGCGAGCCGGAACTCCTGAATGCTATTGACGCAGGCGTCGAGGGTTCTTCAGAACAATTGCAAAGTGTAAAGAAGGCTGCACAAAAGGAATTTGACGAAACAGAAACAGTGGCCACGGCTGAGAAGAGGGAACACAAGCGCGTCATGAGCAAAGCCCAGGAAGCCATGGACGATGCAATGCGAGAGGCTCAGCTTTTGAGTCAGATGATAGCCGAAGAAGATGCAAAGCGGCTCAAGCAGCAGCAACGGCAAAGTGCATCCACGTCAACCCTGAACGACGACCAATCCGAGAGTACCACTCAAGGAATAGTCACCCCGTCGTCTTCGGAGAGCGACGCGCATGGTGATGCCGACCATACAGACTTGGGCATCTCTGGGCTTTCTGGTCGATCCTTCTCAGAAGCCACACCAGCATCTCCACCAAGGGGCCCCGAAGAACCACCAGCCCAAGAAGTGAAGAAAGCATTCACAAGCTTCGACCAGCTTGTACTACCCCAGCCGCCTACCGCACTTATGGACAACCCGCCTCCTGCGCCGCCACCACTAACACTACACAACAGTACCATGTCGATCTTTGACGATAGCATGCCTGGAGAGAAGGGCACAATCAAGGCCAAACCGACGGCAGAATATCTGATTCAGATCGAACCAAAGTCAAATCATCACACCGGTTGGATGACGGCACGCAAGTATGCCGAGTTTGAAACATTACATGAGGTCATACGTCGGATAGCAGCTATCACCGGGACTTCAGGCTTCAACGAAGCACACGCTACATTGCCGCCATGGAAAGGTCACACCAAGGCGTCATTGCGTGGGGAGTTGGAGCGCTATCTCAACGATGCCGTGAAATACCAACCACTTGCTGAAAGTGAAGGTATGAAGCGCTTCTTGGACAAAGAATTGGGCTCCGGAAAGACGCCTGGTGGTGGCTTTCCAGGAATCGGTTGGGCGGGTCAGACCTTCGACACAGTTGGTAAGGGGATGATGGGCGTACTTTCAAAGGCCCCCAAAGAAGTTGCTGGTGGTGGCAAGGCCCTTTTTGGTGGTGTTACTGGAGTACTAGGTAGCGTAGCAGCACCGCTTTCAGGAAAGAAGAACCGCGAGTCGGTCAGCAACATCGCCAATGCGAACGCAACCGGAAGTCCCCTTAGTCGTACATCGTCCAACACGGCGCCAATCCAAACACGACAAAGCAGAGCAGAGTCGACCGTTTCCGAACTTCCTACGCATATTCGTTCAGAGAGCACCTTGTCCCTGGTAACCAAACGTACATCCATAGATTCTGTACGCGATCCTCATTCGCCCGTCATCGATCAGCAACCAGGCCGTGAGGCGCCCATGGAACGTCGACCATCTTATAATCCTGACGGCGACGGCAAACGTTCCGGGAGATCCTCCAGGTATGGCTCCCGGAGCAATAGTCGCGCACCAAGCATGCGTGAGAAAATCGAAGATCTCAGTCCCATGATGGGAGGTGATCAACTCATCAACTTGCCACCAATGCCTAGCGAAATCCCCGACGATTATAGCACGATGCGCAATCAATCAGAGCCAGCACACGCCCATAAGCCTTCGCAGTCTTCGAGGCTATCAACAGACTCTGTGCCCTCACTACCTCGTCGGCCCTCAGCTCCATCGTTGACCTCTTCTCCGGCCAAATCACCACTCAAGTCCCGTCCAGCAACCATGCACACGTCATTGTCCGAGCCCGAGACCACAGTCCTCATCGAACTATTTTTCGCAGTCATAAATGAACTCTACACTCTCTCCTCCGCCTGGACACTCCGCCGCACGCTCCTCAACGCCGCAAAATCATTTCTCCTACGACCCGGAAACCCACAGCTCTCCTCCATCACATCGCTCCTGCAGACCACCGTTCTCGACGACAACGCCTCTGACGCTGGTCTAGCATACCATATTAGAAAGATCCGGGAGAACGGGTTGCCAACAGAAGAGGAGCTGAAAACATGGCCCAAGGAGATGAGCGAAGAAGAGAAGGAGAAATTGAGGATTAAAGCAAAGAAGTTGTTGATGGAGAGAGGTATGCCTCAAGCGCTAACGAGTGTTATGGGACAGGCTGCTAGTGGAGAGGCATTGGGTAAGGTGTTTGATTGTTTGCAGGAACCTAGGGTTGCGAGGGGTGTTATGTTTGGTTTAGTGTTACAAGGATTGAGGGCTGTAACGCAGTAGTAACGACTTAGAAGGTGTTCCAGGCGTTAGTAGAAGTGGGTTTCGACCTTGATGTTGTTTGATAACTGCCAGGCGTCTGGTCATCGAAATCTTACGAAGACATTTGTTTGTTATTGCTTGCACCTGCCTTCAAACACACTATGTGGTTGTCATTTGGGAAGCTAACGAGAGCCTAGCGAACGCCTTAGACAAAGGATACTGTCCATGTTGCCTACTCGCCAAAGCTTGCCCCAGTGACCGGTCTGTGGCCTAACATGGTTGGCAAGCGAGCGGCCCACGCAAGCGAGCGGCCCACGCAAGCGAGCGGCCCACCCTACTAACTTTCTGCGCCTTGTGAACTCCTCCCTATTATAGCTCCTCCAATTCAACCCCTACTGACCTCTTCTAAGGCTAGTATACACCTTGCAATCTTAGCTATCAATAGAAGCCAAATTCAGTCTGTAAGAGATGCTGCGCAGACATTTAAAGTCCCCCGAACAACGCTCCGACGCCGACGCGCTAGAAAGCCTGCCCGACGCAATTACCTACCTAACTCAAGGAAGCTCACCCAGTTAGAAGAGGAGGTGATTATCAGCTATATAGTTGATCTAGATTAACGTGGATTTTCGCCTACGTACGCAGCCATACGTAATATGGCTGATAAGCTGCTAGCTGCGCGCGACGCAGGCTAGGTTGGCCAGAAGTAGCCAGCTAACTTCGTTAAACGTACAGACAGTCTTACGACGCGTTTTAATCGAGCGTACGATAGGCAGCGAGCTCTGTGTAAGGATCCAGTCCTAATTAGCTCCTAGTTTAAGCTTATAGAGGAGACAAAGGCCAAGTACGGCATCTGCGACAAGGACGTCTATAACTTTAACAAAGCTGGCTTTATGATGGGCAAGATCACGACTTAGCTTGTCGTAACAGGATTAGAGAGGAGAGGCAAGCTAAAGAGTATCTAGCCAGGCAATCGCGAGTGGGTGACAGCGATCGCTGCAATTAACGCTGCTGGCTGGTTAGTCCCGCCGTTCCTCATCTTCGCTGGCCAGTATCACTTGTCTGCCTGGTACGAGGAGAAGGATATCCCACGCGACTGGGCGATCGCAGTTAGTGACAACAGCTGGACGAATAATAAGCTAGGAGTTGAGTAGCTAAAGCACTTTAACGCTTACACGAAGACTCGCGTTATTAGTGCGCGTCGCCTGCTCGTCCTTGACGACCATAAGAGCCACCACTCTCTTGCGTTTTAAGAGCTCTGCAAGGAGAACAACATCTATACGCTCTGTATGCCACCTCACTCATCTCACCTGCTGCAACCTCTTAACGTTGGCTGCTTCTCGCCATTGAAGCGCGCGTACAGTCGTGAAGTAGAGAGCCTGATCCGCCACTATATCAACCACATCACTAAGCTCGAGTTTCTGCCAGCGTTTAAGGCAGCGTTTGATCGAGCTTTCACGCTATCTAATATCTGCTCAGCTTTTCGAGGCGCAGGCCTTGTTCCTCTCCAGCCAGACGCTGTCCTATTAAAGCTAGACGTGCAGCTGCGTACGCCTACTCCAGCTGCTCTCGCAGAGGCTCCCTGGGAGGCTCGTACGCCGAGTAACGTACGTGAGCTTGAAGCTCAATTAACTTTAATACGTAATCGCGTGCGACAGCATAAGAGCTCATTACTAGCTTTAATTATTAAGGCAATTAACTAGCTTAAGAAAGGGGCTAAGGTTATAATGCTCTCTGCTAAGCTGATGCGCGATTAGATTACTAGTCTTAAGCGAGCTAACAAGGCAGCGTTAGCGCGTAAACAACGCAAGAAAAAGCGTATACAAAAGCGAGGGACCTTAACAAAGGGAGAGGGAGAGGATATACTCGCTTAACGTGAGGTTGAGCAGCAGATTTCTCGTAAAGAGCGTTAAGGAGGTGCGCGATTAGGACTTAGCTGCTAGGCTTTAGCGCGCTGCACGAGGTGCAGGGAGACTGGCCACAACTTACGTACATGCAAGAAGGATATTTAAGATACTGCTTAATCTACTATATAAATTTGTATATATTATCTCTTAACGTGGCTGTAGTGTGCGCTTAAACAGGCGCAGAAAGTTAGTAGGGTGGGCCGCTCGCTTGCGTGGGCCGCTCGCTTGCCAACCATGTTACACATGGTGTAACATTGTGAAGTTTGGCAGACGGCCCACTGAGATCTATTTCGGTAACTATTCAGGCCAGAAGCTGACAAAGTGATGCTCGAGCGGAACTGACGTGGAGGGAACACGAGGGCAGGTGCGGCTGAGGCATTCGTTCGTAGATGTGGCACAGCCCCACTACCTCGAGGCTGACAACCACCATAACTGCAGACTTCGTAAATTATGAGACAAGACTTTGAGACTTACTTTTCAATGCCAACTATTGACTCTGGCTTTGCGCAACCAAGTATCCCAATCTACCACCAACCTGAATAGCTTTGATAGTAACCATCATTGCTAACACCATGTCGCCAACTCTCCACCTCTACCACACACCAGGGTCTTGTTCGCTAGCCACTCATATCGCACTCCAAGCCTCCGGTCTTCCCTTCTCCACCACAAATCTCAACGCTGCTCGTGGTTTCCCCGCTTCCCATCTTCATCTAAACCCTAAAGGCCGCGTTCCAATCCTCGAGGTAGATGGCGAGCTAATCACCGAAACACCCGCCATCCTCTCCGTAATCGCTGCGCTAGTTCCAGAGAAAGGATTACTGGGAAAAGGTCTGATTGCGCAAGCGAGAGCACAAGAGTGGATAATATGGCTTTGCGGGACGTTGCATGGGCAAGCATTTGGATGCGTGTTTAGGCCGGGTCGGTTTGTCGGGGACGAAGCAATGTTTGATGCTATACGAGCAAAAGGCCGTGAACATGTTCGAGAGTGTTTCAAATATATCGAGAAGAATCTAGAAGGCAAGACTTGGGTGGTTGGTGATAGTTTTACTGTCGTGGACGCGTATCTCGTCGTCTTCTACCGTTGGGGCAATATGCTGAAGATGGGTATGAGGGAGACATATCCGAGCTATACGAGGGCAGTCGATGGCGTTGTCGCGCAGGATGATGTGAAACGAACAATTGAGAGCGAGGCCATTAGCGTACTGAATGAGTAGTGTTTGTGAACAGTCAGTTTCAGTACCACCAATATCGGTAACCCTTAGTATGAGTGTGTGAACGTTACCCCCATCTCTAAGCAACACATGTGCATTTCTATGACGTTTGTCTTTGATTTTGTGATCTTTTGTACTACCTACCATCATTCGTACTGTATGCAGCTTGAAATTTACCTCCTCTTAAAGCGGAATAAACAAGCATGCTAATGCTTTCTGTTCCATATCTTAGCTAGACTAATGAGCTTTCAGTGGTCATAGTCTTCTGTACCATCGTCATCGGTCCGCTCATTCTCCTCCTTCTCATTCTCATCTATTAAAGAGGAAGATCATGTGACCCCTTTAGACCAGCATATATAGTCTGAGTATCATCTCATATCGAATCAATTATCCTTCTACTCGAAATCTTTTTCCCCTTTTAACACCATCTTCCTCCTCCTCCTTATCAGTGGTACCTTGCTCTTCGTTGAAGTCAGCGTACATGTTGTGTACGATATGATTGAATGTATCAGTGTTGCGCAAACCGAGCCGAGGATCAACTTCATGAGATTCATGATAATGACGAGGTAGTATCCAGCCGCACGACTGCGGAGTAGTTAGCGACAACTGTTCCTATTTGTGGTGTGTACTTAGTGACTACAAACCGCATTATATGTCTTCCGCATGCTGTAAACCCACAATGCCCGAGGCAAGTCGAAGAATTCAGTAATATCTCGGTCCACCAGACCTCGACGAGGAGGTGGACGGTTGTATTTCTCCTAACGTCCCCTGTAGGTCCATGATACGGTGACGCAAGCACCGTGTTGCTTAAGATGCTGCACGACGCTAGCAAGAGCCTCAATGACCTCCGCTAGCACCTCCATACGAATGCTTCGTTGGTAGAGAATGATGTGTAGCTTGAAATCCTGCTTCTTCCTGATGTCGAGCAATGCGCCGAACTCCATCTCAAGCGCGGCTTTGCGGACATGACCTATCTCGGAAGCGGTATGCTGACAAGTGATAGCCGGTAAACGACATGGTGGCGGTGCACGATATCGGTCCATCTTACAGTGGACAGTCAACGTCCTAATTAGGTCTATCGTTAGCAGGCCAAGATCGAAACAGTCTTTGTTCAAGACAGATCGAATGGACTCTGCTCCGCACTGCAGGAGACCAGCAAGGTTAACAGTGTGATAGAAGGACATCCCAATCTCTTTGGCCATCTCGAGACCGACGTAGGCCGGGGAAATAAAATGCGGAAGAGCGGACTTGTCGCATAGTTCAGTGATGTTATGGCTGTTGCCCCGGTAGAGATTTTGAGCCAGGTCCAGCAAAAGACCGTGTATCTGAATAACATTGGTGGCGCCGGGATAACACTGAAAATCATGATGCTGTCGCAAGCGCCGCGTACCAAAATCATGAAGTGACGTTCTCTTAGGGTCGAAGTACCACAAATAGCCGTAGACCATGTCGCGAACTTCACGTGGTAGGCGAGAATGCATCTGAGCAGTGAAAGCACGATTCCATGCCCTACTGTACGGAATAACAGTACGGTGTAGTACCAAGTCGTTCAACCAATCGTTGTATTGGCCATGGAGCATCAGGCGTTTTGTGAGAAGGCATCGCTTCTTTAGCTCTAACTGCTCTACTTCCTTGTCGATATTCCTCGCACTGTTGCCGGTTAGTCAAGACTGGATCGAGTGTGGTGCCTACATTAGGGAAAAGGCTTACTCGCTCGTGAATCGACTACCTCTACGTTTGGCACTGTAAGATGTTAGTTGAACGAGGTCCAATGTAGCCGTGCACAACAGGGCGGGACACATGCCGTAAAAGTCTATCTCGAGCCTGACGAAGCTGCTCCTCATTAGAGGTCACTGTGGATTCTGGCCCGCTTGCAGAGGTCATTGTTGGAGTATAAGAGTGATGGATTGATTCTACGGAGGATTCTGACTGTATAGACAGTACGCTAGTGGGTATGGAAGGTACCAATAACAGCACATGAGATGGCTCTTTCTTCGGTCATCTCGCACGACGATGCAATTCTTACGGGCAGACGCGGAGGTAGAGGCATATGAGAAGTTGTGCGCTCCGCCGCATGCTCTCACAATCTATTGTCGAAGAACGCGGTTGCTGTCCCAAAGCGAATAAACCATATTCGGGCCTCAACTTTCACCGGTGACACGTGGATGATGCATCCTCATGTCTATATTGACCCCTCTACAGTCCTCATCATGTCTCGTGAAAGAATTACGAAAGGCGTTAGACAGCTGCAGAAATCGGAGTGATACAAGGCTTTTAAGTTTACCGGGCTTCAAACACAAGATGAACATGATGCGCACGATTTACGCCGTAAGGCTGATCTCCTTGTCAGCCTAAACCTCGGCAATGGTCCCAGCTCCCTCATCGAGCTAGACTGGAAATCACAATCATGACGCGTGCAGCTGATCAACGCGTCCTCAACACCAGATACTGGTTTACTTTGTATCTGGTTCGTGCATGTCGTGGAGCACAGAAACGCCACATTTTCAGGCATCACTTTCTATCGTAATCGCGAACACGTCCTAGCAGATCAGCCCGGTCGCTTCAAAACCAAAAGTTTGAATATGACGCCTTCAAGTGGCCGTAAAGTTTGGCGTTTCATTATCTTATCATGCTGAGCCCTCTATGCCGTAAAGACACCGATGTCCTTCGGTGTATCTCGCAGTCGCATTCTTCGAATGTAAGTGTTCAGCACGTTCCACCTGAACCCCACATCGTTTTCGCTCTGGTCTATCTCGAAAACTCGTCGCAGCTGTGTTTTTCAAACACGGAATAGACCAGTCATGGATCTAGCTACCAACGTACTCAAATTTCTCCTCGGCATCTTCGCTGGCCTGATCGGAATCTATCTTGGCTTCGTATCGCTTCTGACTATCCCAACACTACAAGACCACGTCATCTTCTTGCATCGAGTAATCCGAACTTGGGGTCAGGACATAAACATACCCGAGCAATGGGGCTTTCTTCGCAATCAAGTTACGCCATTTCACCTCGAAACCCCAGATGGCGAGACTCTACACGCGTGGCACGTCCTGCCACTGGAAACATACCGCCAACACCAAGCCCAGCTTCGTGGAGAGCCAGTTGGACTTTGCGCAAATGTCGAAGAACGACTTTCTTTTCAGCTTCTTAAGGACTCCACTGCACAACTAGTCATTTATCTCCACGGTGCGGCAGGCACACTGGGATCTGGGTGGCGGCCACAAAGTTACAGAGCCATGAGCGCGACGTCAACCAACGTACATGTCCTTGCCATTGACTACCGCGGGTTTGGCACCAGTACGGGATGGCCTTCGGAAGCCGGCCTCCTTACTGATGCCCTTACATTGGTCAAATTCGCGACCGACACTGCAGGCATACCACCAGAGAGGATCGTAGTATTTGCTCAGTCCATGGGTACTGCGGTAGCAATATCGCTCACACATCACCTAGCCTCACAACCTATCCCTATTGTTCTGGCGGGAGTTGTACTGGTAGCGCCGTTCGCCGATGTAGAATCCCTGACCCGGACGTACAAAGTCGCTCGCACCCTTCCGCTCCTTTCTCCTCTCGCGGTCTTTCCGCCGCTCATGGCACTGCTCAATAGATTTATTCTTACCAAGTTCCCTTCCAAAGAGAAGCTCGCCGCACTCATTCATCGGTTAGACAGCATCAAGGTTAACGACAAACGACGGAGCTACAACATCACGTTGATACATGCCAAAGATGACTATGATATACCATGGAGTCATTCGGATATCTTGTTCTGGCACGCTGTCAATGCCGCCTCTGGGTCAACCTCGTCTATGACGTTTGAAGAGCTCGAACACATCAAGGCGAAAGAGAAGACAGCGTTGGGAGCTGGCGGCTGGGAAATGGAATGGAAAGGGAAGAAGGGGATCATTAGGGAGCAGATCGTCGAGCATGGTTCCCACGATCGTATCATGAGCTACCCCATCGTCAGCCTAGCTATCTCAAGGGCTCTTCATGAGTAGTGCAATATGCGGTGATTGCCAGGAACTCACGGCCTGACTGCAGCGATCAGCTCTCACCACGTCGGTCCGGTGGGATTCCGGCTATATAGTCGCATCACCGCACCAACTCAGTTTGACCGCCTCTGCATCATCCTGGTTCTTCCCACACAGAACACGTCGAGACTGAGGAACAATACGCCTTCTGCACTTCCTCCAACACAGAAGCGTTAGCGGAGGCGAGATAGACCAATACTTTTGCCGGCTGCTCGGTCGAACGCAACTCAGCGATGATATTTCGCCGACAGCCAACTCATAGATGCGATTGCGCAACCCGCGAAGTGATCAGAGGACAGGCGACTCAGTCTGGCGGTTGTGCATGGTTTTGCACACCGTCAGTAGAACATAAGAGCATAACGTGCCAACTCACACGTACTCTCATGAGCCAGTCATCGGCGTCGCTTCAAGCGTCGCCATACTGCAAGCCTGCTGTTAGATCTGTATGGTGGATGTAGATGAAAGCACGAACCCAAGAAGGACTAGGGTGTTTTTGGTTTTTGGGGTGTCTTACGTGCATTGAAACGGTGGGGCGGACCGTACCGTGTGAGAGGGGGTGGGGGTGGCACCTGATCTGAGTGTCCGGGCATATTCGCTCGTGAGCTGGAAGCGACCAAGAGAGTATAATCGGTGCAACAGCCTGCTTTCTATGCTTTGCCTAGGCATACTTAGAAACTATACCACTGGAAGCCGCAGGCGTCACCGGTTGTCCTGGTTGTCGACTGCTGCTCTAATACCAGCAACCTCCTCTCTCCCCCCTCTAGCGATAGTGTCACTGCTGCACTGATACGTTCAGTCTACATTGCATTTGCATGCATAATAGCGGTGTACCTTCAGCAGCATCCAAACTTTGTCGCCATTGCGAATGGGTGTCAACTGCGCGTGCAAAAACAATTATACTGCATAGCTTATGCTATAGCCTCAGGTGATCCTCATAACACTTACCTGTATAAATATGGCGAAGTAATGAGTGGCAAGCCTGAGAAACCATCTCACTCACAATCTCTCTTGGTTCTCTGCACTCTTCCAGCTGCTTCCACTATCAATTTGTGTCTTCTAATCCAGTACGATGGATTCCCTTCCAAGCACCTTCATCATTGAAATAGACGGCAGGCCCATCTCCAAGGTCAATGGCCCGATGGATGAATGGGATGGCCAATCATGCAAACTTGTAGAGGGTGGATCGGAACCAGCCGTTTTTGAACTACGCGAAAGCCGTCTCATGTCCGAAGGGCATATCCTTAGCAGACATTTCGTAGAGGACTTGAGCCTCAGGCCGAAGAGGGTATTATGGTTTAAGCCCGAAAATCGCTATAACGAACATCGCGTCGTTGCAGAAAAGAATGGCGATGATTACTCGCTCACCATCTCTGGTAGAGTGCTCTGTAGCTCTTCACTGTGCTTATTGCTAATCTTATGGGTAGGTTGTCCTCTTATGGTGAGAGACGGTATCGTCGTTGCGGACATCATGAGACGTAAGGTCTTTCCCTCTGACACATGGACACAGACTGATTATTTCAAGAGGAACCAAGCCGAGCCATCGTCAAGATGCGATAGTAGCTGCAAACATTTAGCAATTGCGAGTCTATGGCCAGTTAGATTATTGCTACAACCATAGGCTAGCTACACCTTTAAGTTGTGCAACTACAATTACTACACAAACCTCACCTATATTGTCTTGAAGCTGTGAACCCGTTCGTTCTTTGTACAAAGCAGCCGCAGTCTTGACCTTTCACAACTAGCAGCCCTTTTCGGCCCGATCCGTACCCAACACTACAAGACTGCTAGCAGTGCGGTGTCAAGCAGTGCGGTGTCATGCAGTAACCTTGACACACAACCCTGCACATCCACGGCAACCTTCTAAATCAAGTAAGCAGCATCTAGGAATTACCGCTAAACGATCACCAAGGCATCTTGGTCCGATCGTGTACAAGCTTGTCTCGTTTCAGAGCAAAGCCATGGCACAGCGTGACAGTGTTCATGTCGCGCCTGCATGGAAGTTCTTTACGCACGCACTCAGGTGAATTTTCTGCAGAGCAAACTGCTCTCGTCTCTCGAGTAATCCGCTAGGAAGATAGTATTTTGTATTCACGCATTGTTCGCTGCATGTGTATGCCACAATAGCCCAACATCACTCGTACTTTGGCAAGAATGAATGTTCTGTAGAGAATCTCGCGCTATCACCAAAACGTTACTTGCTTGGCGAAAGTGAGTCGCGTCGAGCCCTAAGCTTCCGCGCCCCATCTACAATCTTCTCCAGCGGACCTCGCTTCAGTACTCAGCTGGCACCTTCCATCTCTCTGTACGTCTCTCGTGCCCATGCATAGAACGCGATAGGCGGGTCAACCTCTTTGCGAGCAAGATACTTCCACCAATTCTCCCAGACATGCCGCCGTATGTACCCCAGCCGATACGCGACATGCCATCCGGTCGGCAAATCGAACGTATACTGCAGCTCCTCCAACGTCCGCATCCTCGTCTCTGGAACAAACAAGTACACCAACACGAAGGCGACCAAGTTCAGGCCTGCAAAGATTGAGAATGCAGCGGTCGGCCCAATACTATTCAACAAGAACGGGAAAACCAGGACCAATATACCAGCGCCCGAGAGATTGATAGCGACGGAGACAGCCATACCGGCTTCTCTCGACACGAGAGGGAAGACCTCTGCTGCAATCGAGAACGGGGACGTACCCGCCGTCGGAGCATAAAAGGCGACGAAAATGACAGCGAAGATGCTAATCAATGGGGTTCGGACGGACTCCGACTCAGAGATCTTGAAAAGGAAGGCAAACACCAAAATTGACCAGGCCATGTTTGGTAAGCCGAGCAAGAGCATAATCGACCGTCCTAATCGGTCGGAGGACCAATATGCTGGTAGCCCAAACACATAGTTTGCTGCTCCAAAGGCCAGACCTATTATCGCGGCAATTTGGTCGCTGTTGTCTGTAATGGCATTGTTCCAAATTATGGTGCCGAGGAACGCTATCGTATTAACGCCAGTTAGTGTTTGAGTGATCATGGAGACCGAAGCGCTTAACAGTGCCCGTCGACACCGTTTGTTGGACCACAGCTCTCTCAAACGCTTGTAATAACCGTTGACACCAATGTTATACGAGTAGGGATTACTCTTCTTCTTCGCTCGTTTGACTTCAGTATCGAGGTTTAGGCTTGTAACATCGCTCCATCTTCTGTTCAGAACCGCAAGCTCGATGTTGGTATTTTCGTTTTGCTCAGTATGCGATCTGTGTTGATGCTGGCTATTACCTGGCTCTATTGTTGTTCCTCCATTCGTTGCTTCCGTATTGGAACCTTGGATAAGTCCACCTGGCGGTATGGGCGCTTGCGAAACGACCGTTTCGAGCTGCACGCGATCTGGTGTTATCAAGGATGGCTCACTGGCGAAGCTTGACGTGCTGATGTCTACACGTTCGGCCAGGTTACCAAGTTGGTTGACTTTCCCCTTCAACAGTCGGCTTTCGAAATCCAGTTGTGCATGCGCATACATGAAATCGCGACTTGCCAACAACTGCGTGGTTTGAACCTGCTCAAACGCCTCCAGTGCTTTGCGGTAATTTCCATGCTTCATCAAGTACCGAGGGGATTCCGGCATCAAGTAGATCATGACCAACAACGGGATCGTGGGGATAAGCACCGTATTTGTGAGGATGCGCCATGCGGATGCGGAATCTTTGACGTAAACCACGACCAACAAATTCGCAAGAAACCCGAGAAAGATGCCTAACGGATCAGTATCCTATGCCGCTCGAGTACCTGAGAGGGGAACCTACCTGCTGCATCCGCCAATTGCCAGTTCGCCAGAATTGCGCCCCGAATATGTTCCGGCGATATTTCAGCCGCATATATAGGAACTACGTAGCATCAGTATCTTTGGCGCAAACAAAGCCAATGCTTCTCTTTTACCTATCGATGCTTTTGCGCCCAAAGCTATTCCATTGATAGCCCGACAGGCTGCGAGCTGGCCTACATTATGCGTAACCGACGCACCGATTGTTGAGGCTATTGTGATAGCACAGGAGAGCATCACACTACCTCGCCTCCCCAAGAAGTTCTCTTGCAATGGATCTGCGAGAAGTGTGCCAAAGAGGCCCGCGGAAAGCAAGGGTACGGCATTCAGCATTCCAAAAGTCCAGAGGTCAGATGAAGGACATCCATGGTTTCTGCGAACACATAGCTTAAACTCGTCTGGCATGCCATAGGCAGTGCCATTGTTCACGCTTTGCGTCCAGCCCTGAATCATTCCTGCCAGACTTGCCGTCATGATCGTCGCGCGCAAGAATTTGGACTGCTTCCAAAATCCTGTACTCTTGTCCTTCTCTTGCTCTAGAAGCTTCTTCTCCCGCCCTGTGAGCTCGTCCGCATATCTGCTGATAGTCTCAAACTTGTCTCGAGCGAGTCGAGCGCCGAATCGAAGCAACTCGTACCGATCTTTGAGATCTGCTAACGCCGCAAATTGCCAAACGTATTCTTCTAACTCGGTTCTTCCGGTATTGAGATCGGCTTTTGTATCATCGAATGTCAAGAACGGATTATCTATGCTACAGACTGTCAGCCACACTCAAAATATGCTGATTCATGCACATACGTCTGTCTTGCGCCTGTTGAGCGTACTCGATTTGTCGCCAGTCTTCGATTACCAACTGTATTTGCACAATCTACTGCTCTCATGGTGGGCATAGACTCTCTACCGGAGTATGCTGCTACAAGCCTAATTTGGTGTGCGACGACATGCCGGATTCAACAATATATGTCCATTTTCCGCAATAGGCTGACACCAACAAGGCTGACCGGTGCTTCCAACTATGGAGCCCGATCATCCATACGACATGTATTGTCGAGGTCCTTCACCGTCATTCTGCCTACGTCCAATTTCCAAAGGGAGGCTGAGCAGTATGTATGAGTTCTTGTGATCCCTTTACTCTCCACGGATTGGTTGCCTTGCATTTACTTTTGATGTGCACTCTTGCCCCTTCCTAGGCGGCGCAGGCCTAGAAGACGATGGCCAATCAACAGACGCTACCAACCCGCATTCGGCACGAAGGTCAGCTATTGCATCACACTGTGGCTTTAGTTTTATTGGTGACACCTTGTTCTTCCTTCAGCCTTCTTTCCAGCAGACTGCCTTGTGGTTTACCTAACAGGGATGCGCGACTGCGAGAGCGTCTGTTATACCCATTGCATCTCTAGCTAACTAGGTGAACGCAGGTTCGCGCGACTCTGAGATGAATCCCCAGATCATGAGATCCGAGACATTACGTATCCTCGCTGGACCAGGCGATACCTGCCGTCGCGGGTAAGCTGGTAGACGGCACGTAAGCGGCTGCCTGCTTAATCTGCAATAGTGCACTGTCGAGCTTCCCCGCTTACCCCAGGCACGCCTGAGATCGCCCTTTGCTCTTGGCGCGTCAAACCCAACCCTTATCCGGCATAGACCCGTCCGACCATTTCATACCTGACACTTACGTCAACTCCTCTTACACGTGTGCTTCTCACATTACCCGTCCCTCCGTTCGTTGCTGGTCACGGCCAGACTCCACGCGTTCTGCTCAGCCTCTCCTCCATCCTTGAGCCTCCTTACGATATGCATTCTTCAAGCAAAGCCAATACTACACATGTAACGTTTGTTGCACTTCTGCACGCACATCTAGCAATATCCCTGTGAAACCCCATAGCCCTGCTCTAAGCTTTTTTGACGATCCGCTTCAAAGTAGACCTCAATAGCACTTACGAACCTGAAGCGACGATGGCCGAGCCGGTCTCAAGCATAATTACCATCGCACTGCTCGGAGTTGCCGTCGTCAGAGGATGCAAGACCTATATTGACGCTGTGCGGGAGGTAGACGAACTAGTCGACCGGCTTTCCCGCAAAGTAACGGATCTGCATAGAATGGTCAGCTTCCTCAACTCAAAATACCAGGAAGCCGAGCATGACAGCGATAGCGAGCAGTCGCTTATTGTACGTGGAAAGATCACGCAATGTCGCAACAAATTTCGAGAGATCAAGCCCAGGATACTAGAGTTGAAAGCTCGGAGTACGGAGAGCTTTGTCGACAAAGTCTACTTGGAACGCAAGATGAATACGGTGGCCAAAGATATCGAGGTTGCGGTCGATGAGATACGACAATGCCTGATGGACATCGTTCTAGTCACTGGAGTCTGTTCGCAACTGTTAGTACAAATCTACCTTCGATTTTAACACTGCTAATATACTGTTTTAGCGAGTTCACCTCCTATATGCGCCGCACTTCAGAATCTACGGCAGCAGTAAGTTGAATGATAACTGGTGTCATGGAAAAGCTCTCGCTGACAACCACAACCAGCCACCTATTCCACGAGACAGGATCCACGATCAAACCGTTGAAGACGATTCCACCGTGCTCGGCAGGTGGCTCTCGAACGCGGAAACCATCTTAGAGCCAGTACAGATCCGTAGAGACTCGACCACGACTTCTTCATCGCGTCCCTCCGTCTCTTCCTTATCTTCGAAAGATATTCTAGCTCAATCGGACGCCGATGATGAAAGCATACTCTCAGCACAAACACCCGTCACCTTAGACCCAAGCGAAGATTGGAGAGATTTCCACAAAACAGTATTGCGATGCGAGGATGGTTCTGCTCTGATTGAAGAGGTCAATACAGTGCTGGAGAAGCATCCACAGCCGAGTGCACTTGTCAACATCCTGGGGGACCACCAACGCGCCCCCCTTCATCTCGCAGCCATGCGCGGCAATGTCGAGCTTGCCCACATTCTACTCGCCTTTGGTGGGGACATCCACGCTAAAGATACCGAACCCGCTTCTGTACTCGATCACGCTCTCGCGAACAAACAAGTCGACTTCGTTACCCTTCTACTCGACAAAGGGGTGGATGAGACGGCGATACTAGATCGAAACATGGACCAGTTGAAGGAGATAAAAGGTATCATTGCTTTCAGAAAGATGCGGGAGCAAGACCCTCCACGGGAGAAGACAAGAAAATCCAGTTGGGGCTTCGGAAGAAGGCGCTCGAAGTGAGGTCTGCTTGTTCTCCAAGAATCACGATCCAAAGCACAGCCGTGAATCGAGGTCAGGACTACATTGATTCCGCGATGTCTACACAAGATCACATCGTTCTCAAAAAGATGCTCGTGTCACTAGCCGATTCGATCGTGCTTCAAGTAACCATAAAACAGCACGATTACGGACTTGCTGGTTTACCACGATGTCACCCTAGGCTTTCGGTTTATGATGGTTGAGTTCCTTCAAAACGCCAATTACCATCCCGCTGCCTGGAAACCCGACACGGACTCAGAATCTTTGGTCTGGATCAGAACGTGCGGTATCAATCCATACATATGTCGCGAAAGTACAGACAGATATGGCCCTCTCAGTGGTGGTGGCGTATCGATCGCTCTTTCTACACACTCATCGCCGAACTCTGGCGTTCCACCTCCAAGCAACTCAAACAAGCGGGCACTTTCGACTCTTGACGACATCCAGCCAGACAATGTGTCCCACAAACGACAACGCGTCGCTCCAAGCATACCAAAGGGCTCAGGCTTCGCGCTCTACCATACACCAACACCTCGCCACATGTTGCTACACCTTCAGCTCTGGGAAGTAGCCGACAAGTATTTGGTGCCTGATCTTCAAGCTCTCTGCACCTGGAGATTCAAGGAGGCAGCCGAGTATTACCATAGTCATCCAGAGATGATTGATGCAATCTTGTTCGTTTATGAAAACCTTTCCGAGAGTGCGAAGGATTTGCGGAAGGTCATAGTGACGATCGTTGATGATAATCCTGTCCTGCTTGAAGATGTGGAGATTCAGGAATCTGCGTTCTATCAAGAGCTATGCGACGTAGTGGCATCGTTAGCCAACGGTCGGACGAATCAGCCAGACCTTTTTAGGGGACAGTCGCAATGGTTTCAAAGGAGCAATTGGCCTCATGTCTCTTAGGCTTTGGAATCAGAGCTCATGTGACATGAGCAGCGTTATCAGACTGTCATAGGCTTCGATAGGATATTGAGTGTTGTAGTAGTTGTATTAATCATTACTCATTACATGTTGAGATGAACGTAGTTGAACCTGCGCTTGTCATGCTAGCCTCACAGTCCTACTCCTTCTTAGCCCAGTCTACAAGCGCGTCTTGACCCAGTTTATCTTTGATGATCCGCTCACTCAAATCCCACAGTGCAGCACCGAGATTCTCGTCACTGGCTTGAGAGGTCTCTTTGCCTGGTTGGCCCTGTAATCATACGTCAGTCGATAAGTTCAGTAGACAACAAGCATCAAAACCAAAGATGTATCTTACGGGGTCGCTGAAATAGAATCCATTCATGTCCTTCTCCTCAATCTCGTCCGATGTGCATGCCCAAAGCGCACTGTATGAACCCTGCTCAACGTCCCGACCAGCAAAAAGCATTGCATTCGACAGTAGCTTGCCGGTAATTCCCGGATATGCGTCCTTCCACTGCTGCTGCATAGCTGTATTGACTGCACCTGGATGCACGGCGAGAGCGTATACGTTGTCGCCGTTGGGCTTGATAACGCGGTCCCGCAGACCAAACTTTGAAAACAGGATCATGGCTAGCTTAGTGCGTCCGTACAGCCGTGTCGGATCCATGGAACTATCGTTAATCTCGTCCATGCTTGCGAAGTGCACATCTGATGGCGCTGTGCGATGCATCTCACTTGACTCGAAAACGACTCGTGGTGCCGGCTTGGTCCCCATCTTTCCCGTCTTCCGAAGCACTGGCCATAGCTGGTTGCAAACATAAAAGTGGCCTAGGTAGTTCACGCCAAAGTGACGATCAATACCATCAGCGTCTTCACCATATTGGTTCCTGGAGTTTTGTGTACGAAGTCAGTTCATGTCTTACATGCATCTCGTTACGTGAGTGTTACTGACGTGTTGATTCCAGCAGAAAGCACGAGGAAATCGAGACGCTCAAGTGAATTGCGCAACCCAGAGAAGACTTCTTTGACTTCCTTGAGGCTGCCCATGTCACAGTGCTTCCATTCAACGTCGGCATCTGCCTTCTCTTTCTTGATGCTAGAGATTGCTTCGGAGCCTTGTTCTTCTTTGCGATTTACCATAATTACTTTTACGCCAGCGAGGGCAAGCGCGCGACTAACTTCGTAGCTGCAGGGAAAATTAGTGGTAGTTCAACAGTCGAGAAGATATAGCGGTACCCGATTCCAAGGGCGCCACCAGTAACCACAGCGACTCGCCCGTCGAGGTTCTCCGGATGGACCTCTTTGGGTCCGACGACTTTGTGAAGAATTGATTGCATGTTAGGCTATAGATCTGTAGAGACGCGTTGGTGTCGAAGTGGTTTTGTTTTGGGCGGAGTGTAGAAGAAAGAAGCTGGAAACTTCATTTAACCACTTTCTCCTATTGTAATACACGTATGTTTGTAATTACCAGATGTGACGTTTTGGGTTATTCGCCGGCTGGCATTCTCACATGTGAGGATACGTCGTGACGTCATCGGTGTCTTGCGACAACCTACATTCTCAACAGCATAAAAAAAAAGAACAAGTCAGACTATGGCGAGAAACTCATGTCAGTGTCGCTTCATTTCTGTGATAGGACGAGTGGGAAAACTCATAGCTCGACGGTTTGTTATCAGATGTTAGCGCAAAGCTGGGATCTCAGACGCCTTATACAAGCTTAAGTTATATGCAATCGTTCGGTCTTGTCCTAGGATATATCGAGCATACCGACATCAAAGTGGGCAACTTGTTCTCTACTGTTGAGATTGGGGACATTGGACAGCATATGTGCCTAGAAGTATGTATCTCCACTTAGACAAAAACGTTATTTTTAAGGCTTTCTGCTTCGATTCTGTGACTCGTGGTAATAGTTTGTTATCATCCGATTGGAGATTAGAGTGTCCACGAGTTTATTGGAACGCTAGACATAGTACTTCATGCAGCTCTTAGTTTGATGTCCAAGAATACCAAAATAGAAGACGTGTCTATTAGTATGTCTGGAGGCCATAGTTGCAGTGAGCATAATGTGTAAAATGTGATAATGCGACAACATGATGGCTGCTGCATCTGACGCGAGTGAAGGTGGGAGCGAGTTCGAACGATAGAAGCTTGTGACGTCACAATTACGATCGTCGTTCATTGGCTCAGCCATTTCCGATATACAGCATCACGATGATCGTTACAACTTGATCGGCCCGCTTGTACTCTTCCGCTTGCAGTGGTATCTACAACGATCCAGCTATTCCGGCCTAGTGTACTGAGCATGTCCAAATCTACCGATGGTAAGATGGATTCCGGTTCACCCGGCACGCGGCTTCTCCAGGATGTCATTAACACATCCTTCACCCGCACGCCTCTACCGTTAGATAGAGATAGCGGCACCGAGCTATACAGACAACACAGCCATAAGGTAGGAGAAATGCAGAATCCAAAGATGGAAAGAGTCACATCGGGTCCTCAGACCTCTACCTCTACCTCGAGGCGCTCAGCGAATGGATATATGCCGATCGAAGACTATGGGTTGATTGGAAATATGAGGACTTGTGCCATGGTTGCGACAGACGGTGGAATAGGTATGTGATCTCCGCGTACCAGCCGTGTATCGACATATACTGACTTCATACGTCCAACTCAAGATTATATGTGCTGGCCTTACTTCGACTCACCATCCGTTTTCTGCAGGATCCTGGACAAAGAAAAGGGTGGCCACTTTACAATAGGTCCAACTGGCGACGATTCCTGCACAACCAAGCAACAGTATCTGCCCGTGAGCAATGTTCTCCAGACACGCTACCTGAAGGAAGAGGGCGTCATGAACGTCGTGGACTTCTTCCCTCGACCAAACGACAAGAGTTGGGATGCCAAATATCATGCAAACGTCGTCGCAAGCAACCATACAGGAAGCGTTCCCGAGCGCCCCGATCTAAAGAAGTGGCTCGTAAGGCGAGTAGAATGTATGCGGGGCAAAGTTGACGTGTGCGTCGAGGTCTTCCCTGCTTTCAACTATGCACAAGACAAACACACTACCGAGATCGCCGACATGGGTAAGAGCGCTCAGGGACGTGGTCTGCAACGAGTCATCCTCAGGTCCAAAGATCTATCCCTGGAGCTCAATGCGACGATCGATTGTGGGGATGCACCTGACGGTGTATGCCCAAGGGTGGTCTTCGAGGAGTCACCAGAGCCACAAGATCTAGGCGTAGGCGTCACGGCTAATTTTACCTTGGAAGAAGGTCAGGCCGTATCCTTCATTCTGCGTGACGCAGAAGACCATAGTCCAGACATCATCGAGACGGAACAAGTCCAAGAATTGCAAACCAGCACCCAGAAGTACTGGGCTAGGTGGATAGAGCAAAGCAAATATATGGGTCGTTGGGAAGAGGTGGTTACCAGGAGCTTGCTGATCCTCAAGATGCTGACCTTTGAGCCCAGCGGAGCAATTGTTGCGGCGCCGACGTTTTCCCTGCCCGAAGACTTTGGTGGATCGCGAAACTGGGATTATCGCTACTCGTGGGTGCGCGATGCGTCTTTTACGATCTACACTTTTCTCAGGATGGGATTCAATAACGAAGCAGAAGCTTATATAAGCTATATCTTCCAGCGCGTTAAAGAGGCCAAAGCACGACAAGGAGCTTTGCCGATCATGATGACCATTTGGGGCGGCACAGATATACCGGAGCTCGAACTGCCCCATCTGGAAGGGTACAGGGCCAGCCGACCGGTACGGATCGGCAATGGCGCAGCTTTCCACGTACAGTTGGACATCTACGGTGAACTGATGGACGGAATCTATCTTGTGAATAGATTCGGACGTCCAATCTCGTACGATCAATGGCTTCTTGTCCGAGAGATTGCGGATTATGTTTGTACCGTCTGGAAGGAGTCAGACATGTCGATCTGGGAAGTACGGGGTAAGAAGCAGAACTTTGTATACAGCAAGATGATGCTGTGGGTGGCTCTTGATCGAGCACTGCGCCTAGCAGATAAGAGGAGCTTTCCGTGTCCGCATCGAGCTGAGTGGTACCGGATTCGCGATGAGATGTATGAAGAAGTCATGGATAAGGGCTACAACTCGGACTTGGAATGCTTCATACAGAGCTACGAGTCGAGCGACGTCCTAGACTCGGCTGTACTGATTGCGCCTCTGGTCTTCTTCATCTCTCCGACTGATCCTCGGTTCCTGAAGACTCTCGACCGTATACTCAAGGCTCCTGAGAAGGGCGGTCTGACGAGTACCGGTTTGGTGTACAGGTACAACCACGCCCTGAGCGACGATGGCGTAGGCGGGCAGGAAGGCGCTTTTAGCATGTGCACATTTTGGCTGGTCGAGGCCTTGACAAGAGTAAGCGCCATGCGTTCCCCCACTTAATCTTGTTTGGTTACTAACGATGGCAGGCTGGCGCGTACGATGAGAAATACCTGTTGCAAGCGGTTACTATTTTCGAAAACATGTTGAGTTTCGGAAACCATCTGCACATATTCTCAGAGGAGATTGCGCGTTCGGGAGAGCAGCTGGGCAACACACCGCAGGCGTTTAGCCATCTGGCGCTGATTTCGGCGGCATTCAACTTGGACAAGACGCTGAGCGGGCGACGAAAGTAGAGTGGTTGACGGGTACCATGGTCATAGCGATAGATGCAGCAATTCAAATGCTCAGATGAAACGTGCATGCATGTTCTAGATGAGTGCGCTAATCTAAACGCACGGGGACGATCGGCAGCTAGCACGTCATGGCTTGCATTGTCCCATAGCCGGAATGAGGTCTAATGTCGCTAGTTGGAGGCTGCCGTGCGCCTGGAAGGAATGTGTGGCGCTGGCTACCAACCGCCCCTGACGCGCATTGACTGGCCTGGCAATTCCAAGCCGCGCAACTTTCAAGGCTTTCTTGATCTTCCATCTCTCGACAACGCACCCCAACCCATCGCCCGCAGGCCATGACACAGCACCCCCCATAATACCTTCTCTATCACTCTCTCTATAATTCCACTTTCGCTCCATTTTCGGCCTCTCTTCTGTCTCGCCCGCACAACACGCACCCAAGGCCGTCATCGACTCATCACCTACGCGTCGCAATCCGCGCACATCCCCCTCACCATCCATTTCACCATGTCGCTGTCCACCTCTTCCTCCACCTCATCCTCCTCCTCTAGCGTATCCAACCTTTCAGTCATTGACGAAAAGATGGAAATGTCCTCGCCGCCCACAGACCTTCTTGTCAGAGATTTCGGTTGGCCGTCAGTTTCTCCTCGCTACCACGGCGACCACACTCAAGAAAGCAACCCGGACTGGGACCACGACCCGCTTGAATGCGAAAAGGCAAAGGCAGAGGCCTTCGAGAAGATGGAGAGGAGCTACGCCCTCTACATGGCCAATCTTGGAAAGCGGCCGCCGGTGCAGAAGAAGAAGGCTGTTTGGGCTCGATTCCTGCCCTGGGTGCGTTAAACCTGCACTTTTATTGACCGCCCCATCGCATGTGTGCGAACGATACCAATGCGAGGCTTTGCAGAGACATGTTGTCGCTAAAACAAATTCCTCGCAGCGCCTATTCGCAACGTCGCCTCGACGACGACCTGGATACCCGTTTGATTACCAAAAAACAATTACCCCAAGATACCCATTGATACGAAAAAGAAAGAAACAAAACGCCGACAACTGCATTGAGGACAGAAAGGAAGCATTGCCGACGCATACCCTGGTCCACGCATGGATCGGAGGCTGCACGGAGTCTAGATCCGGCCTGCCGAGCCATGGTGACGAGGGAAGGTGCGGGGCTGGAGTCCACCTTGCCGCATACACTGCAAACAATCTTTGATACCCGTTTCATTGTTTCTTTTGTCACAAAAGCCCTGTGCTTTACTCTACGATCTCGTCAGCATATACCCTTTGTATACCCAGTCTAGATTCATCTTTTGCGCTCGAGCGACATAATACTACTAATACATCAACGATTTTTATTCCGCCACTCGGCTTCTGCTATGCTCCATTCCGGAGTCGTGACTACGCGCCGCGGGGTGATTTTCTCCTTGGTTATCGGGAATGGTCACCCTCACTCCACTGTCATGCAGCGGTAGACCATTCCCGACCATTGCACCAGGTAGACATATCAGCATGTCTCCACTGCACAGCGTGTCGGAATTTTTTAATCTTGCTTTATTCTCCGTCGATGCTGCCCGCCCTCCCTTCATCCTTTCCATTTGGCTTTCACGAACAGCTGATTCTTACCTCCACACTGCATACGTAACCTTACTCAAAGCATTCTCACCACATTCTCCTTGAGTTACATCATCACCATGGGCTCAATGCCAGAGAAAACCATGCGTGCGCAACAGTACGACGCGCGAGACAACAAACTTCACCTGAATGAGGTGCCTATCCCAACACCGCGCGAGCACGAGGTCCTAGTAAAGATGGGCTGCACATCCCTCTGCCACTCCGATGTCATGCTCTTCGAGCCCAATGACCAAGGCCTTATTCTCGGCAAAAACCCTGTCACTATTGGCCATGAGGGAACCGGCAGAGTAGTGTCAACCGGCTCAGGAGAGGTAGCTAAGCAGTTCAAGGAGGGCGACCCCGTAGGCTTCCTCTGCGCAGTCGACTGCTGCTTTGAATGCTACGCCTGCAAGAATGTGCATAACGCATGGTGTGCGACAGGGGAGACAAAGATACAAGGATTTAGTTCGGACGGATATTTCGCCGAATACGCAGTCGTAGATGCTAGGGAGGTTATCATATTACCCGAGAACCGTCAGTCAAACTGGATAGAAAGCGAGCATTAATGGCATGCTAACTTCACTGCTCCAGTGGACCCTAAAACGTCAGCACCCCTTTTCTGCGCAGGTGTGACAGCCTACCACGGTATCGCAGATTGCCAGCTACCCGCCGGCTCCTGGCTCGCGGTAATCGGATGTGGTGGTCTCGGCCATATGGGTATCCAATACGCCAAAGCCATGGGTCACAAAGTCATCGGCATCGATATCACAGACGCCGCGATAGAGGAAGCTAAATCCTGTGGCGCAGACTATACCTTCAACTCAATGACGGACAAAGACTACAAGAAGAAGATTGTAGAGCTTACCGGAGGCGGTGTACATGCTGCCGTAAATTTCACAGCGTCAAAGAAGTCTTATGACGATTGCCCGGCGATTGTTAAGCCTGGTCAGAGTATGATCATGGTTGTAGGCATTCCGCAGCAGCCGCTTGAATTCAATGGATTGGATATTGCTTTGGGGAGGTATCAAATAAAGGGGTCGAGTAACGGGAGTAAGCAAGCACGCTATTCAATCAAGGCAACGGAGCTGACCAATCTTTAGCATGCTACAATATGAGGGAGGCGATTGAGTTCTCGGCGAAACATAACATCAAGCCGCATATGACCGCCTTTAAGCTTGAGGAGGTGCCGAAGATGGTCGAGCTGATGAATGCGCACAAAGCAAAGGGACGGATGGGTGTTGTATTCGAGTGAGAAAGTGTCAACTGTGAACACGGGACGTAACCCAACACATACGATAAGAACGTTTTTCGACACTTGCCTCTTGAGCAGTCTATTCAAACACTACCACGCCTATCTCTAATACTGCATCACACCTTTCTCTGCTATCCTACAAAAGTGTACATGAAGTACACATCTGCTCACCCCCTCCGCTGCTACTGAAAATGATTATCACTTCTCCATTGCTTGGGCCACAAAATCCGCTCGTCATAAGCCATGAACTAAAAGCGTTTGTTCCAAAGATGATCTAGGTGTAGGAATATGATCTAAAGCGGCGATCAGTAAATCAGTTGTTTCTCTGTCAAAGATTCTTCCAAGAAGTGGTTGACACAGTCCAATTTTCTCTTAAGGAGAATGTGCACCTCACCCACTATTGAGAAGTTCTTCCGGACAGATGTACGAGCACAGATCCATCACACTATTCTGAAAGAACATCAGTTGCGTATCAAGACGTCTATTCTGCCCTGTCCTCTTCCCTTCCTATCACTAACAATCCATTCAATATTGTCTAAAATAACGGACTACCTCATACAAGAAAAAAACCTAGACAGATACAGGAATAACAAACCCTACCTTGCAGCCTATATCATACCCTAATAAGAAAAGTTATAGAGATGATTAGTATTGTAGATTTCTAAGTTTTATATGTATATGTACATAGCTCTTAACATGTTCTTTTGAAGTAAGAAGTAATCCTCCTAAAAGGGATGTTTTTTCTAATACAGTGGAACAAAGAATGCATTGACAACATCTCTTTCGCCTCGAAACTTGCAAGAAAGGTCGCGTGCGTCTGAGAATGCTTTCATCGACCAAGCCACTTATCAGCTTCCAAACTTTCTTGCGCTACTACACGCGGCGTCCTGGCCGCAAAACAAGAATCGATACACAGGTGCTTCGTTAAACCCCCAGAAGTTTTCTCCTACACTCCAATACTTGATATTGCATGATTCAAAGAGTGCATCCGAACTACGCAATGGGCATGCAAATTGGAGAGCTTGCCGTCGGAGTCCTGTTTATCGCTCCTCTGCTTCTTTGGAGAGTTTCTATCTTGCAGAACTAAGGGAAAGGTTGTTCAATACATGACTTGGTCGCCTCCTTGTTAGCCTTGTAAAGGAGATGTCATCCAGTCCAGGCGCTAGGGTCATCAGATACTCAAATATCATCCATGGTTGTCTCAAAATGGCACCCTACCTAGTCTATGGAGAAAAGACTTGTGAATACCTTCTCATCTTACTCGAAACTCAATCCCTGTTCCATATGTGCAGTAAGTTTGAGTTAAGTTTTAGGGAGCAGTCTGCCTACGAAATTGTGCCGGTCTGCTGTAGTGAAGAGGGATTGTTGTCCATAGTTTGTGGTGATGATGATCATTATCTATGTTCTGTCATTGAGATTGCTCCTCCTCGTGCTGCTATGATCGAGCGCATAGTCTGCTGCCAGTACGCTCCAGCCCATACGCTCCACGTGTCTTGATGCTTTTATCGTACACCGCTCTACTCCTTTGCTCCACGAAAACCACAACTTCGCTGGCCTTGTCTCTTTTATGCCACTCTCTTAGACAATGGTCTCCAACTCTCTCGCATACCCAAGAGTGTTCTCAATGACCTGATCGCTTGTAACCAAGATGTCTCTGCTCATGTATTCGTCCTCCTGCTGAGGGAAGTATATCCGTCCGTCCTTGACAACCCAACCGCATTCCTTGGCAAAGTTGACGACGCTGCCTTCCGAGTCGAGGAAGAGGAGTGATTTGGCGTCGGAGATGGGAATGGAGGGGTATGCGCGCTCACTGCAGGACGCGATTTCCTTGCGGATAGTGCCGATGAGAATCTGAGAGTGTGTTAGCAACGATCCAAGTCATGATACAAAGACAGCATGTGCGGCATGATAGTGGCAGTAACGTACCTCAGTAAACAGAGCAAACTCCTCGCCAGGCACCCTCTCGCTCTTTGTCTCGACCCACACCTTGTCGTAGCTTCCCTCCATAAGCGCTTGCTCCAATTTTATGGGATACTGAATGAACTGATCAGCCTCGAGCTTCGCGCCGGCCTGCGCAGCCGCCACCTCGAGCGTCTCTAGCAGTGTGTGGAAGCCCGCGTAGTCGCCCTCGCTCAACAGCAGTAACAGATATAGACCTGTGACCTTGCTGGAATTACTGCCATCCTTGGGTAGTGTGGACTCTGGCAGGGAGTAGAAGGGCTGGAGCTGCTGGAAGTAACGGGTAAAGGACTCGGTGTCTTTGAGGCGGATGGAGATGATGGCGCCTAGCTCGAGCGTCTCACGTGCGAGCTGCAGATGTTTCCGTGGTGTCTTCTCTTGTGGGATGAGGGCGTTGAGGTTGAGGAGGGCGATCTTGGCTTTGCCTAGTAATGAGGTCGACTGCTGGTAGTTGTGCGACTTGAGCGTCTGGTGGAGCTGCTGGAGCACGGTGGAGAGTTCCCTTTCAGCCATGGTGTGCGGTGGTTCGGTTTTGGTAGTGCAAGTCGATGATACAGAGACTGGTCGAGGTGATTGAGTGGGTCGGATTCGTGATGTGGTTGGGGTGTTTGTTGCGGCGAGTGGAAGCTTCGGTGGTATACGTCGGGAGACCGTCGGCGTCGGAGGTGCTGGGCTTAGCGTGCTCCCCAACCGCCACGCCGCGTCATATCCTCCCTCAAACGTTCTATAACGAATATATGCCATTTATTTCACTTGCTCTCAAACATGCTGAAAGAACCCATGAGGGCGAAAGCACTGTTGTAATTGTTTCCCAGATATAAGCCTGACATCCCACGCGGACCAGGCACCAATACCTGCAGATGACCTAGTCGGTCACATTGTCTCAGCGTGGGAATATCACTACTGGCGGCTGGTCTGCTTTCGCGTTGGTCTACTCTTGTTTGCGATACTGCAGCTGACGTCTCGTCTTGAACGTATACAGAATTTGCCTTCCATGACCGATTGGGTAGTCAGCACGCCACGCCTTACGCTGTGTGACAGCAGAGATTACTTCTGTGGAAATCTTCTACCCTGAGTACAGTACCAGAGCAAATCAACATGCCCATGCTTTGACCGGTCCATAGTTCCAACATACATGCTACTGGTGCCTAGTATTGAGTTCCCCAAATCATGTCCTTTCCCCTTATCTCCTCCTTCCAAACTTTCCCTTCGCACCAGTCCCTGCTTTGCCTTTGATATTGAGCCTCCGATAATTTGCGTTTGCCGTAGCTTTGATCTTGCGGGCCGCCGTCTTGAGTGCGCTCTCTTTGACAGGCTTCTCCTTTGCTTGTTCTGGCTTCTTTGCGGGCACTTTTCGTCTCGGGGTATGTGAAGCGTCACTCGCGTAGTCTGAATCTCCATCCAAGTCTGAGCCAAACTCGTCTTCCAGAACCGCTGGTACTTGAGTTTCTGGCACCCCTGCTTGTTCTCCCTCTGGGTCGTCGTTTGTCTGTGGTGCTGGCGTTGGCTTGGGCTTTACAATGTTCGGGCGCACTGAAAACTGTTAGTCATGTAGCTCGTTTGTTGAATACAGAATATCTTACTTATTACACGCCGCGTCTGCCTCTTCAAACCCTTCTTTTTCCAGACCCTTCGTGGCTTTCCATCAGGCCCGAGTTCTGGTTCTTCCTCACTGCCTTCGTCAGACTCAAGACCTCGGTCTGGCCCTAAGGGCATAGCAGCTTGGCTATCTTCTATCAGTATCTGTGACGCTCTGGGTTTCCTGGGGACGGCGATGCCTTCTTCCTCCATTTCCAGTTCGCGCATCATGTCCGCCTCTTCATCAAGTTTGTCGTCTTCATCTTTCCTCATCGCTTGTATCATGGAACTCAAGCTACGTCCAAGTCCGCGTCGCATCCAAGGTGCTGGTCGTGATATTGGCTCCTCCTCCTCGTCAATAGCATTCAGCACATTGTCTCTCCTCAGGAATGCAGGTGTAGCTAGACCTCGAGTCGTAGATGACGGTGTACCCTCCTCGTCTAACCTTCTCTTCTTCGGTGTGACGAATTGGTTCAAAAGAAACCGCTTCCCCGCCGACAGTGGCGTCCGCTCTCCCCTTGCTCTTGACTCTAGTGATGTCTCACTTGCTGCATCTTGAAGTCCCCTACTCGGAGTTTGCGGCACATTTAACCCCACATCTCCTAGTACAGTCCTCGGTTTGCTTGGTGTGCCATATGCATATGGGAGCATGTCGAAGAGACCTAGAACTATCCCGTCGCGCTGGGGCGTAGGTCCTATGACGGTAGGTCCTTGTGGAGACAGAAGCTCGGCTGCTAGATCTACGTTCTCTATTGCATCACCGTCCTCTCGTTTCCTCTTCAACGGTGTAGAGACGGTGGGCTTGGGCGCGGCTTTTGGTGTTCGTTCGACATCGAGGCTCGCTCTTCGGCTTGGGGTTCGCTTCGAGGGCGTCTGCGGCGCTGCTTTGCTTGACAGTCGTACTCGTAGCTTGTTGTAGTCTTTGTACATTTGCGCTGCATATGTTCAGCATGACTGTAGAGTGACCGGAACTCTTCTGTACGTACAAATCTCGGCATTGGCCTTGATATCATCGCGTCCCGCCTTTCGGCCATTATTCTCTGCTGAAAACTTCTTTTCCCAGGCCTTCAATTCATGTCGTAGCTCAGTGCAGCGCTGTTCGATCTCATCGTTACTCATGGCGTCTTGTGTCGAAGGGTGTGGTATGGGTGAAGACGGTCCGAAGCGGGTGTAATTGACATCAATATCCCAAATCGCGGTACGCGTTACGTGCACGCGACAAAACGCCACTAGCAGGGTATCTCAGCCTTATCGGCTCCACATCACATGCACATCATTCCCAAGCTTTTAATTGGCGAGCATGACGCATCAGATATATTCTACAAAATACTATTCACAACTCCCTGCTCGCGCGCTTGAGAGCTCGAACATCATGTCGCTGATGCATAAAGGAAAGCCGGACCAAAAAGGGGGAATCTAGTAGTGAACAGCCTTGTCGTAGGTGGCCATAGCAGCCTCCTTGAACGCCTCAGCGAGGGTAGGATGAGCGTGACATGTTCGAGCAACATCTGCAATATCGTTAGTATCTTGTCACGAAACGAGAAACTGCATGTTGACTTACCCTCTGAGCTGGCACCGTATTCGAGAGCAAGGGTACCCTCAGCAATCATCTCACCAGCGTTGGGTCCAATGATGTGGATACCCAATATCCGGTCAGTCTGAGCATCTGCGAGGAACTTGACCATACCCTCGGTGTCGAGGTTGGTCTTAGCTCTTGAGTTGGCGGAGAAGGGGAAGGTTCCGTTCTTGTACTTGATACCAGCCTCCTTGAGTTCCTGCTCGTTTTGACCGACCCAGGCGACTTCAGGGTGAGTGTACATGACGGAAGGAATGGCGCCGTAGTTGACGTGACCGTGACCCTTGTGGATGTACTCAATGGCAGCGACAGCCTCCTCTTCGGCCTTGTGGGCAAGCATAGGTCCGAATGTGCAGTCTCCGATAGCGCGGATGTGGGGAATCTTGGTGCGGTACTCCTGGTCGATGATCAAGCGGCCCCTGTCGTCGGTCTCAAGGCTGATGTTGTCCAGACCAAGACCAGATGTGTATGGGCGGCGACCGATGGCAACGAGAACGACGTCAGCGTCCATCTGTGATTGTTAGCAATGCTTCTGAATCGAGGTGCTTGCGCTGAACTTACGGTCTCCTCCTTTCCACCCTTGGCGGCCTCAACGCTGACCTTGACGCCAGCGTCGTGAACCTCACCTGCGGTAACCTTGGTGTTGAGCTTGAACTTCAGGCCCTGCTTTTGGAGGATCTTCTGGGTCGCCTTGGCGATCTCGGCGTCCATGCCAGGGCCACCAATTTGGCCCAAGAATTCGACGACAGTGACCTCGGCACCCAGACGCGACCATACGGAGGCCTGTGAATCGTTAGAAATGCCTTGTGGGTCAGAGAACTGTTCCTACCATCTCAAGTCCAATGATACCACCGCCGATGACGGTCATCTTCTTTGGCACTTCCTGGAGCGCAATAGCGCCAGTGCTTGTGATGACCTTCTGCTCGTCGATGGTCAAGCCGGGGAAGGGTGTAGCCTCAGAGCCAGTGGCAATGAGAATGTTCTTGCCGCGAACAGTGGTTTCGCCACCCTCGACCAGGTTGACAGCAACAGTGTGTTCGTCCTGGAACGCACCAGTTCCCTTGATGTACTCGACGTTGTTCTTCTTGAAAAGGAACTCGATTCCCTTGGTGAGACCAGACACGGAAGTGTCCTTTGCCTTCATCATGGCGGGGAGGTTGAGCTTGACATCGTTGACTTCGATACCGCGGCCTTTTGTGTCGTGGAGGATCTGGTGGTAAAGATGCGAGTTGTTGAGGAGCGATTTTGAGGGAATGCAGCCGACGTTCAAGCAAGTTCCACCGAGGGAGCCACGCTTCTCGATACAGGTGACCTGTCGCAGTGTGTTAGCTCTCTGGACCTCGAAATCTCTACGTCTGTTCTCGCTAACCTTCATGCCCGCCTGTCCTGCCTTGATGGCTGCGACATAGCCTGCGACACCACCACCAATGATGACTAGGTCCTTGTCCTCTGTCCAGCAATCAGCAAAAGTCACCGTACCGGTCTTTACGGCAATGCGACTTACCAGCTTCTGACGCATAGCCTCGTCGTAACCGGTTCTGGAAGTAGATGTTGGATGCGCAAAATGTCTTTTGGGAGACGGGCCGCGTCGCCCTTTGGATGGCGCGGGGTGCCAGTGAGCGGAACATGGTGGAGACTACCGAAGAATCGCTACCAAGAGAAGCCGTAAAGTGTACGGCGGGGATGACAGGCGTCAATGGATGGGGCGTGGGATGGGAGATGTGGTTGAGCTTTTTGCGGAGCTCGGCCGGGAAGGTCTATGCGGCTTCCGTAGGGTCAAGTGGCGCCAAGCTGACAAAGTGCCTCACATCTACTCCGTAACATCTTCGTCCAAGTATCGCGGCAAAATGGGTTTCGCATTACTATACACGGCAAACAGAGGGTATTCTTGCGATATCTGATGGTGAATGGTCTATTACTTTCCGTTTCTCAATCTTCCTGCAGAGTGGTCGTGGCCAGTACTTTCGTCAACATGTCCATTATCGACTTGCAAGCCCACCGCACGGTCTCTTTTTCCGTCTGCTCGACAATTTCCGTCTTGCTAACAGCCTTTTTCAGGAAGAACTGCAGCCCAGCAATCATCTCGGGAGCCTGGTCTACCTCCACAAACACTTCGCGCACTGCCCGCTCATCTCGCTTGTCCTTCGATTTTGATGACTTTAGCGACTCTAGGATTGTAGTGACTAACAAAACCTCGACAAAAGTCCTGGTTTTGGGCTGCAAATACGGGAAGTTGAGGTTCTTGAGAGTAGTGATAGGCAGAGCTTTTCGTCCAATTAGTGTGCCGTACAGTTTGCCTTGATTGACCAATTTTCGAAGAGATGTGTCGCCACCCGCATCGTCGTCGTCAGAGTCATCGTCATCTGCACCGTCTTGCTTCTCTCCTAGGCTCTTGAATATGTCCCAGAGCGCAAATTGGAAACTCTTCCGTGTCTTGTGGTCTGAACAGACCTTGCGGGCAAGAACAGTGTAGTATGGATTATAGGTCTTTTCAGCGCCTGCGCAGTGAACGATGACTCGTGGAATCTCTGCCTCTTGGGATCTTTTGAGGTTGAGCTTGTTCAATCGTATCTGGGCATCTTTGAAGTCGCTGGCAGACATGATGGAGATGAAAATGGCGCGCCGAATGTCTGTGTTCATGCGATGTTCACGAGCAAGCTGCACGAGGTCGACTTCGCTGTCTTCGTCCTCAATGTCGATCTTGGCTGTAGTCTTGCCGGCTTCTTTTGGCTCCTCGGGCTTTTCCTCGTTGCCTGGCTCATTTCGCCAGCTCGCTCCTACCAGCCACCATTTTCCTCTCTTCTCCGTGTCTTTGATATCCTTCAGCCCAACGCGTAACGGCTCAGTTGCTTTTAGGTTCCTTGAGTTCAGAGTACCCAACTGCTTCTTCATGCGGATCGTATGCTCTCGAGAAATCGCAGACGAAGCTATACCCGTCTTCATCTTGTTGTTTTTGAGATCATTGATCGTCTCGATCATGAACTTTGTTCGAACGGGCAGGTTACTCTGTCCAACTTTTGCCACAGACTTTTGCAGCAAAACAACAATGTCTTTGAGTGAACTTGGATCATCCTGTCGTAGTTGTGGGCCGGCTGCTCTGACTATCCTCAACAAGAGTTCAGTGTTGATTTCCGTGAGCTCATCAAGGAAAAATCGGATGTAGTCGAAAACGATGTTACTGCCGATAACTTGAAAAGTGTACAACTCCGCCACCAAAGATATCAAATTCGAAGTCTGTTTTCCATTGCCATCTTTGTTCGCCTGGTAGTGTTGGTCGAATTCTGTGACGATGCGCTCCACTATTTGTGCACCAAAGTCGGGCCCGATGACCTTGTACACCGCAGCGATGAAACCAGCGTGCAAGTTTACAAAGGTATCCAGAAGAGCTGTGGGATCCGACAACATGCTAGCAAGTAGGTCGACCAATGTATTGTTGACGTAGCCTCGAGGGTTGTTTTGGTATATATTCTCGATGTCGCGTAGAATTGACAATATGTTGGCTTCTGAGAGTCTGTTGAAGAGACCTTGAATTTGTCTTTTGAGACGTAGCAAAGCCTCCGTGTCTGACGAGGGAGGTGCTCTCAGCGCAGGCGGTATGTACTTGGTTGGTTGAGCATTTGGCGCTGCAGGGGCGACGTATGGATTCTCTCGTATGCGCGGTTGTTCTGGTTCCGCGTCCTCCATGTCGTCGTCCTCTTCAGAGCCAAAGCCGTCATCAGAGCCATCCTCTGTCTCATCATCCTCATCGAAGCCCGCCTCTTCAAGGTCCAAGTCCTCATCATCTGATTCAGAACCTTCCGACCCGCTGTCCTCTTCCTCACTCGACTCCTGACCCAGAGCTTTCCGCCTCTTGCTTGCGAGCCAATCATTGTCCTCATCCCTCTTCCTCTTTGTAGGTTGTACCTCTTCTTCGTCGCTAAAATCCCCAAGGTCGCCAAATATGTCGTCCAGGCCATCATCCGCTCCCTTGGATCTCTTTTTGCTCTTTACACCTAGCTTCTTCTCTAACTTGGCAATGTTGGCATCATCTTGCGCAAGCTTCTCCCGAGCGGCGCGTGATAATTTGGCAGGTGGCGGTGAGGCATCTTCAGGCTGTGGTGGCTTCGCTTTGAGAATGCTTTTCAGCGGCTTGGGCGATTCTTTCGCAGCTATTGGAGGTGGTGTAGCGTCGGATTCGATGTTGTCCCAATCTATTTCCTCTTCCTCCTCCTCATCGTCGTCGTCGTCGTCGGCTTCACGGCGTGGTCCCCGGCCATTGTGTGGATGCGATGGCGCTGGTCGTCTGACCTGCTTGTTCTGGCGTTTCTTCTCTACACGATCAGCCTTGCGCCTGTCTTTGCGATTCGGTGGCCCATTGCGCGGACCGTTTCGTCGCTTGTTGTTGGCTGGATCTGCTAGTGTCAGTAATAAAACATCACCAGGCCATGTCGAACACACCTCCAAGCTGGTTTCGCAGCTCAACGGGCAGTTTGGGCCCTCCGAAAGTTGGGCGCATATTGAGATGGTCGAGACGTTAGGGTCGCAAAAAAGTTCGAGAAGTCGGAGTTTGGGTGAGAGATTTCCCCGCGTCTCCGCTCCACGCCACGGCCGCGGGCATCCCACCATGCGACCTACTACATGGCGCGCATAATATAGCACACGACTTTCATTATGGGGCGAGAACACTTAAGCAACGACGAGGTACGATATGTGATTTTATCAAGTGCTTGTCAAATACTGACCTGCCCAGTTCTTCACTCGGCTTGCCAATCTCTTCGAGTACACGCGCACCAAAGGCCACGGCAGCGTCTACCTAGTTCAGAAGCGCATGACCTTCGACACATCTGCTGCACCACCACCAGCCAGTAAAGTCGCCGATGACCCGTTATGGGACACACATCCTGAAGAGCCATTGCCTGTCTTGATCCGCGCGCACAACAACAAGAGCAGCAAGAAGGCGGGAACCGACAGGGAAGATATCCCTAAAATCGAGTTGAGCACCGTCGTCAAGCCAGATGACTTGGACGGCTTCTATGCGCGATATGCTGAGGCTTGCAAGGCTGGCATGAGCGGACTGAAGAAGCGAGATAAGAAGAAGGCGAAGAAGACGAAGAAAAAGAAGAAGGGCGAGACCAAAGTGTGAGAGCAGCCAGGCACTATGATACCATCAGACACGCAAGGGGCACTTCGATGTTACAAAAGCATCGGTTGATTGATTTTGAGGGCTTGCGCGGACAGTACCACGAGCATGCCACTGGGAGAGGCTGCCGAAACGAGTCGTAAGGATGGCGTATCTGAAGAGATACAGCATCAGCAAAACGTGGCTTCCCAAGCGCCAGAGACGCCAATGGAGTGCAGCACACCAGAAGACAGCACTGAATAATACCTATACTCTACTGTCTCCACGTTTGCTCCTATAATTTCTCATCTTTCTCTCTGAATGACTTTGTGCTCAGAGGCAGTGGTTGTCCCAGCCACATCGCTCTTTGGGTGTGGTCTCTCAACTCGTCATCAGTATTAGGATGGACCAGAACAGACAAAGGCCCCCTGTTGATGACAAGCCAGGGAATGAAAGCACCAAATTGTTCTATCCGTCGTCAGGGAAGGTTTCAGAATGAACAGTCGCCGTACATACCGGGCGTGAATATGTTAACCTCAAACATGGCAACAGGATGAGGGCCAATAGGTCGATCCCATACTCGATAGATGCGCAGCTCAGGGACTTGTGTTCAGTCAGCGTATGTGCAAGTTGGAAGTATGAATCTCGTTCTCACATTCGCGACGTATGCGTTCCCACAGCTCGTTGGCGAATTTGACCTCTTCGTTATCGGACTGGAGAAAGTAAATGTGGGCGCTGGGTACTGTCAGATACATGAGCAATCGACTCGCCGCGTTGACACCTACTCAAAGCCCCCTCGTATGCCGTTGTCTAGAGGAGCTACGAAAGACTTATACGCTTCGCTTATCATCTCGGCTGGTGGATTCAGATACGACTTCCCGTCTGCAGCCTTCTCGCTATAGATTGTGAGTCCTTGTCTCAACCACGAATACCACTGTAGTCGACATATGATAGAGAAAATATGTCAAGGAAGAACATACTCTGGTAGTGCCTCAAGGCCTTCATAGCCCTTTAGAGGAGATTCGTACTTGTAGAGATTTGGATCTGCCATTGTTTAATCGAATACTATGTAAGAGAATATCTGCGACTTTTCTGGCGTACCAAATCACTGTTATATATGACGTGATAAAAAACAGTATGCACTGGAGGTTAGGTACCCCGTTTGTCAGCGCGGAATTAGAGCAGCCTCGGCTTGCAATACCTAATGCAGACATTTTTAATTCAGGTACATTCATTAAGCCTAAGTTACCGTCGCCACTTGTAAGTTCCAAGTCTGGTGAGTCGTAGCCACAAGTTGGGACGATGGCGTGAGACGCGTGAGTTGTCGGCTTATGCCGAAGCGTTATGTCCTATGCAAGCAGCAAGTCAAGATTAGAGATTTGTTCTCGAGCCGAACAGATAGGCGAAATTTGGCGTCTGGAAATATACATAGACGGCATTGATATGACATTTCACCGACAGATAAGGAGGCGGCATTGGGAGTGTGAGTCTTATCGATACATTATGCGCTTCACATGGGCGCGCACGGAGCATTGTTGGAGGGGTTCTTGACTCACCCCGCGACCACTCAAGATATTTCGGAGCGCGACAACGACCCATTGAACACGACTCGAATCTGCAAATACCGCAATCATGGCCGAGGCTACCTACTACATCGATGAAGATGTCGGTCACGATATCCCAGAACAAACCGGCGACGAATCACTTCCCTACAAGTCACTCGGATACGCTGTCCTCACGCGCGGCGAGACGGCAAAGTTCCTTACACGCAAGAGCGTCACCGGCGAGGTCGCAGAGGGTGCGGATGCGACATCGAGGCTAGAGTGGAAGGAAGCCGCAAAGTCGGCCATGAAAAAGGCAGTCAACTACGCCAAAACACAGAAGAAGAAGCAGGAGAAGGACCAACAACTACTTGCCCAGCGCATGAAGGAGGAGCATGATCGCAACAAGGTACTGGACGAAGCCAAGAAGATTGTCTTGGAAGAGGACAAGAGCTTGCCTGCGCCCATCAGGATCAAGCTCGACGACACCGACTCGAAGAAGATCACACTAGGAGATGGCAAGGATACAAAGGGTACACGAGTACGCGTTTTCGGCCGTGTCCATCGTGAGCGAAGACAAAAGGACGTCATGTTCGTTACACTAAGAGACGGCTACGGTCAGATGCAGCTCATCTTCACCGGCAAGCTGGCAAAGACCTACGATGCCCTCACTTTGACCCGCGAGACCAGCATGGAGGTCTTCGGAGAGCTGAGGAAGATCCCCGAGGGCGCACACGCACCCAACAACCGCGAACTACACGTCGACTACTACAAGATCCACGACGGATGGAAGGCTGCGGGTGGCGACGATGCCATCACCAACAGGGTATCAAAGGACACTGAGCACGCGACACTGTTGGATCTGCGACATCTCACCATGCGCGGAGAGACGGCATCCAAGGTCTTGATCGTCCGTGATGCTGTCGAGTTTGCGTTCAACCAGGTCTACAAGGAACTTCGGTTACGCAAGGTCAGCCCGCCAGCGCTCGTCCAAACCCAGGTTGAGGGTGGTTCTACGCTTTTCAAGTTCGGCTACTACAACGAGGAAGCATACCTCACCCAGTCGTCTCAACTATACCTTGAGACTTGTTTGCCATCTATGGGTGACGTCTACTGTATTGAGAAATCTTTCCGTGCAGAGAAGTCACTGACACGTCGCCATTTGGCTGAGTACACACACGTCGAAGCCGAGCTCGACTACATCAACTTTGATGATCTACTGAACCACCTGGAGGAGGTCATGTGCCGTGTCCTTGAAGTCACCATGTCCGACCCTGTCATCAAGCAATACATCATGGACCTTAACCCCGAGTTCCAAGTACCAGAGCGGCCTTTCAAGCGCATGAAGTACCAAGACGCCATCGACTGGCTCGTCGAGAACGGGATCCCCAATGAAGATGGCGAGCCGCACAAATTCGGTGACGATATCGCCGAGGCTGCTGAGCGTCGCATGACAGATATCATCAACAAGCCTATTTTCCTGACTCACTTCCCCGCCGAGATCAAGGCTTTCTACATGCTGAAGGACAAGGACGATGCTAGGGTTACCGAGAGTGTAGATTGCTTGATGCCTGGTGTCGGTGAAATCGTTGGTGGCAGCATGAGGATGGACAACTATGATGAGTTGATGGCTGCATACGGAAGGGAAGGTATCGATCCTGCGGCGTACTACTGGTACACTGACCAGAGGAAGTAAGTCAACCACCATACGCGTTCCATCAGTTTGTGCCTTACTAACATAACTCCAGGTACGGTTCTTCTCCCCACGGCGGTTACGGTCTTGGTCTTGAGCGCTTCCTCGCCTGGCTCTGCAAGCAGCACACCGTCCGCGACTGCTGCCTGTACCCTCGCTACTTCGGTCGTTGCAAGCCTTGAGCGTAAGCCACACGAATTTTAGCTTCACGTGACGTTGTCCCGTAGCCCTTGCTACAGAACGAGATGAGATATGAGTTGATTCGCGTGATGCGGTTCCAGAATAGTCAAGCTACCGCTTTGCCAGTAAACATAGCCTTATCGCTGCATTAGGTTGAGACGATTGGACGAATCATGGAATAAATCATACCCAATTAACATGTTCAATCCGTCTTATTTTTCTTATCTACTTCTGGTCAAGGATAACACCGCCTTTTCGATGTGCGAGCAATTCCGTTCTTTCTACTACAATGTGTTTGACAAAATGTGCCCCAAACAGAGCCGCAGTATTCTGTGGTCTTGCGTCTAGACGATACAAGATGGTATATACATTTGTCAGCAATGTTTGTTACTACTTAGCAAAACCGAACGAAGCTGAGTCGACATGGACTGGTGAGAAGCTTCACGACGGGTTATTTATCGTGGTATATGTGCACAGTGTCTGACATGGTGGAACCTTAGGAACCCAAGTCAGCCTGAAACAAAACTCTCTTGGTTGTCTATGCCAACACCCGGGTAGCTGAGCTACATTCTCGCTTCTCACATAAGATCCAGATGGGGCACAAAACGTCAAAGACACAGTAGACTTCTTGTTCGTCGCCTATGTAAAACTACATGCCTTCCTGAGATGTGCATCGTAAATCCTCCTAGGAGAATAGCGAGTAAATATGCAGGCCGCGTGACACCCGCGTCCTAAACTAGGCAGAAAGTTTGCACTTGTCCCTCATCCATCTTGCTCGATAGAGCACCCTAGAAACGCCATGGAAAAGAACAAAAGCTCATCACCAAGAGCTAGGAATGTACAAAAAGTACCCGATTCAAACTCCTCGCTATGCAGTTGTGGTACAGCGAAAGAAATTCCCTGTCAAAAGTGCAGGGATTTGACAATATATAGCTGTTTGTACTTGGAAAACGTATGGGACAAAACGAGCGCGCAATATACGCATCGTGTGCAAAATAACCCACCAAAACAAGGATGCGGAGGACCAGGGAGGGAGCTTTTTTCAAAAGAGACAAAAATCGTTGACGTGTCGGACAAGGACCGTGCCGCGCGTCCGTTAGCGAACAAGTGTCATGATCGAGTACGGAAGTTAGACGAGCAGAGCTGAGCATTCCAACGCCTCATTCACAGCCTGTCTTGGAGGTATGCACTACCTTGATGAAGATACCTTGTGATGATCTGACGTAGTTGAGCTTTAGGGTTGGATAAAGGCGTCGTGGGGGTCCAGATGCGTCCATGTTGTGCGGTGGCGTCGCGGCAAATAAGCTAAATGATTAGGTTCAGATCCGGTGTACTCGACGGGTATTCAAGCTCCAAGTCGTTGCTGAATGAGCTTCTGCAGCATCTCCAAATGCGCGCGTTCGTCTGCTGAGGGCGGCGGCGGATCTGCGTTGGACATGGCTGAGGAGACAGCCGGGGGAGCTTCGGACTGTTTCACGTGAATTAGCGCCGATGATCAAAACAAGGCCGGTGGGCTACAGGCAGTCTTACAGTGAGACCGAGGATGAGCGCATGGACTTTGCCCTCACCCAGGTTCGTTTCTGGCGTCTTGTTTGCCAACTGTGCCAGAGCCAGGGCTGCCTGCTGCTGTGGGAATGGATACGCGATGAAATTTTGCATCGACGCTCTGCGCCGTGATGCAGTGTCTGCAGCGTGTCGAGCTTCGACCTTCTTCCCTACACGGCCGCTGCAACGCATTAGTGATGAGTGTGATGACTTTCTGATGCGACTGCACATACCTCTTGACCTTGCTGACGAAGTCAAGGATGAGTCCCTTCTCGGGGACACGGAAGATCTTGGAGTTGACATCCTTGGATTCATTGTCGCCGAACACATAATTGCCTTCGCCATCAGTGTCATCGTCAGGATCATTTTTGATATCAATCAAGCCGTTGTTGCGCATACCACGTGAGAATGTTGACTCAACGTATTCGGGTTGCTTGCGCACTCGGACTCTACGTGGCACCCGAGCTACCGGCGCGGCATCGGCCATCTCAGAATCCCCATCTTTAGAACTCAAATCGTTCTGCAGCAGGAGACCACTGCGAAGGTCATGTTCGATATGTCGAGGACATCTCCAGGCGTCCCGCTGAGATGCTTCAAGGCTGATGTGTGGCGGGTTAGCGAGAGGTGGGTCGACGCAGTCCAAGTGCCAGTACGCGTGGCAAAAGTCACACTTCAGCATTTGGCGCTTGTTACCACTCGACACTCCGCACTGCGTGCATAAGATAACTTTGTGATCAGCATCAATGAGCTTGGTGTATTCAGGTCTCTGGTAGCCATAGCCACTGTTCTTCGCCCTGTTGTGATGTTAGTGCCAAATCACGCGACGAAACGCGTCACACTTACAGCGGAAACTTCTTGACCTCCTCAGAGTACGAGCCATCGGGACGTGCAGAAACGCCCTCGAAGTTATTTTGGATGTCTGAAGGCAGAGCAAACGCGCGAGGGTTGGTACGCTCGAGTTTGTTGAAGAGCGGACCCAGACTGGGATACGAGTCCGCGGAATCGTCGGGTGCAGCAGACTTTGCGTTGCACTCGTAGCAGTAGAACGCTCCATCTGGAACCTGAGTTCGTGGCGGATCGCAACAGAGAAGATGAAAAACGCGTGGACAGTTTTCGCAGCATACAAACTCGCCTGCACCTCTACACGCAGAGCAAAAGTCGTCGCTCTCTGACTGCGGCGAGTTCTGACATTCTGTTAGAGGTGAAGAAAGGACAGAAAGTGGAGGAGAATATGGAAATTTGAGTGGCGTGATGTTTGTAATGAGCAGCATTGATGTTGAGGATGAAAAAGATAAAATGTGGTTGATGGGTTGTGTGGTGAAAGAGGAATGGTGTGGTTGGATGCTTCGGAATTCCAGTGGCACTTACCGGGTCGTTGTCATCAGGCCCCAGCTGTCTCGAACCGCCACCGCCAGTAAAGGCTACACCAGCAATAGGTCCTGCATCTCGGTTTTTGACCGGCCTATACGTGTAACGTTAGCCCTGTAATGACTTGATGGTGTGTTGAGGAATGTACGATGCGAACACGTGCAAACACGTAGAGCTTGCTCAGTCGACGCCTTACAGCCCTGTGCCAAAGCGGGTACATGCATCGACCAACACTGAAAAATGACAAGGATGCTGAGAAATTGAGCTGAAAATACTTACGATCGTTTCGTCCTCGCGCCCTGTCCGTTAGTGAGCTTGACCCGCTTAGGTGCCGGTCCCATCGCAGGCGTTGAAGGGCGCGACGACACAGCCGGTTCGAACTGAGGTGATGAGAACCGTGACGGATCCTCTCGTATACGCTTAGTACCATGGTTTGGAACCCGCCCAGCGCGTCGCGGTTGATCAGAATCAACAGGAGGTCCCACCGCGATTTGAGACTCAGTTAGAGACTCTGTCTCAAGAATCTCATCATCGAAGCGGACATCGGAGATGGGAGGAGGAATTTGCTCAAGTTTCCGGATAGGCTGCTCATCGACCATAGCTTTTCGCATCTCATTGAGTCGCTCATCTTCCGCTTGCTGCTCCGCGGTCGGTGGCTGTAGCTTGTGGGCATGCTTCCCGAATAGCCTCCCAGCATTGCCTTTCATCTTTTTAGCAGCACGTGCAGCCGCAGGATTCTTTCCTTTCTTTGGAGCTACAACTGGCGCAGGTGCAGTAGATTTTCCATTGACCTGCACAGGCTCTGGAGGGCCTTTCTGGACAATCTCTTCATTGACATCTGATAGCTCAGAATCGCTCGCCCCAGTGTCCGGCGTCCTTGCGGCTGGAGTTGGTGCTGTAGTAGAAATTCCTCCGTCCAGTTCCATCGCAGAATCCGGCGCCAGACTTCCATTGGTAGCGGTTCGTTTTCGGGGCGACTTAGACTGCATCCTCGGCGTTGACTCAGCTGAGGTGTCAGCAGTCGCTGGAAGAGCGGGTGCGGTACTAAACGGATGAGGCGGTGCTTGGCCTGAATTTTGATCAAGAGCTGATTGCAGTGCTTTGTGCGAAAAGTTTGTAGCCGAATTTGTAGAGTTCATGAACTGTCTATCCTGGTAGTCGTTGACAGCCGAAACAGATTCATCAGGAACGATCTCACTACTGGCCCTTGGGGATGGCTGCTGACTGAAGAACGAGGCATCGTGATTCATCGCAGCTTGTTGGTCAAAGCGCCTGTCTTTGCTCAAGCCCAACCTCGTCTTTTCCTCCTGCTTGAACTGCTTGATGAATTTGCGAAATCGGTAGAGCTGTTCACTGGTGCTCTTTCCATGAATTACTGATTCGATAGCGTCTGCCAAAGCGGAGTCTGTTTTGCTCTGCTCGTAGGCGCGCCGCAAGGCAATGCCCACGTAGCGCTTGCCAGTGTGACTGTTGGCTTTGGAGATAGCATCATTGACAGCAATCTGGATACGCTGAGTCGCAGCTTCAACGGGCTCTGACATGGAAACAGCTTGAACTGCTGGACTAGCGGAAACAGAGGTGCTTTTGGTGTGGCCGTTCTTGACGGGCGTCTTGCCATTGACAGGTGTCTTACTCTGCACTGGGGTTTTGCCCCTGACAGGAGTTTTTGACACCTTCGCCTTCTTCTTCGCCTTCGTCTTGGGCTCGTAGTCGTCGTCCTCGTCGTCTTCAAGCATGGGAAAGCCAACCGGCATCTCGTCCTCCTCTTGCCGCTCCGAGTCGTCCGGCTCGAGCTCAGGAGCTGGAGTGACTTCTGGCGTAGACCCAACCTCGTCACCTGCAAAAACCGCGCTCTTCCCCAGTAGCGAATGTCGAGCAGTGGGCGGCCCGTCGAGAGCGCGCGCGCGCTGTTTGTCCTTTGCCTTTGGAGGCACACCGAGGGGGGCCATATTCTCCAAGACGCCGTGCCGCGCAAAACCGTGCTCTTCGAACGATGGGGCAAGAGTTTGCGGTTGGGGTTCAGTCCATTCGGTGATTGATCGTTGCTTCTTCTCGTTGGTGTGCTCGCTTGGAGTGCCGGTAGGTGAGGCGAAGGGCGTGGTGCTGGACCTTTGTTGCGATTTAAAGTCGCGCGACTCCCGGAGAGACTTGCGGAGGGCCGGCATGGCGAAACTACAGTTTGGTCAGCGCGCTGTAGCAGATACGAGCATGACGAGAGTTACTTCACGTGTTGTCCGAGAATTCAAGACGCCGCAATGCCGTGCCCGTCGTGGTGGGTCGGTAGTGCGAGAATGAGAGTCGCTGAAGGTTGTTCGAGGGTGCCCTGGACGCTTGGACGGGCCTTCTTATTATGTCAGCCCCCTACGCAACCGCAAATATCGCAGTATCTTGTAGGATCTCCAAGTTATATTTGCGGATAGACAGAGACTTCCTCGATCGGTTCATCGATTTTGAGTCTCAACAAAAGTGGTGTATCGTCGTGGTGGTTGTGCAACTATTCCAAAGGGAGTCTACAATACCAAGTCCGCTTTTTTCTTGACGTGCCCATCTCACCTTCACCAATCGCAACCTGTAGATATCGCCACGCAATTCCTGAATCTATACTCATACAGAGACAGTGTACGGCCATGTTATCTGGTGCTGCTACAAAAAAATCTTGACGGACAAACAGTCCTCGCATCATCCACTCAGGGGTATTCTCTGCATACCTATTTTGCCTTATCTCACGTTGTGCCTGACTGTCTACATGGACAATGTATACGCCCTGTCATCTAAGGCGATCAGGAAGCCTTGGGAGATTCACTATAGTCACTCTATCCGGCGCATGCAGAACAATAGCGTATGGGATAGACAGACCTGAACGAAGACCCGAAAGACGACGCGATATAGTCTACCACTTGCTCCATCCTCTGAGACTAATACTCCGCGCATGAAAACTGTTTGTTGCAACAGTGTGTTTGTATCCCGTGGTCATAATCGCCGATCATCGGGTATGCTGAAGCCATGTCTGGAGGCTAAAGACGCGTTGACATGCACGGTCTCATCTCGCAGATCATAGGGGCACATTTCGAGCGCGAGACTGTTATACATTATGTGCTGAATCAGTTTCAACAACCAAAAGCTATGGTAGATGACGTCCGGAGAACTGATCTTTCTTTTTTGTGAATTGCTATCGCTTCTACATAATCATGTGCATGACCATACGATAAGGCATATCAGACCTAGGTCAATTGCCGATTTTGTTTCCGGGGCTGCCGTTTTTGCGATCTCAAAACAGTCCGTGTCATCCAGGTTCATAGTCGAGAGGCGGGTATGGCGTTACGGTTCCCTAGAACCTACATCTACTCGTCGTCATCATCGTCCTCCTCCTCTTCAGCGGCGGCACCGCCCTCAGCGGCCTTCTTGGCAGGCTTCTTCTTCTTCTTCTTGTTCTTCTTTGTTGAAGTCTTGCCAATAGGCTGTTCCAGAATCTTGAGGATCTCCTCGTCCTCGATCTTCTTGTCAGACTTGTACTTGGAAGTGTCAATGGCAGTAGGTTGAGCTAGGCGCTGCATTCCGTTCTTGGTGATTGCTGTTACGATGTTAGCTAACAAATTTGCCTGTGTGATGCTCTACATCCAGCAAGATGGTTCATGTTTGAGAGATCAAACAAGCGAGCACATCGGCCAATATCGGACATCTCCTGAGCAAGGAGCGAGCAGGGGAATCCTAGAACTTACCAACAGTTGAGAACACCCTAGCTACGGGCTGGTTGTCCTTGTCAACGACGACTTCGTACTGGCGAAGTACACCGGTACGAACACACTCGACAACACCAACCTTGGCGCCCTTCTCGTCCTCCAGCTGTCGCAGACTGAAGGGGAAGGTACCGAACTTCTTGACTACTTCAGACAAGAGGCTTCGCGAGGTAGGACGCTTGAGCTGATAGGTGGTAGCCGTACGTCGGTGCAGAGTAGTCCTGTTGCCATTGTTCTTGACCTTGCCGCTTCCGAGACTGACACCCATCTCAACACCCCACACCTCACCGACCTCAGGAAGACCGTCACCCCTGACACCTTCACCAGGCGCAAGGATAATCTTCTTCTTGGATTCTATCTCGTTGTGGTCGAATTGCCAGATGGTAGTGCTCTCGACGAGGTTGCAGCCGTAGGCCTTGACAACCTTCTCAAGCATGTTGGTCATCTGGCTCTGGGTGTAGGGCTTCTTTGTTGCAGCCTTCTTTTGCTCCTCCTCATCGCTGTGGGGGATCAAGCTTGGAGGTACCATCAACCTGAGCAGGAGCTCGTTGGCGTAGTGTGTAGCCAGAATGAGATCTGCCTCGCGTCCGGTGACTTCCTCAGCGGCGCCAACAATGACATTGTCGCAAACAATTGCGCAGAAGCCATCGATCTGGGCGCCCAACTGAATCTTGACAACCTCTCCCTCCTTCAGTGTCGTGGCGGCTTCCTCGGTGTCGGACTTGAGTGGTGTGTACGGGGTGATATAGGCGCTCGGGGAGATGGTGGTGCAGTGTCCAATGCCCTTCACGACCTTCTTGCCCTTGTAGACCTTGGCAACCTCCTCGTCTAGGAGCTTGTCACCGCGCTCACAGAGCTCGACAATGCTGGCATCGGCGGCGATCCATCCTGAACCGGTCAGTTTTGTGTCTGTTTACGCGCGTGAAGTAAGCGCGAGCTTGAAGAGCATCGTACCGGAGACTTCCTTGAGGACTTTCTGGGAGATTTCGGCGGCGACCTTGTACTTGGTGATAGTATCTGGGTTCGCCAAAGTGTAGTCTGCAATATGGGTTAGCTCCTGCGACTCATTGACAAAGACAAAACTGTGCTTTAAGCTATGTCTCTGTCTAAAACAGCTTCATATATCGACGACATGCATAGGGAAGGGGGATTGAGCTTACCGACAGCTGCGGTTTCGGCCATCTTGAGTATAGTTGAGTGTGGGAAGATGGGCTGGAGCTAGAATTGGAGTGGTGCGCGAGGTCGTTCCTGTGTTCACAGACCAGCCCCTCAGTGGGGTGGTTTCGAGCTTTCGCTTAGCCAAAGCCCAATGACGACGATCGCCTGACAACGTCACACTCGACCTGCTTTTCTTCCCAAAGTGAATTAATCTGCCTGGATCTAGACGTTAGGCTTGTGATCATCTGGGCTACGGTGGGTGAACTCCGTATCTGCTGCATAACCGGACACAGGTGAAAACGCAAAGCAATTTCACTATTGTCAGGCAGCTGTCAATTGTGTACGCGTGTAATCCCACACTAATGACAGTCTTGATCCAGACAACCTTGGAACGAAGCAAGAGCCCAACCTCAAATCTTGAGCAATCCATCTACAACAACAGCCCGATGATCACTACCATAAACCCCATCCTCAAATTTATTCGGCAAAACACTATATCCCTCAAGCACCCAATCGCTCTTTCCTCTCGGTCCCACAAAAACAAAGTCAATCAGCGTCTTCGTCTGGTCATCAAAATCCGTAAACGTGTTCGTGTCCCCGTACAGCCACTTGGCCTGCTCCTTTGTGTCTTGCATGATGGACGAACCGTTGTTTAGGATCTTGTATGCTTCGCCAGAAGTCTCAGAGTTGAGGTCGCCGGCCAGGAAGAAAGGTAAGGTGGAAGACGAAGTATTTGAGGTGGGCGAAGTGACATTTGCAACGACCTTTTCGATGATCTTCGCAGACTCGCGGCGCGAGATAGCGCCTGCGTTGTCAAAGTGCGTAGACATCGCTACCATGGCTTTTTTACTTTGCTTGTGCTTGAATTCGCCCAAATTGAGGATGCGGACAGATCCCGCGTCCCAGCCTTTCTTCCCTACCGCTCCGTTCTCGTTTAGCCAAACGGTCTGCGATGTTACTAGTTCCCAGACGGCTTTCCGATAGATGATAGGACTGTATTCGCCTTTTGTTTTGCCATCGTCTCTGCCTACGCCGATGTAGGCCCATTCGTCGCCCAGACCGGTCATGATATCAACTAGCTGCTCATTGAGTACTTCTTGAAGACATATGAATGATTCTGGGTTGTGTAAGGTATTGTAGTGTAGCTCATTGAGGATCAATTGCTTGCGTGAGGACCAGGGCTTTTCGCCTGTGGCTGGCGGGTCGGCGGCATAGCGTATATTGTGGGTCAGAATCCGAATTGGGAGAGTGGCAGCGTGAGCTTTCATGATGAGGGTGACGAGAGTGGTGACGAGAAGGGCTACTTTGAACATCATGCCGGCGGGCTGAGTATAGCCGGAACCGAACACGTGACAGAGTGATGGCTTGAGGCAGAGACGATATGCTTTACGTAGGCAATCTTGAGGGGAATTCGGGGCTGCCGAATGAACAGAGACCTTCACGGTACTGAAAAAAACAATTGCACAGCCTTGAAGATGTGAATAATAGTGATTGACGCCTACTTACATTGCTGCGTCGAAGACTACCAACCCCTACTTATACCTTACAAACGACACCAGCAACGAAAAGAAGTAGGAAGGTACTTAAAGTAGCCTCGGACAAAGATCAAAATTTGCGATTGTGTCCACTCTTCAAAGTGGTAATCCAAGACGGAACAACTGATTTTCAAGTTGTAGCCGGCAAATGAGAACGCCGATGCACCAGCACGTTGTCTGTATGCCCAACTCCACATGCTCCCAACTGATCCGCTGTTTTACACGGGAATTTATACCCTAGAATGCGCTTGCATATATCAAAAAGACCCCGCTATGCTTCTGAATATCATTTCCTATTCGCGCTGCCAGAAGGTCTGGATGCCCTGCCCTACAAAGGCTGTCCAGTCCGTTTGCGCACGTTCTCCATATGTACGCGGTTCTTCAGATGTAGTTCGAAATTATTGACTGTTTGCTCGGGTCCAGCATTGTACAATTTGCCCGGGCAGTCTATGCACCGGATTCGCGGCAAGAAATATGCTTTGTGGTTCGCTGGCAGGGGGGCATTTGGTTGTAGCGTATCAAGCTTGACTTGTCGGGACACAATATCGCCCGTCTTCGGGTCCTCGTAGCGCTCATTCATGACAGCATAGCGCATAGTAGATTCGAAGAGCTCGCCGGGATTTCGATCACGTAGATCCTGGAGTGCTTGTTGAAGCCACGGAGGAGTGGGAGGCTGATGTGGATTAGTCAGAGATCTACGTAGACATGGGCGAGGATCTTACATGTTGAGAAACGGCGGGCGTTGGCCAAGGTGCCTCAAGTGAACCATCCGGCCTGTACTGCCACTGCTTGTTCTGGGTCGTTGGTGTGGGCGTAGGCGGAGGTTTCGGCGAAGCTTCTACCGAAGCTGATGCGGTTGGGGTTGAACGAGTAGGTATGGCTGGTGATGGTGGAGGTGGCATTGAGTTTGCGGTAGGTGTGCTTCGTGTTGGGGGTTGCGAGGGGGCCACCATGGGAGTCGAGGCGGGCTTTGCGAAAGCCCTTGGGTTTCTCTGCAATTCCCTAAGTTTGACGGGCGATATGCGGAGTTTGACTATGAGTGTTGTAGGCTCAGATACACTCTCTTCCCGCGCCTCATATCGTAGTGATCTGGATGCCCGTGGCTCGTGATGAGGTTGAATGTTGGACACTTCGGGGGTTGCTGATCTTCCAATAGCGGACCGCATAGCAGCTTGAGCAGCAGTGGCAGCTCCACGCATACCCCGGGTCCGCGCAGTACCTCCGGTCAGTTGCGCAGGTGCGGGAGAGTCTACTACCGATTCGTCACTATCCGATTCGTCTGAGCTTCCATCAGCACCACGACGGCGGCCCTCTCTAATTTTGCGTGTAGCCTTGAAGAGCTGACTGTCCTCGATGGTTTCTGCAGCACCAGGTAGGACTGAAGAAACAACCAAGGTGCGTACTGTCCGTTGGCGGTCTTTAAGGTCTGGCAGGGCAGGGCCGCCACGTCTGTTGACAGATCGTTTCTGGCGCCGCTGTTCGCGCATAATCGATAGTTCGGCTCGTTCTAGGTCAGCGTTACTCAGTTCGTATAGGTACGGCTGGTAATCCTTTGTAGACTGCATCGGGCGGAATACAGAGGGGAGTGGTGAGGCCAAGAAGTTGTCCTGGATATCGGTATCTTCAACTGGTCGTCCATCGAAGGGATGACCTGTGATGTACAGGCTCTTTGTGAACATCTGACACTGCTCTCTTATGGAATGGGCAATGGCGGTAGTGAACTCTCCGGACAGTGACAAATCAGCAGCCATCTGCCTTGCAAATTCCTCGGGCGCATTCAGAGGATTGTTGATTTCCCACTCGAACTGGTCCACAAGAGTGTGTTGGCCAATGGTAATGTTCAATTTGATCAATATCCGCATCTCGTCATTCTTGTATGCCGAGTATGGCTGATGGGGGTCCAGAGGCTCATCATCGAAGAAAGCGTGAGGGTAGTAGTCTTGAACCTGCTCGTGGATCTCGCGATCGATTTGTTGCATAACGTTCTGACGCAGCTCGGGTGGTATCTGGAAGTCCTCGACGAGGGTCTGGGCGAAGAGCACAGGGTTGGTAACACGGTCATGGAGGTTCCAGGTAAAAGTGTCGCGTAGTTTCAGTCTGTCTAATTCGATGTCCAGACGCACAGGCACAAGCTCTTCGATCTGGTCTGCTTGCTGCAAACCCTTCTCTTTCGAAACCTTGAGTTGCGGCGCGAGTCGACGACCGGCGCGCTTGGCATGTTCGGGATATAGCAGCTTCGTTTGCGGTAGGGCTCGCGGGTCTCTGGGATCGGGTGGTATGTCGGTCACGCCGTTGCCGTAGCCAGCATAGCCATATCCAAAGATGGCGCCGGGGTTCTGTCGTCGGACAGGGTATACCTCGTCGCGGTAGAAATGGCGCAGGTCGTTCAGCTCGCCATAGACCTTCTCGGAATGTTTGTTGCGCTCGTACTTGTTTACGCTGTCGAGGAGGTCGCGCGCAATGTGGCGGTCGAGGAGATGGGCCTGCGAGGTTGTGGGTTTCGCGCCATCGTCGTGAGAAGGCGTGCGTGAAGACTTGCGGGTTCCCGAACGCGATCGCTTTCTACTAGGCGACGCGCCGTTGATGGCTTCGGGCTGCGCTGGCGATGCCGTGTCGCCCTGCGCGCCGGTGAGGTTCAAGCCAGAAGCCGCCATGACAGCCTTGGCCTTCTGCTTTCCGTCTCGAATCGCGTTGTTCTCGTTGGACGCGCTGTCGGGTCCATTGATGCTGGTTGGGGCGTTTGCGGGTTGGACAGCACCTTCACTGCTGTTGCCGTTTGTGGACGCGCCGTGGGCGGGATCGAGGCCTTGGGAGTCGGCTAGCGGCGGAGAGGGCATCGCGTGGTGAATTATAATGCGCGCGGCAGGAGCGACCTGCGTGTTTGCTGCCCTTGTTAGAGCCGAGGCATGGAGGCTGGAAGGAGTGATGGAGGCTCGAGTGGGTCAATGGGCGTCCCATGCGGTCGCGCCTGGCAGAAGAAGGGGGCGGGTGCGCGATGCCATGGCGACAGCAACAACAGCGCCGCCATCTCAAGAAAGCGCATCCATGGCGCCGCGACCATGAGAACTAATAGCAGCAATACAGAAAAGAACACATACCTTTGGGAACATGCAATTTGCGCGTCGTCACAGGTCACAGGGCTGGGCTGGGCCTCTGTTTGGCTGTCCAGGGAAAGAAGTGCCGATCGGGTAGTCAAGCGCGCAGCAGCCCGTCTGTAAGCCTTTCACAGGCGAGAGTATTGGCAGGAACCTAAATCGGCGAAACACCTGCTGCGGTACCTTGGGCGGGGTCGCGGCCGTGGATAAGCTCGGAACTTGGAATGATGTGTTGTGTGTCAGGCAGAGGCATTGATGGATTTGCGCCAAAGCAGCCAGTTCTGCCGCTTGCAAGCGCCGAGCCAGCCAAAGCCCATAACGAACACTGAAGCTGCCCAGCACGCTCCAACGCAGCCGCAGCCTCTGTTAGTCGTGGTTTCTTTCACCAGAGCAGAGGCCATGATCCTTCTTACCGGCTGTTCCACATAACTACACTCACACTCCATCGTCTCCACGCACTCATCACGTGCGACGCCATGACGAATGCTAGCGCATGCCTAGCTAGGCAAGCTTCGAGTAAAAGCCACCGTGTAATGCACCTTGTTCGTTATTGAATAAAGGTTGTATTTTATGGAAAGAACCGCCTAGTAGAAAAGAAGAAGAAGCGTCTGGTATACACCTCGTCATCGCTTTCCGACGCCCTCGCATCCAGATCCGTCGTAGTTGCATCAATGCTAGAAACTGACAATACCCTACATTTTCCATACCCGACCCGGACACACCGCCGCTTACAAGTCGCCGGCTATATGCGTCTGATCTACTGGCTGTAAATGCTCCAAACGTTCATGTTCGCTGTTGCTGGGGCATGCGCCCCTCTCCCTGCAGCCCAATATATCACTGCTCTTGATGCGTCTTGTTCGCTCAAAGCAATGAGTCAAGTCGAGTGAAGACACTCAAGCACGCAGCAACAACCTGTTGTTCAATCATCAGCGCTCTGTCGTCATTTTAGGAATCGAAATGCAATCGGCTTACCTCAAGTTGAAGCTCCTTATCCTTGGAACCATTAACTTCGTCAGTGATGAGCTGACCCAAGTTTGCGCCGACACCCTGTGAACCCCCCTGCCTCTTTGCAAAGGGCCATTGTGAGTACTCTGCCAGCAATTCGTCCACTTGAGCGAAAGCCCGTTCCCGCGCTTCGTGACCCAACGTTGTCAAGGCATTCTCCAGTACGTTGGCGGCATAGGCGGCGCAGACCATGGTGATGGTTCGAAGCACCCTGAACTCCAACTCTTCGGGGAGGAACTGGCTGCCAGGAAGGACCACGGTACGGTTGGTGAGAACGTTCCGGACTCTACGTCGAATCTCCTCCTTTGCGCCGCCGTCTGCAACGGGGTGTGTAGCCATGTCGAACAGGAGGAAGTTCTTCTTTTCGGTGCGCAGGATGCCCTTGTCGACGAGGCCTTTGCATAGTCGTTCGCGTACTTGTTTCAGTTGGTAGCCAATCTTCATGAGATTCCATGTCTCTCCTGTTTGTATAGTTAGTGTCGAGCACCAGCCTTGGTATGCCACGCCATAGACGTACCGCTCATGAGATCGATCCAGGAGTTGACGCTCATCTTCTCGCTCGACTTCATCATCTTCAGGGCCTCGTCCAGTAGGACCTCTCCAGTCAACGTGTCATCAATAACTTCGATGACCCTGTCTGCGAGGGGGAAGCGGCGTCGATTCGAGTCCTTCTGCATGCTCACACGGCCTCTGAAGGCCAGTTCTATGACAATGCATCCTCGTAGCGCATAGGAGATGTTGTCGTTCCAGAACGACAGGTATCCCTATTCTCACTCATCAGCCTGCTGCCCCTAGCCCGCCCGCGGCCTGCGGTGTACACACCTGTTTGTCTTTCAGTCCCATAAGGATAATCTCCTCCATGAGCGTCAGCTTTGGCTGTTTGCTCCTCTCTGCATTTTCGCTGATATCGCGGGGATCGAATGCAATCTTGTGGCCGTTCTCGGAGCTTTCGTAGGAGGTTTCGGGGGTGCGGTCGTCGTTGCGCTTGGGTGCTGGCGAGCTGACCCGGCTGCCCTCGTCCTCGCCGTTGCCGGCAGCGCCGCCGCCTCCTCTCCGGCGCGTCAGACCAGAGCTAGAAGCCATCAGGTGTGGTTGTGGAACGGGTGGGGAGTGTTTGTTGAAATTATGGGTGATGCTCCTCAACGGGCGCAGGGATGAGGGCGCTTGGGCTGCGCATACGCCGTGTCGGACTATGTGGGACTTTCGGTGAAGGCGATGTAAGAGAGCGTGGCGGATCACGGCAATGTAGCGATAAAGGGGGTATCGTAACGCGCGTGTGCAGGTTTCGAGTTGGGGGTTGATTCTCGTGCCACATCTATCAGCGGACAGGGCTCGGTCTCGGATGTGCCAAGATTAGTTACGCACGCCTCAGCAATCAAGTAAACAGGCGTCCAACAACACAATAGCCAGAGCAATGGGAGGTGGATAGCGTCAATTCTATCAGAAGTACACGGTGCCGACCCAGGCGACTGTTTTACAAGGAGGCATATATATAGCGATGCCGGTAGGACCGACTACCAATTCCACATCCATCATCTCTCACCCAGCGCGGATCTCAATATAATTTAGTGAGCTGCAATTTGATTAGTATCAAGTAACCTTGCGTTTTGCAACTTGAGACTTACCATCGGGCTGAGCCATGATGTAATCCACTGCTTGCTTGACTGTGATATCATCAGTATGTATAAATCTGACGCTGCGCTTCAGAACATACCGCTGTGGATGGCATCGGCCTCCTTGTCGGGGATTTCAATGCTGAACTCCTGCCAAATTGTCAGATGTGTGCCTTTCGTGTATCGCGTGCAGGCCAACTAACCTCCTCAATCGCCATGACTACTTCTACGGTATCCAGACTGTCGAGACCGAGGTCGTTGTGGAAGTGCGATTCGCCGTTCAACTGCAAACTGTAAGTATTTGTTTCCGAGCCCTCACACACGTATGGTAGCTACCTTGGAGGCATCGGTGACCTGCTTCTGTGTTAGCCACTGCCTAAAAATCTAGTCGCATAGTCGTTACCTTGTCGAAGTTCTTCAAAAGGTCCATTATCCTGCCAGTGACCTCATCTTTTGACAGACCAGCGCTCGCGGCGTAGCATCGTACAGCCTGGAAGTATACGGAGGGGTTCATTTGCTTTGGCTGAACGAAAGAGCTTCGCGCAACGGGGCGAGCCATTGCGGCCTGGCATCGTGGGGCAGCGCGGACAGCGGACCGGGCGGACCTGAGAAGTGCTGTTCGGAACATTGTGACGGGTTGCGAGGGTGTCGTGCGAGGTAGCAGGGTCGGTGGTGGTGGTGGTGATGTTGATGCTCGACTAGAACTTCAGACTAAAGTTACATTACGTTAGTCAGCCGTCAGGAAGCATTTCAGTACGAGCAGACAGACGCACCTCTAATAATCACAACAACTCGTATACAAGACCAAGTCAGACTTGAAGATCATTCACAGACCCTCCAAGATCACTAGGTACAAATCTCTGACCCCGGAGTTGCCTCCCACTGTTGTTGCCGTCATTGGACTTCTCGGCCAATCGCAGCTTCCGCGTTACAAGCGACAACCTCAAGTTTCGAGCTTGACGACAACCTCCATATCCGCCAGCAACCCCCCAACCCGCCAGCGACTCCACCACGCTCACAATGGCCAGCGCAAAGCCATTGACAATGTTGGCGCGCAGCCGCCCAGCAGCCACGCTGCTCCGGTCACCGCAGTTCGCGTCTGGACGCCTCCCCTCGCCCGCCACCGTCGCCTTCTTCTCTACCACTCTATCCCGAGCCGCCACTCCAGCAGGACCCCCACCACCAGGCTTCCGGTTACCAAAGCCGAAGCGATGGGATGAAGGAGAAGGTGCATTGGACCGCGCCGGCAAGTACTTCTTGCTTATGGAGATGTTCCGTGGCATGTACGTGTCGCTGGAGCAGTTTTTCCGACCACCGTAAGTACCTCAATGCGCAGGCTGGTAGCATGCTCGACATCCAGAATACCCGATCTGACGTTTCTGAAGATACACCATCTTCTACCCATTCGAAAAGGGCCCCATCTCACCCCGCTTCCGAGGCGAGCACGCTCTGCGACGGTACCCCACGGGTGAGGAGCGTTGCATTGCTTGCAAGCTGTGCGAAGCCATCTGCCCTGCGCAGGCCATCACAATCGAGGCTGAGGAGCGTATGGACGGTAGCAGGAGGACCACACGTTATGACATTGACATGACCAAGTGCATCTACTGCGGTCTCTGCCAGGAGAGCTGCCCAGTCGACGCCATTGTTGAGGGTATGTCCGCGTCATCCGTGAGCTCCAAAGTATGTGTTAACATGATATAGGACCCAATGCTGAGTATGCCACCGAGACACGAGAGGAGTTGCTTTACAACAAGGAGAAGCTGCTAGCAAACGGAGACAAGTGGGAGCCTGAGATCGCCGCTGCTGCTCGTGCGGATGCGCCTTACAGATAATGTAGAGGAGTGGTGCGAGTTTACTGTATATATAGGAGGAGCGGTTCCGCCTGACACAGCCAGTCGGGTTTCATTTGTCAATGCATCAGTACAAGAAGGGACCATTTCAACAACTGTGGGCGATACTCAAATTATTGAGAACATACATGTGGACATTGGGTGTGCTGCGATCAAGGGCCCGATTGGATGCATTCCTATTGTTTTGCGAGACAGCACTGACATTTGAACTAATACAATCGAGGAAAAGACATCGCAATATTCAAGACCCTGATACTCCTAACGCTCATATACGATGCCTGCCATGATATGGTATCAAACGCCAAATGCCTTCCAATAGTGCACATGCTACCTCCTTTTCCTTTTATGTACCGTCATTCCACCCAGCCTCATAATCATTTCCCCTTGAAAGTACCCTCAAAGCCCGGTCGCTTCGTGACCTTCTTGCCGGGCTTCTTAACCTTCTTTTTACCCTTTTGACCCTTGTCCTCCTTGCGCTTCTTCAAGTTCTCCTCTCGCTTCTTTTGCCTCGCTGCCTTTCCTTGGTCGACATTGGTCAACCTCTCCTTCCACTCTTGCTTGCTCTTGTCTTTCTGTTTTTGCTGACGCTTGAGGCTCTTCTTTAGAAGGTTGACGTCGTCGAACACCTTCTCACCCTGTGCCCTTTTCTTAGCGGCGAGCCACAAATCCTTCTCTTGGATGTCTTTGCGCTTGTTCTCATCAAAGGCGTTAAGACGAGCCTGCTTCTTCTGCGCAGCCTCTAATGCAGTCTTCGCGTCTGACTTGCCCTTCTTCTTCTTGGATTCGAGGAATCCGGAAAGATTTCCCTCAAGCTGTGCGCCATCCCATGCAATCTTGCCAAAGTTGAAATTGCGCTCGTGCTCCGGCGACCTCGCTGGGAATATGGAAGGTGAGCCCGAACCGCCTCTTATCCGTGCGAGCTGCTCCTCTGCTTGTTGACGAGCCTCGTCTTCCTTCGCATCCTGACGAAGTGCCTTCTTGGCAGCTTTCTTCTCGGCCTCTTTTTTCCGTCGTGCCTCGATTAGCTCTGCTCGATTCCGCGCAGGACGTCCATCCGGACCGTCGGCCTTTCGCGCCGCACGCATGGCCTCTAGCTTTGCGTTTAATCGAGCGCGGAAATCTTCATGCTTTTGCGGGTCGATCGTGTACGGCTTCTTGGCTTTCTTCTGTGGTGCTTCTTCGCCAGACTGAGGTAACGAAGAGTTTGATGAAGCGGCTGACGCGACCGAGGCTGTAGAGGAGTTGGAATTGGCAGTAGTGGAGGGAGCGGTAGACTGACCCTCTTCGACGAGACCGCTCACGTCCAAAGCTTCTATGCGTTCGTCTGGGTGTTCGTGTTCGTCTGCAGATTCGTCGTCGTCTTCGACTTCGTCCTCTTCAGGTTGCTTGGCGGCGGCGAGATCTTGGAACGACGTCTGCTGCGACTTCTTGGCCTCCTCCTTTTTCTTGTTCTTCTCCTGCTTCTCCTTCCTCTTCTCTCTTCGCTTCTCTGCTTTCGCGGCAGCCTTAGCCTCAGCTTTTGATAAAGGCCGTGTCTCAGCAGCTTCTTCGTTTTCCTCGACTACTGGCTCGGCGGGCTGCGTCTTCTGCTTCTTTGCCTTGCTCTTGATCCCCTCAAGAGGCTTCTCCTTTGTGATGTCCATGTCGAGGTCCGACGACTCAGGCTCAGATATTTCCTCACCCTCCAATTCGCGCTTCCGCTTTAGCGCGTTCTCGTCCATGACGTCTTTGGCGCTCTTGTGTGATGCAGGATCCAGCTTCGCTCGCTTGGCTGCTTGTCGTTCCTCGAGGGTCTGCTTCTTCCCTTTCTTTTGCCATTGCGTCTGCAGACATTATGTCAGCATAAAGCGGAGGCCCATAAGAGAAGAGGTGCATACGCTAGTGATACTCTCATCCTTCCCGTAGTAGTCTTTGGCAGGTATCAGAGACATGAGGCCTTCGAAAGCCCGGGCATGGCTCTTCAAACGCTCCTGCAGCTCTCAGTTAGCGGCGAGAACGACCGGCAGCAGTCGTTCCGCGATGCATACCTCGAGATTGTCGCCCATTGCGCATAAAACAGACACTGGGTACTCTTGGTAGTATAGTCTGTCCTTGTTCCGAAAGGTCCAGGGCGTAGAGTTGGCGGGGCGAGCGTGTCGTGTGCGGGTCGCGAAAATCGAGGTCAAAGGCCAAGATTTCAAATGTTCGCAGACTTTCAGCGCTAGGACCCTTGGTTGCTGCACCAATCAATCACCGCTGCCCCAGCCACCGCCCGCTCAGCCTTGACTCGAAGCAGGCTCGCGTGCTCCAGGCTCCTTCACCAGCATCAGCCTCGTCTGCCCGCAAAGCGCCGCGAGTCCGTTGATGATGCGCGCCTGTCAGATCCGCCTGTCTCTCGCGCTCAACGACGATAGGCCAAGACCATCTGTTTGCTGTACATCAATAGTCGGTGGAGACGCGTCCGCACAGCCACCCGAACACAGGCACAACCTCGTCATTGCTTGCCTTTAATATATCCTAGGCAACGCCCGGGAGACCACTGGTCATCTCCTAATAAACATCCACCTCGACGCTGTCTAGCTAACAATACTGCCATTGTCTTTCGCTCTAATGGCTATGCCGATCATTGAAGCCCGATCTCTCTCGTCGCTTACCGCTCTTGCTTCCAACCCACCAGCTTATCCAAGGAATCCTACCCATGAGAGGCATGAGCCACTAGTATTGTATATCGCCCGTGTTCCTGGCAGCAGAGGTACGGCTGTTAAAATGTCTTCCTCTGATGTAGGCCTAACGTGCTTCAGATGTCTTCTTATCTCCGATGAAGCCGCGGGAAAAGGTGGTAACTGCAGAAGACATACAGAGCTCACTCTATTTCGTCCACGTTGAGCAACCAGAAGATGCCTATCTTGTCAACCCTCCTGAATCTCAGGATTCAGAGTATACACAGCAGAGTCAAGATTCTTTCAACTCTGTCTCTACACCTATCGTGCCCAGGAAAGCGGTGCCTGGCATAACTACAGCTCCTGTTCGAAAACCTGTTCCTAGCACTCTCGCATCTATAAACAAGTATTCAAACAACCAGAACATCGATGCGGGAAATTATGCGCGGAGGTCTGCGATGCTCGCTCCAGAATTCAGCGACAGCCCCCGACGGTCATTCGATTCCAGCCAGCATAACCAAGAAAATCGAAGGCCGATACCTTCACCGCGCAGACGATCAGAGAACCCATCGCGTTCCAGTGCGTCTCTCACCCTAATTCGGCGTGATCCTGCGTCTGGTGCGCAATGGAACGTTGCTCGCATCGAAGATCCGCCTGTTCTAGATGTTTCTTCCCTGACATCGAGTGATCCTAGCAACAAGAAAAAGATCGGAGCACCAATGTACATCGACGTATTCAATCCAGGTTACTCCAAGTTTCTTCATTCCGACACAGCTGGCAAGCCTCTCCTGACAAGTCGGGATAGTGGCACATCTATCCAATCATTCCAAGCAGGGAGTCACCCGTCAGCGAATGAGAACGTGTTCCGCCGACGAATCTGGATGGAAGGGTCACAGCATACAGGTGGCTTTGGCCACAGAAAACTCAACTCCCATGATTACAACAACGGGCGTCCTGATTCTAGAGGTAATCATTATGCGCAGACCAACTCTGCGTCGACAGATGTGCGGGCTGCTCCCACTCCCCCACTCATGACGCGGGAAGACCAGACGTACAGTAGCATTCAAGTCTCTGACAGACAAACGAGTTTCCGTGGTTACGTCTTTACAAGTCCGTGGAACGGCCGATGCGAGTTTGTCACAGGGATAGGTGGAGGATCGTTAAAGGTGATTCTAGTTATATCAACACGATGCGCCATAGATGATGCTGACTGCTGTAACAGTGTCGACATGTCGTCCCAGGACTTCAAGGAGCTCCACCCACAGCCATGACGGTTAGTGAAGTAAGATTCAACCTTCCGAGTAGTTCGAAAGGTACTACGCCTCGAGGTGAGGAATCTTCAAAACGCTCGTCATTCTTTCGTCGAGGGCGTCACAGTCGCAACAACTCGTCTTTGTCACTCAGCCGTGATGAAGAAACCGAAGATGCTAGAAACTCGTTGGACCGTTTGGATCTTTCTCTAGGCCAGGAGTTCGCGGGTGGTGGTTTCGGTGGCAAGCAAGCAAAGTTGGGCAAGATCATCCTGGAAGATGAGGGCCTGAAGATGATGGACTTGTTAGTCGCGGCGAATATGGGACTATGGTGGAGGGCCTACGAGAAAGCAAGCGGAGGCTCTACGGGTACTCTATGATAAGCTGGTAGTGGCCAAAGTCCATGGAAGTGTGTGTCATAGTGTGCTATCATAGCAACAAGGATTTCTAAAAAAGATATCAGGCTACTTGTTCTCGAGATTTCCAACAAAGGATTCTGGTTGTCTGCCCAACTATATGGGTGAAGACTGAGAGTTTCCTAGCAAGTCGAACCCCGCCGTATATCTATACCTATTCCACTCGAGATCGAGCCACTCCTGTCGTCCTAGGTTTTCGAATAAACTCATGACCTCCTCGCTGGGCCTCCAGTCGCCAACCTGCCACTGCACGATTGGAGTGGGTGCCGCAGCAACAGCATCGCCGTCCTTCTGCTTGTTATCACCACGCCCAGCAATGAACTTGACACCCCATCTGTGGCCGTTATCCATTGGCAGTCGACTTTCCTCCACTTCTCTGTCGTCTGAAGGTTGCCACCACAGGTGCGTGAAAATCTCAGCGTCCTCGAGGCTCGGCATATTGTCGCGTGTCAGAGACTTCGCAAATGCCGCAAGCAGGGGCTCGATTCGCTCCCTACAGGGCTCGATGCGAAACATGTCTAGTTCGTAATCGTACTCAGACCCGCCGGTCGGGCTGTCGTGGTACTCGCCGTCGAGGTCCATATCCTCGTCCGTGTCGGTTTCGCGGGGGTAGTGTTCTGCGTCTGAGATCTTGTACCCTCCTTGTTCAAAGTCGTGTGGATCCTCGCCACCAGGGCCGATAAAGTACCACCGCCCGTCTGGACGAAGGCAATGAAACTCGAGCCGGAACCGCCGCATTTGTGACCACTGGTGGTCGGTTGATGCCTCGGGACTAGGGAATAGGTCTGAAGTGACCATAGCACGTACGTCGAACAGGCTTAGCTGCGTACCGAGCTTGCACAGGCCGACAGATACCGGGTCTTTATCCGCGGGATAGATCAGATTTGGCCGGGCCACGGACTGGTCATGCTGGGCGAGTGAGAAGAAAGGCCAGAAGTGCAATGAGGCCCTGGTCAGACTGGTCGGGATCCTTTTCCCGCAGAGATGTTTCTCCTGGTTCATGATGGCGGCACCGAATTCGTGACGGGCGTCTCGTAGGGGGCCCTCCCACGGCCGGCTCAAGTGCTCGTTCATCACCCTACTTGTCGTGGAGGCGGGCATGGGCCGCTCCCACAACCACTTGGCATTCCACTCTTGTACAGCCGGCAGGTGGACGAGGCACTGCAGTGGCACGAGGGTAGATAGAGGGCGTATGTCTTCCGCGGTGTCGGCGTCCCCGCCGCACCTTGATCTGATGGTCAGCTGACTCACAAAGGGCAGGTCTGGTAGTGTCTCTGGGTCGTGCAGCTGCAGGCGGCGCGAGTGATATCTGCGATGGTAGCAATCTGGCTCCTCTGGGTCAAATCGTTGCGGCTCGATTATGAGCTCCATGCCGATGCGGGCTGGCGGATCCTCGACCTCTTTGTATGCGGCAGTCAACTTCTCATACAAGGCACGGATGCGCACCGACATGTGGGCACTGATGGCGGTGGTTTCCTCGACAGGTTCATGGCACGGCAGTTGCTTCTCCACATGTTCACTAACATCGATGAGGAGGAGCGGCAGCGGGAGCCAATATTGGAAATTCCCGAACTTTTCGTTTAACGCTGCCTTGGCCTGTTCGAAGAGCTCACTCTCGAAATTTGGGTCGATCTCACGAAGCGGCATGTTGATTGATATAACGTGATGGATCAGTGGTGAGGTTGGTTCTTTGCTTAGCGAGGGCGGGGGGCCTGATTGGAGTTAGAAAGAGATGTAAAGATAGGAGCGGACATTACTATATCTTCGCCGCAGCTACTGCGTGAGCATGCTGTAGATACCCGGGAAAGTAGCAAAGAGTCACATGAGCAGAAACGAGGCGAGTTGCGAACGTAAAAGGTTACTCCATATGTTTTGTTGCCAAGCAAGAAGCTAGAACCAACCCGGGCGGTTAAATCACCTGAGGGTTCCAATGATATCGTACTCAGTGACTAAATAAGTTGTTCCTGAGTGGTGGAGCAGAGGAATAAACGGGAGATAAATCATTGATTGTAAGCAGTCCGCAGAGACCCGCTATTCAAGCAAGGTTCCTTATCTAACATGTAAAGTCAAGCTGGCGATGCTAGTTATGGCCATCTTCGAGGAGTTTTACGACAGGGAAGCCAGGTAGTCACCGTTCAAAGGAGTGTTGAAATAGTCATGTCGCGATAACCATGCCGTGTTCGGCGATGCTTGCAGATTTACCACAAATCATTCATCGCACTTACTTTCCAACTCAATACATCCATAGCAACGTGCCTCCCAAAACATCGCGGTTTCCTTTTCTTCTAGCTCTCCACGTATACCATAAGAAGCCAGCTATGCCTCGTAGTCTTCGAGACTCACCCACCAACAACTTACTCAAGACACTTCTAGCTCCTAGCAGCATACTTTGACACTCCTCTAATACCTCTGACCTAAACGTCTAACATCTCGGAGTATCTCCTCGCCGCATTGTCAGTTTAGTATGTTTTTGGCTCACCACAAGGTCTGCCTACTGCTCTGCACGATGCTCGTCACGGGTATGATCCTGGTCCCCACCGCCGTCGCCACACCCGCCGTACAGGACCTTGTCGAACTGAGGAGTGTCATCAATGCGGCAGCAAGTGCCATCGGGGATCCCAATAATCCCAACCGTGGCTTCGGCTTCAATGTTTTCGGTGGTAGTGATCAAATGGGAACTGCAGACCTTGTCAACAACATTACCAATACCATACTGAGAGAAAAGTTCCAGCTGGACACGAACAGAGTATGTGTCTTACCTCGAAACAAGCTGCTATGCGGCCATTGCTGACACGTAACAAAAACAGACGTCTTGGCTTCTGCCAGACAATCTTGCGAATACCTCCATCCCCATCAACGGCACAACATCCACGCCTTCTACTCAACCCACGCCCACACTGCCCATCACTGCCAGTCTGGCATTGCCTAGTGTTTTACCCACCACGACGCCCACAGTAAACAACATCACTGTTGACCTTACCACCCCATACATGGAATACGTCCAAGCCATACCCAACTTAAGCAGCAGTCTCACAACTCTGGGCCGAAGTTTCCACCGCGAAATGAACAGCCCTATCACCGAAGCTGTCACCGGCCTCCAGCAAACTCTCACGACGTTCCAAACCGCAATGCTCGAGAGTAATCTCATCACCGCCCAGGCTGTTATACGCACTATCCGAGCGAGCAGTAGTTTGGAAAGTGCGTCGACAGCATGGAGCCGTTTTCTCAATCTGCCGGGCGGTGGAAGTGATGATGATGATGCGGGGTCTGCTTCGCCGTCATCAACCTCGAACAGGCCAGGGATCTTGGGTCGAGCGGAAGTTCAGAGGCCACCGCCTAAGGATGGTAGGTTTTATACGCACCTTGAATTGTGGAATCGCTGGGAACAAAGAAACAAGGCGTCAGCTCAGGAGAAGACTGGGCCGTATGGCGGTGTTATGGTGCAGGCGGAGGAAAAGCATGCGAGTACTACCGCTGCTGAGAAGGCGAGGGTGGGCCGGCCTTTTGTTGTGTGAATCGTTTCTTGCTTGGCCTCTTTATACAGTTGTTCTCTTAGCCTTGGACAGACTTAGCCTACTGAATAGCTCCGCCTTCCTCTCTCAAATGAATCGCAAATTGTCTCAGATCATGTCGACTCCCTCAACTCTCTGGATTGATCCCAGACACATAAAAGTGTATCACATGAGCAGATAAAAGTTTTCTGAATGCAGAGATGTAAATATGCTTCGATAATAATAACGACAAGCTAAGATGAGTCTGGGGGGTGGATATCTTCGAAGACAGTATGCAACGCAATGACGAACAAACAACGACAACATTGAAACAAAGCCAAGTTAGCGCCATCCGGCGCTTCAACAAGGCGAAACGATCCATAACCTCATGACTTTGACTAGAGAAAACTCAACACCAGTCCCTTGCATGCCATCCTTCATTTCTTTCCGACCTCATCCTCTTCTTTGTCCTCCTCTTGATTCATAATCATCTTTCGGTCCATCAAAAAAGGAAGCATGGGTGATGGGAACACTCGAAAAGAAGTCTCATCTCATTACCAGACCATACATTAAAACACATCACATCAAGGTCTTCTTGGGACCTAAACCAAAACCCATTCACTACCTCTCTTGATGAATTTATCCAGCATCAGGGTGACATCGGTAAGGACAAACCGACAGATGTAGAAACCGAAGAACTCGGCGGCGTGGCGCGTGGATAGCTCGAGACCGACATGTGTAGGGGAGGAATGCTTGAGACCTGGATCTTCGACTTGGCGTGCGATTTGGTCTAAGGGGTTTTGTTAGTATACGCACCATGGTGAGGAGATGTGAAAGCATACCTAGTATCTGGACCGCATCGAATAACCGCGCCAAAGAACCCATATAGCTTGCATTGGGACCCTCAAACACAACACCGGAAATGTCTCGCTTGGCAAAGCGAATGCTTGGGAGGTTTGTCATGGGAAGCGTCGACATGACTAGACTGTCCTTGGGTACTTCAGCACCCTTGGTACCGCCGGCCATGCCAGCAAGGTTGACGCCGGAGTTCTTTGATCGGAGTTTCCGCCAAGATGCAAGATACGACTTGCCCTGAGCAACAGCACCCTTGGCAGTGTGGTCTTGAGACCCATGCTTTCCGACACCATCAGCTGACGCCGCACCTTCGCCAACTGTAGTCGCGTCTCTGAAAAGTGCAGTTACGGACTGCACACCGACTTCGTTGCCTAGTTTCTTCGCTAGCTGGGTTTGTACCTGATCAAGCACTAGCTCCAGAGACTGCATCTCATCAAGTACAGCGTCTGCATCGTTCGTATCCACAGACGCTAGCTTCTGCAAGGCAGCTGTAAGCATATCGCAGTTGGCAGTCTTGTCTTCGATGTTCTTTAGCTTAACGCCCTTTACTCGCCAGACATCGCGAGGAATAAAAAGCTTAGTTGAGAGGTATCCACCGCGGGGATGTGCAATCGTCTGATAGAAGCATCGCATTAGCCAGAACGGTCTCAGTAGATACGAATCCGGACATGGCTCCAGGGGTATCGGTGCGTTTGTGACAGCTGGGCTTGGCGAACCGGGCGAAAACGGTGAGTGGATATCACTTTCAAACAAGTGCATCCCTCCACTCGGTAGACCATCAACGTTGAATGTGGGGATGCTAGGTGTTGGCATTGCTAGTCCGGCATTGCTGGGTTTCCGCCCCGTGATGGAGAAGGTCGTGCTGAGTGGCGTTCCTATGGACGCATCTGAGCCATCTGGGCTGGATATTGACAAATTGCGCTGCTTCAGGCTAAGGGAGGATTTGTTCTTCCGAATTCCCATGGCTGAGGTTTTCCCAGTCTTTGGTGAACCTGGCACAAGACCAGCCTCGTTGGATACAGCATGACCAAGGGCGGGCGTCGCTGGTGAAACAGTGGCAGCAGTCTCGGCAGGACTGTAGAGGGGAGGCTGAGGCGATGGAGCTCGGAGGCCAGATTGTTGGGACGCTTGCGGCAGCGCGGGCAGTTTGAACGCGGAGTCTAATGTTGGCTTAGTAGTGCTGAATGTTGGTGCCGCAGACTTGGGCTGGACAGGAAGATCGGTAGGCGCGTCCTTAGCTGGCACCGGAGGCTTCTCCGTATGCGGCGCTGGCGGGACTGGTGGTACAGAAGTCTCGATTTTTAAAGACTTTGCGTTTTGGCCTGATAGTCTCCGGCTTCGTACTGAGGCTGCGTCCTTGGTTGCGGTGGTTGGTCGTGGTGTAATTTCTGCTGTGTCAATCGTTTGCGATGCTTGTGATTCCGGAACAGGAGGCAATGCAGGCAAAGCACCAGATGGAGCAGGCGCGGAGGGAGGGGCATGTGTGGATGACTGTTTGGATGTCGGGTGTATCACCTCCGCAACCGTCGAAAGTGATGTACCACCCGTCGTTCTGTGCGAGGATACTGAACTGTTGTACGTGCTTCCAGAAAAGCCACTCGAGTCCGACTGCCGCGGTAATGACGACTTTGTCTGTAGATCGAAATCGAAGCCATCGAGCATATACTCTCTCGTCATCTCATCCAATAACCGCTCTTCCTCATCCGCCTCGTCGTTGAATCTTATCTCAGCACTTTCGCGCACGTGTGGGAGTCCTTCGCTCCGAAGCTGCGTCTCCTTGTAACGATACTTGGCTGCAGCGATAGCTTCCTCCCGTTCGGCTTCACGTACGCGCTCTTTGGCTAGTTCCACGTTTCGCAGCTTCGTCGCTATCATATCGGCAGGGGTGGACATGTCGTCATCATAAGGTTCGTAGCCGTCGTCGTACGCAGCTTCGACAGCTGCGTCAAGCGCCGCGTCGAATTCTGCCTCGGTTCCTCCGCTTGCGTTTCGTAGATGCTTTCGGCGTACTCCTCCAGGAGACATGGAATGCACTGAGGATGAACACGACGAGCCTCCAGACTCGTCTATAGTATCAAGCCATGATGTTGACTCGTTGCTGTGTACTCGCTGATGGTTCGTCTTGACTGTCTGTTGCGGTTGCAGTAACCGGCCATATTCTCCGGGCTCAGAGTCGGTCTTTCCGCTAAGGAGAGGAGACTTGGACCGCTTTGGAGACAGTGGCGGAGGCATGTATACACGGTCCATCATTGACTCGGCAGTGGAAGATCGGACAGACGAGGTAGAAGGGGCAAGTCGCCCAGGCGGGGGCTGAAGGTTGAACTGTGGATTCTGCATGCCTCTTTGCACATCGCGGATAGCTGTGGATATGACAGATTCACGAGGACCTTCGAAACCTGAACGAAGGGGCAATTGCTGTGAGGGAGCCGATGTTGGCTCGCCCATGGAGGGGGTATCATATATGGAACGGTCGTTAACTATGCGGGATACTGTGGCAGTCTCAATGACTGCAGGCGGCTCGTCGTCATCCAGGAGCAGCATTGAGCGGTGTTCGTCCAGCGATTCCCCGCTCATAGGACGAGCCGGTAGCGATTTGCCACTGTGGTTAGTGTAGCCAGGATCTAATCGTCGTAGCTCTTCTATGCGGTTGGTATACGTTACTCGCTACCTGGGTTAGCACCGGGGTTCTGGACAAGGTTTAGGCGTAACTTACAATAGCATCCAGCTTCCGCCTGTCCTCCTCTTGCGAGCTGCGGATCATGACCTGCTGGAGGAGCTTGCAGGCATCCTCGTACGCCTCCATGGCGCCCTCGAAATTTTGCGCATTGTCGAGCAGGACAGCTGTGTTGGCCTTTTGCAGGGCGCGCGACAGCATTGTCTTCTTGTCCTTCTCCCTCCGCTCGCGTGTGCGGGGAGGAGTGCCCTGGTGGCCGTCGTCTAGCCTAGCGCTGGCGTTGCTTTCGCTGCGAAGGTGATCCCTGCTGGGGCTCCGGGCGTGGGTTCTGCTGGCGGATCTGAACTGTTCTCTGCTCTGGCTCCTCGAGTGGTCCCGTGAGGCGGCCTGCCTGTGACCCGCGCTCGGCGGGGGCTTTTGGGCGTTCTCCTTGGGTGCCGCAGCGATCGATGGTCTTCGTCCTGTGGAGGGCCGACCTGGGCCCGAAGTGGAGTCGGCCTCGTGGAGGACCGCAGGCGACCCGAGAGGCGACTTGCCCAACACTCTTTCAGCCTTTGTGGTGCGCGAGGGAGGCCGCTGGCCAGGCGGGGGCTGCGTGGGTTTCGAGTTGAAGTAGTCGCGTGGCTGGTTTCCGGAGAGCAGGTTCGGGGTAAAGAGGCTGGATGCAGAGGGTGAGTTGTTGGTAGTCGAAGTGCTCGTGGGAGTGTTGGGGTCGTAGACGGTTGAGGGTAGGAGTATCGGAGGCAGCGAGGGTATCTTTGGGGGCGCCGTCACAGACGACGGGGGGTCGTAGACGGGGGAGCGAGGGCGGTGTCGGCGGGGACTCGACGTGGGCGAGCGTGAGGGCGATTGCGGGTGCGGTACAGATGCATTGGCGGTGGTGGGCGTCGTGGCAGGCAAGGTGGTGGTGATGCTCAGCTTGCGCGAGAAACTGGGGTGGTGCTGGTGGTTGGCGTGCGGGTGTTGGTGGTGTGTATCGCGCCGCTCCTGCTGGTCCCGACTGGCGGTCGTGGTGCTCTGAGACCAGCGGTTCAGACTCGCAGAGGCAGTTGGGCCGTCCCGCGAGGCTGCAATGCCATCTGCTGCGCCGTTGGCAGCGCTGGAGCGGCGTCTGGACGAGGCCGGGGGCGGTGTGGCCCGCTTGTGGGGGGGTTTGGTGGACGAAGACGGCGATTCCGCGTTGGAGTCCCTCAGCGAGGCGGACCGGTGCAGCGACGACGACGAGATGGAGCCACTGCGCGACGACTGGCGGCGGTGCGAGGGATTATCCGGTTGGGCGGTCGTGGTGTTCATGTTGGTTTGTCGACTCCCGTCGAGGCAGGAATGCGTGTCTCAGGCCAAGCCAGCGGTTAATGCAATGCGCATGCAGGCATGGTTGCCGCAAGCAGGAACGCGCTGGGGCAGGCGGCGATGATGCGGCGAGGCGTGGCGGGCGGCGTCTTCGGTGCTGTCGTGCAACGGTGCTGTCTATCTTGAATATGTCGTACGTACAGCG